TTGCATTGTAGGGGAAGAAGTTTAATTTAGAATATTGGTGGCGCGAATTAAGGAATGTGCCATGTTGGGATTCTCTAGTAGTTGGTCCTGAAAATTCCACCAAAAACTCTCCCCCAGTGCATTTTGATGTTGGTAACACATGTGGATCAGGTAACTCAAGAAGCCCAACCAGAAGCCCAACCACACCTAGAGGTCCTGCCACTCAAACTGATACTACTGATACCGATTCAGTGACTCGTAATCTACAACGACCAATGGGTAGAAAAGCTGCAAAGAGGCTAAAAAAGGGACAAGGAGAGTACATTACGCCACCCCCGCATGTGGTCGCCCTTACAAATGCAGTGCATCGCATTGCGGCGGTTCGAGAAAGGGAGGCAGAGCAATGCATTAGGACGGAGCAAGCTCGTATGTATGCAGAAGAAGCTCGTGCTCGTGCAGATGAAGATAGGCTGCTAATGATAGATACATTTATTATCTCAGACCCCGGCCGCCGACGATATTTTGAAGATAGGATTGCGGATGTAATGAAAAGGAGGGGATATAATTAATTTGAAGTCTAGTTTAATTGTTTGTTGAGGGTATTTAATTTGACATTTTTTTGATGATTGACTTTTTTTAAAACATTTTATTAATGAATACAAGTGTTTTTTTGCTATGTACGGTGTTTAAGCTAATATATTTTGTGTGCATATTGTGTGACCAATGTATTGAACTTCTTTATGTACATATGCTAACTTATGTAGGCACATATTGATGGGGGAAGATTTCCAGTTGACGATTTGCAAAAGTTACCTAAATTCAAGGATTTTGTGTGGCCAAGTGATGAACGACCCCAATTGATAGCAACCCCAAGTGAGCAACATGACTCGGATGATGAACAAGACATAACACTACTGAATTGTGTTGTCACAGTGATTCAAGAAGAGATTGGACACGGAAAATCTATGCAACGATCCACAAAAAAGAAGAGAAAGTTGCTGGACAGACCTCGGGCCGAAGCTCACGAACGTCTAATGATATATTACTTTGTGCAAGACCCAGTGTACGATGATAGACAATTTCGTCGTCGGTTCAGAATGCGGAGGCACGTGTTCCTTCGCATAGTAGAGGCATTAGGAAACCATTGGGTTTACTTCCAACAACGGTTTGACGCAACCAGAAAAGCTGGATTGTCACCTATTACAAAATGTACCGCCGCTATGCGAATGTTGGCATATGGTGTGTCTGCTGATTGTGTGGATGAGTATTTAAAGATTGGCTCTAGTACGACTCTAGAGTGCACTAAGTTGTTCTGCCAAGCAATCATAAATGTCTTTGGGAAACAATATTTACGGCGTCCAACCCAGTCTGACGTTGATCACTTATTAGCTGTTGTAGAGGGTCATAATTTCCCTGGCATGTTAGGGAGCATTGATTGCATGCATTGGGAGTGGAAGAATTGTCCAGTTGCATGGAGACAATCATTCGAAAAGGGTTTGTATAAGGTTCCCACTATTATACTTGAGGCCGTAGTATCATACGACTTGTGGATATGGCATGCATTTTTTGGGGTCCCTGGAAGCCAAAATGATATCAATGTTCTTCACCGCTCACCGTTGTTTGATGAATTGTATGTTGATAAAGCTCCAAAATGTGAGTACATTGTGAACGGTCATAAATATGACCTTGGGTACTACCTTGGTGATGGAATATATCCAAGGTGGTCAACCATTGTCAAATCAATTCCACATCCAAGAGGACCGAAGGAAAAATTATTCGCAGAGCGCCAAGAGTCCTACAGAAAGGATGTCGAGCTAGCATTTGGTGTACTACAAAGTCGATTCGCAATAGTTCGTGAACCTGCTCGTTTTATGCAAAAGGAAGATCTTCGAACGATAATGGTTGCTTGCGTCATTCTGCATAATATTATTGTGGAAGACGAACAACACGACTATGCGCTCGCATATGAGTATGATGAAGTTGAGGGTTCCACTCCGACATCAAACATAGGACAGCGTCACCCATGTTGGGAAACTTACTTCCGTCAATCAGCTCGTGTGAGAGATCTCGATGGACATGCACGTCTCAAGGCGGACTTGATAGAAGAAGTGTGGAACAAAAACATCGGTAAAAGTCCACAATAGTCTCAAAACGTTATTGCGGTGTGCTTCCTGGATTTTTTAATGGTTGTAATGTACTTTTAAAATTTTCTATCATTTTATGATTGTGTTCTTTGCATTTTCTATCACAACTTCTATATAACCTCTAATTCAAATTTAAAATTTATCGATATAATTTGTACTCTATTTTAAAATTTCCATATTTAAATAAATAACTAAAATAATTATGAACAATTAAAGTATAGACTTTACAACTAAGGATAAATATTTACAAAAGAACCAAAAATAAAATATATTGGGTAGAAGAAAAATAAAATGAAGTGATTAAAACATGTTAAAAATGTAAAGTAAGAAAAAAAAATGACTTGCCACTGCAGGATGTACCACTCTAATGCCATGCCACTGTGTGACTAGATTGACTTTGATTGGCTCAACAGTGCCATGTCAGCGTGTGACATTCCAGTATATGCCTTGCCATTGTTCATGCTCTAAGGGTAGTGTATTTTGGTATTGAATTTCCAAAACTGTCTTTTGATGTGATGGATAAAAGTAAGATGTGATAGGTAGATTATTAGTAAAAAGGTATGATGTGATAGATAGGGTATGAAAAAGTAAGGGGTAAAAGTAACTTTTTAATAGAAATGAGAAGTGTTTTTTTGGGACGGATGAAAAAAGAAAAAGGAGAAAGGTTTTCAGGGACGGAGGGAGTACATAATTAAAATTCATGACATAGTTATTCCTCATTGCAATGTCTCCGCGGTAGATAGTCTATGTTATTCGGATAGCGCTATCGCGGCGTTGGCCTCAGTATCTCGTACTCTAGAGTAGGCCATTCAGACTCATCTGATAGCGCATTATAATGCCATAGTAAGCGTTGATGTAGGACTGAATTGACATACTACGTGGACATGACTGCACGGGAGGTGAAATGTTACCCATTGACCAAAGCTACATGTTCGTGCATTTAAGTTCACCGTAAATGTCTCCCGCTGAGTAATGAAGGACGACCCATCCATCACCACAGAGTATATCCCTTCTTGTGCGTGGTGTTGCACAACACGACAATAAAGCCTGTTTTCTTCATTTTTCCTAATATGCTTTCACAAATTCATAGGAAAATGTACCCGGATTGCTGCCATACATATCCATTTGTTCGCCTCTCAGCAAAAAGTTTGACCAACTTATCATAGGTGAACTTCACAATGGCATATACGGGCAAACAACGACATCCCTTAAGGAAATTATTGAAACTTTCTGACAAATTTGTAGTCATTATACCATAACGTGCGCCGCCTTCATCATATGACAACGCCCACTTGTGTTTTGGAATGACATTAAGCTAGTTGTAAGCTTCTTGATTTTTGGATGCTATTCGGAGGATCAACTGGTCAAACTCACTTGTGTTCGGGGTCTCACCAGCTTTGTACATCAAGGTCCGCAGCTTCTTACTTCGGAACTTCTTCCAGAAATTGCTTCGTAGGTGGCGGAGACAATATCTTCGAGTCACTTGACCTCCACCCAACTCTGGAACATTTTCAAATGCGTGGTCAATCCCGCCGTGTCTATCAAATATTATGCATACATGGCGATGTGGGGGTACGACATGACGCATGACATTCTTCATGAACCATTTCTAACTTGCACCATTTTCAGCATCCATAATGGAAAATTCCAGGGGGGAATTTCACCATTTCCCGTCGTTGCCATGACCCATGGCAAGTAATAAACATTTCCCTTATACTTGCCGTAAAAGTGAGTTCCATCCACTGAAATAACTGGAAGACAATAGTGAAATCCATCTATGAATGCCTTGAAGGACTAGAATACATACTTGAACTGAAAACAAGTTGGTGAATCAGTTGACTGTGTTTGCAAATCAACAACAGTTCCATCTGGTGAACTATGTTTGCAAATCAATAAAATAAACTATTAAAGTTTACATACATAACCAAAATAAACAATTAAAGTTTAATAAAATATTTTTTAAAAAAAGTTAGAAAGGTTTAAAGCAAACAAAAAATTGAAACAAACAACAACGATTTGATTAAGAAAATTATAATTGGACCAAAAAAAATTGAAAAAAAATTGAACAAAAAAAATTGGAACAAAAAAATTTGGAACAACAAAGCAAAAACTCCATTTGAACAACAAAGCAAGAAAAGTCAATAATTAGACATTATTAACAAGAAAGCAACAAAGCAACAAAATAACCGAACAAAAATTGGAACAACAATTATACGGAGTAGCCAACTCCGTTTCCAACTCCGTTTGACATTTAAATGAAGAAGACAGTTTAGGCTACTCCGTTTTACTTAAAATTTTAAAGTAGAAACGGAGTAGCCAAATCCGTATTGCATTGTCAGGAAAAAAATGTCTGACTTACACTGTCAGGAATTGCAAATTTTATTTTTACATATGTTCGTCATTTACTCGCATATGCCCCCTACTAAATTTTTGTAATAAGGTAAAAATAATTTTTTTAAAAAAAATTATGTAGCCCCCAACAAAAATTAGTGTGACCACATATGAATTGTTTATGAAGTTAAAATCCACAATGTCTATTAAAAAATATTTCACATTTAATAAATGTTTAAACTAAGATTCAATATTTTTTAGTTATTTCATATATAACCTATTAAAAAGTTGAGAGGGGCTGCCCCCGTCCCCGACCATTAGCGCCCCATCTAAGTGAGGCAATATGGTCATTTTTGTTTTGTGTTTTTTGTGTTTGTTGAGGAAAGCAATAAGGTCATTCTTTTGAAGGGGAAGGATTCGACCACGATCTCAAAGAAACACGTGTCATCCATCTACTTCGGACATGTGTAGTTTGAAATTCCAATTTTTGGAGGGAGCGCTAACTTAGTACGTACACAAGCGATCGTCCTATATGCACAACGGACAACGTTCTTTTTCCACGAGAAGACAAAAAGAAAAGGCGCATTTACGCATCCCGGCGCACAGTAGCCTCAGCCGTCAGAACATGCCTCCCTCCTCCTCCTTCTCCTCCTCTGCCACTCTGCCAAAACCCAAAACCGCCAGGTCTCTTCGACTCCACCAACAGAGGTATCTCTTTATCCCTGCTGCTTGAATATATATATATATATATATATATTTCTTCAACACTTGTAAGTAGCCGTCTGAGGATGCATTTGGTTGGCGGATTTCTCGAGCATCAAAGCATGCACATTGAATATTTATAGCCGTAGCAAACCCTCGAATAATCTTCAAAATTTCCCTTTTCCCGGATTTCATCCCTCTTTTTTCCCCATTACTCGACCGCTTTTAGCTTTTAAATTCGCTCTTTTTTCTCCTGGTATTCTTTGAAAGGCTGCTTTGCTAGCGATTTCTGTTTCCTTTCTTTCTTATTAACACACGGAGTAGATTTTTTATTTTTGTTTTGTGTTTTTTTTTTTGTTAGAGAAAAAGTTGAATGAAATAATGGAAATTACTGTTTTGTTTTAAACGCGCAGATGGACTCAAGAACTCCGCCTCCCAAAAGAGTTAGCAAAAGGCCCCTGACGGATTTTTACTCTGATCTACCCAAAAAGAGGATTAGCGATGGTCGAGATGCGGGTTCTGCTCATAAGAAGCAAGCATACTCTGAAATGTTTAAAAGGAAGGAATGCCAAGTTCTTAGGATATGCAGCCGTGAAGATGAGGATGGAGATCCTGACATGGTGGTCAGTTTTCGAGTTCTTATGCCTAATGGCACGACTTTAGAGATGAAAGTAGGGCGAGATAAAAATGAAATGTCGCTTTCTCAACTGGTGGATGCTATAAAGACAGAGTACATGGCCTTGAAGGGAAGAACATGGTCGCAAAAGAGGCAGATTAATTGGAACAGTCCAAGCTTGTATATTTTGGATCCTCTTGACAGGAAGATTAAGGGAATTGATCTCAGGAAGTTGAATCCGAGAAAGACTTATATGTTAAGGCTTCATGTGAGTTTTTTTGCCGGCATCATGATCTTTTATGTCTTGTCTTCTGCTCTTGTTGTTTTTACTCATTTTGATGTTTCAATTTTAATGCAGGATGGATCAGTTGAGGCAGATATATTTGAGGTTTGTTTAATTTTCCCCCCTTTTATAAGCACAACCTTCGATGAATAACATGCATTTTCCTATTTCATGAACTGTAATCTTTGCATAAACAACACTTTTTATTATTTTGATATTTAGGGTGCTTTCAGTATTCTGAGCAACCTTTTCATGATTGGCTTTTGTAGAATATGTGGGATCTCACTCCAGATACTGACTTACTAAAGGAGTTGCCTGAAGAATACACATTTAAGTCTGCCCTTGCTGACTTAATAGTAAGCCTCCATCATACATGCATGCATTTCAATTTCAGTTGGGTGCCATACTCATGTAATCACTCACTTTATGCAACTTGTGTTTACTGCTCATCAGGATAATTCATTGCAAGCTGTATGGTCTAATCCTGAAAAAGAAAGGAGATTAATCAGGTATGCTAGCTGTAGTGAGGCTGATTACCTTTTTTTTTATATTCTGAACTTGATGGCCTTGTTTATTTGGTGGCACATTTGATCTTCAAGAAAACTGTTCCACTATGTGCACATAATTTGAGGTTCCTTTAATTTGATATCATTTTTATCATGATCTTCACATGAATATCAACAACAGTTTTGTCATTGAAATGAAATTTATGGTGTCAATTAATAGTCTAAAATTAGTTAACACTATAAGTTATCCAAACAAAAGAAAGAAAACACATTGGTAATATTTTACATGGCTTGTCTTTCGTCTCACAACCTTCTAAACAAGGAATACTTAGATGAAGTTCTGGAGTTCTTTTCACTTTGAGTTGATATAGTTGTCATAGTCATTCTCATTGCAAAAATTTTACGGTAAAAACAACGTGCACTTTGTCTATTATGAAAGAAATATCTAAATTTGAAACTGTGGCAAAAATTTGTACACTGTAACTAAATAAGGCAGTATGTTGTGACCAGTAATAGGTCTAATCTGAACTCAACAAACCTTATTTAACTTGCTTTGGTGTAATCAGTTCATGAACTTCTGCAAACACAAATACATACAAATTTTTCCTAGGTTTCAGGTGCTTGTGGTGCAAGATGTTTTCCCTTTCTTATTTTCTACTAGACCCTTGGCCCTCACTCACAGCTTTCCATCTCATGATATTGTTGTGATTACTTTGTTTCCATCCACACTATGTGGCAGCCAAGTCATGCAATTTAACTCATCCCCAAAAGCTCCTGGGGCGAGGGTAGATGGGAGGCTTGGAACCCTCGGCTTTGTGGTTCAATCATTTTAGACAGGCTTTAGGCAAGTTCAATATGTATTAGATCTTGTTCTTTACGCCTGAAAAAATGTGGTTTAACTACACTTTTTAATATCAGGTTTGGTCTAATTTGTTTAGTCTGATTTTATCATAACCTTTTTGGTCGGTATGAATTTTAATAAGTTCGTCTAGTTTTCTTGTTTGAAATATAACATGTGGTATGATTTGATCATGATCTTTCTCATCCTTAAGAGTTAAGTAGACTTGGCAAAATTTGACCCGACCCGTTATTAATCCGAAACCCGACCCGAAATTAACGGGTTTTGAACATTGATTTTGCGACCCGAACCCGAAGACCCGTTAAATTTTCGGGTCAGAACGGGTCGGGTCGGGTTTGACCCGACGGGTTATGCACTTCATTGCTTATTTTTATTAGTTATTTAGTTTTATACATTCATTTAAAATATGATATACCCATTAGGCTACTCAAAACTCAAAAGGCGTAAAACCTAATCTAAATCCAGTAACATTCGAGTCTCTCTCTCTCCCTTTTCTCTCTCTCTCTATATATATATATACATATATATATATATATATATATATATAGACACACACACACAGATATGTGTGTATATATATGTATGTATGTATGTATGTATCGTTCTTCCACTCTTCTACTGTTCATCGATATTAGATGTCGACTCAATCAAAATGGTGAGAAGACACAAGAACAACAGTGGAATTTTTAATCCTATTTCATTGTCTTGAGTTGCTCCTACGTGTAACTCAAGTTTTAATTCTTTTCTTTTGTTTTGGTATGACGCAAGAATCTCAATTTTTTTATAATGTATATATATTTCTGGGTATGTTGAAAGAATCTTCAATTTTTTTTCATCTACTGCAATTTTTTTGGTATGCTACAAAAAGGTGATTTTTTTTGGATATATTGCAATTCTCTTTTGGTATGTTGCAAATAGAACTGCAAACTTTTATGATTACGTTCTTTGTTTTGAATAATGCTCGGATCACGTGATCTCTAAATAGCAAAAATTTTAATTTTTAATAACGCCTCTTAACCCGTTGGGTCAACCCGAACCTGATAACTCTGGGTCATGAACAAGCACTCTTAGACCCGAACCCGAAGTGACCCGAACCCGAAATAACTCGAACCCGATTATACCGAACCCGATCCCGACCTAACCGACCGTTTTGCCAGGTCTAGAGTTAAGAGTTCTTGTTGGTCTAATTAAAATAAGAATAAGTGATAGACAAAACATATAAGGTGAAGCAAAGTCCATCTTAAACTTGTTTAAATGTCCATTTCAAAACATATTCTACTTCAATCACTCTTTATTTGGTTTTAGGACATTTGTTCATCAAACAATTGAAGCCCCCAATTTTTTCTCTTCAAATCCCACCCTCCAAACTGACTCTAAAAGAAAAGGGATTATATAGGGGAAAAGATGTAGCGGGTTCACTAGTTTATTTATTTATTTTTTGCTTTCAAGTTGTAATTTTAGTGAAACTCAAATTTTCTCTCTTAAATGTTCTTGCTGGTATGCTTTAATGGAGTTCATGCTTTGCATTTAGATATTGTTAAATGTTTTACACTGTTGTACTCCTGCATTTCTATTTCATTTCCATTATTTCCTTTTTTCAGTGAGATTGAAGGATTTTCTTTATTGAATTATAAAATTGACAAGTGGTCCCTTTATTTGCAGTGTGAAGTTGTCCAAAAACAAGATAATAATATTTGACACGGGCCCGGGAATGGATGGAAGTGTTGAAAATTCTATAGCAAAGTGGTATGAGTTATTTACTTTGTTGATTTTATTTGGGTGTAAAGAATTGTTATTAAAGTGTTGCCTTTTAAGATAGTTAATAGAATTCTTCTAATCAGCATCTCAAATAAGTGTTCTTTTCTGTCCTCAAAATGTATCTGTTATTCCCGTTCATATTGTGCCCTAAAGGTGTTGTTTTTGCACTGCATAATAATTTTAGCAGTTGAATAATATTGTTCATCTGGCTGATTCATGTTTCCTCTCTTTAGGGGAAAAATGGGGGCGTCCCTACATCGGTCGTCAAAAGGAAAAGCCATAGGATGCAAACCTCCCTACCTAAAGGTAATTGATTTTATATGAGGGTAGTATCTTGTCGCATTATGAAAATGCATTTTCAAGGGTTAACGTTGTTGGAGTATAAGGACATAGTTAAAAGAATCTTTTAAAGTATTTAAATCTGATATATAAAATTTGATCAGCAGTGGTTTGCTGGTGGCTATGTTCTTACGTACTGACTATTAGATCATTTGACGATTGTATCATTTGTTCAAAGCCTTTATGTTAAAAAGATTTTCGGAATGCAGAAATAAGATTGCATAAATCTGTGTGGTTTGATGAGGGAGTTGTCTGTATGGACACTTGCCTTTTTTATTTGAAATATCCATGTGCCTGAAATACCGAGTGCAACCACCACCGGATCCTGAGACGTCATTAAATTAAGAAAATTAGCTACACACTTCCAGATGGGTTCTGTTAAAAAGGTTAACTTGGAATCTAAAAGTATTTACAATTTTATAAGCAGTAAATATGGTGAAAGGAAGGTTTTTTATTATCTACCACAAAGTACACTTATGTTTGACTTTGAAACTCACCTAATCAGAAGCTGTCTAAAAGTTAAAACATTTTCATTTTGTATAATTGCATGTAGTGTTACCTGAGTCTTTTTTTTTCTCATGAAATGATTCCACAGTTTGATTTTAGTTAACTAAAATTGTACAAGCTAGGAAACAACTGAATTCTCACTTTACTTGACTTCATTTGGGATTAACATTCAGTTTTTTATATTGTTGCTCAAAGTTGTTGTGAATGAATTGTTGTTTATATTTTCTTACTCCAGGATCATATGCACTACGCATTAATCTGTGTTTACTGCTATTACCTAAATTATACCTTTTCTAATTGCAGCCTTATTTTGGGATGTTTGGATATGGAGGGCCTATTGCATCCATGCACTTGGGACGGTATACATTGTTGAAAAGTTCTTTACTTTTTTCTTCATTGTAAGGGAATAACACTGTATGATATTATATTGCAGAAGAGCCATTGTCTCTTCCAAGACAAAAGCATCAAAGAAAGTGTATATATTACATCTAGAGAGAGATGATTTACTCAACTGTTCATCTTCAGAGAACACATGGAGGGTGTGAAATCTTCTTCTATCTCCACTGTCCTAACTACCTCCAACCACCTTTGTCTTAGGCCCTCATGTTTATCATTTAATCATTGCAGACTAATGGTGGCCTAAGAGACCCCTTTGGTTACGAAGTTCAAGAGTCACCCCATGGGAGCTTCACTAAAGTAACACTTCTTTTTTCCTCTAAGTTCAAATCAATTATTTCATGTGATATTTTGTAAAAGTGCTTTTTTACTTAAACCAGTCTATAAAGCCTGGATTCTATGCTTCTGCTTGTAGGGATTTACAATATGCATTATATGTTTGTTCTGCCCTTTAAGTTATACCGGTGAAAATATCTAACATTCTGACATAGCAGAGTTGACCAATTCCTAGTAGCAAATGGACTTTTGTCCATGATTTTGTCCCGCATTTACAGGCACTAATCAATCTCACTTAACACACCATTACATTTACACCTTACACCACTACTTTTTCCTCTACAACAACAACAACCCAGTAATTCAAGACCACTTTTGCTGTATAATTTATTTCAGAATTTCTGCACCTCATTTATTACCTTTCGGTTTTGCCATAGACAACCCCATTTTAAATTTGGTTTATGCTGACGGAATTCTTGATATTTCCATTACAAATAAATTCCTAATATTCTAGATTTTAGGGGAAGTAGAAATGTCATTCTAATGTTTTGTTTGCTAGCTTATTAAGGTAGTATAAATTTTAGAGGCATATGTGAAGTTCTAGGATAATGCATATGTGAAGTAGTTGCATAGAATGTGTTTGATTTAAAAGTTGATCCATACTTTCAATTACTTAAAGTAGCAGTCCATGTCTTTAATGATTTGAAAAAGGTGCCAATTTTAGAATATAGTTTGTTATCATTGTATCGTACATACTAGAAACTTTATACGGAGTATATAAAAACCGTTGAAAAATTGACGAATGCATTAAATTCTCTTTCTTAGATTTGAATATGTTGTTTATATTGACAGGTGGAGATTCTAGAGCCAAAAATGAGATGTGAAGATATAAAGATACTGCAAGGGAAACTAAAAGACATTTACTTTCCTTATATTCAGGTATACAATCAAATATCTCTGACATGATGCTGATGATTTCCTTTTTATCTACACACTGTAAAATGAAATTATGAAAAAAGAAAAGGGTATACCCTTTTTATGGTTCACAAGATTAAATTCCATATTGATAGAGGCTTCTTTGTCTTTTATTTTTAAAGTTCATAATATTCCTGAAAGTGCTGTTTATACAATTATATACTTATATATTTTATTAAAAAAGTTTGATGTGATTGTGTATATATGATATACAAACTAACTATTTAGACTTTGAGATTCTCCCGTGTGCATCGTATATCATTGGATTTAGTTACATTATAATTGATGAAGGGGGATGTAGCTCTATACTAAAAGTGATATTTATGTTGCATGTTTTCTCTTTACCTTTGTCTTTTCCATTTTCTCGATCATTTTTCCAACTAAATAATTTGATTCTTTTTTTAGTTCATAAATTCTGATATTCATACAATTTCTCTTCTGATATCCCATCTCATCCACTAATTGCTTCCTCTTCTTTGCAAAGTGTGATGAAATATCTGAAACAGGAAGAACTGCAATGCCAACAGAATTTCAGGTTTGGTTACTTTTTTACTGGGTCACATTTTTTATGTCAATTATGTGTATAACAAGAGACGTTCCTTATTTGGTTTTCCTTTTTTTTAAGCAATTTATTCATCATTTCAACTTGTGTTTTCTGATCAAATTGATACTTGCTTGTTAGAAGTCAAGCACATGCACACTTTTCAATGAAACCCCTATATTCTACATGAACAATGTGTCATCAGCAGTTGTTTCTTTCGGTTGATATTACACAGGTCAATGAAACTAACTTGGCAGAAATCTTGAGTGGAGAAGTGGCTCTTACGAACCTGTTCTCATGTAATGGTCCCGACTTTACATTGGAACTGCATTTCACTTCAGGCACCAGTTCTATAGGAGGTCTGGATAATGCTCTAATTGGTTTTTATGTAGAGTCTGAACTTCTTTACATTGCAATAAAATTTGTTCTCTTCAGGACATCACGAAGCAAATGCTCGCCTAAAGTGTGTTTATTTTCCTGTAATTCAGGTAACATTGTATTGGTTTCCCCCATCATCTTTGTTAATTGGAAATGCTACTATACTGAACGTGTGCATTCAGAGTATATATTCATGTCTCTGCTCTGCTACTCTGTGTAGGGTAAAGAAAGCATTGAAAAGATAATTGAAAATTTAAAACAGGAAGGATATGAGACTCTAGAGAACTTTGAAAGTTTTAGCCGTGTTTCTGTTCGGCGCTTGGGTCGCATGCTTCCAGATGCTCGCTGGGTTTGCCAATTTGAACTTTTCCTGCATTTCATAGTACCTTTTAAGTGTAAAAATTTTATGTGGTGTTAATTGCTTGAACTTCTATTCATTGAGTCCGTCCTGACTTTAAAATTACTTTTAAACTTGAGATTGCTGCAGTTTGATACTCTATGCATACAATATTGTTTGATATGAACCTTATTAACCCATTAAGCATTAATTATACATGCGTCTCTGCATATGTATCCATGTTTATGGCTTTATGCATGATGAACTTTGAAATATATACTAGTTGTCTGGCAGTGGTTCGGTTGAATTTCAGCCAAGGCTTCCATTCGTGGAACCCAAACAAAGACCAGGAGAACCATTTAAGAGACACTGCTTTAGAGTAAAATTCTTTGTTGGTAGTCATTGTATATATACACCCTGACCACCAATTCTTTTTGTTGAATTTCAGCCACGGCTACCCTTCATGGAACCCAAACAAAGAAAAGCAGATTCATTTAAGAGATGCTGGTTTAGAGTAAAATGCTTTGTTGGTAGAGTTATTGTTTATATACAGCCAGCCCGTTTCCCCTTCTCTCTCCCCTACCTGTTCTCATCAGTTGTTTTTCAGATATGCCCTTGTCTCATCTTGGGAAATATGATTTTGAATGATATTACCTGACTTTAAGTTTTTTAATAGTAATATTTAAATATTATTATCATTGTTGTTGACGGATTAAGAGAATAGTTCAGGTGCTGAAATAAATTGCTTTGTATGAATATAGAGATCAATGACAAATTAGTACTGCAATTATTATTTATTTTAAGGAAATTAAATAAACATGGAAATACTCCCAAAATTTAACATTTTTCCAAGAATACTCCCAAATAACAATATATACATGAATACTCCAACATTTAATTAGCAGCTTCATAAATATTCCATCTACCACCGAAGTTTGATCTTCAACCTATTTTCTCCTACCTGGTTTTTTACAAAATGAATCAACATTGGATTAGTTTTTATGTTTGCACATTTGTCGGAGACATAGGGATGAATTTGTAAAAGTGGCCGGAGACCCAACTTCAGTGACAGTAAGTATTTACTGAGTTCCATGTCAAAATTAGGAGCAATTGTGTAAATATTGCCTCTTGGGAGTATTTCCCTGAAATCACCAAAATTGGGAAGCAGTAAAACTCATAGGGAAGATGATGATGAGATGGACGATGCTGTGTAATTTTGATATAAATTCCTTGGCTGTATTTAAATTAATTTTCAACGTTGATAAAATATACTGGTATGATATTTGAGTTTGAATAGTAGCAGTAGTAGTGATAAGAGAGTAATAAAGTTTTTACTCCCTCCCTAAATAAACTTCAATTTCACTATTCACATCGTCAATCTATATCATTTGTTAGATTATCATAGTCATGTCACTTCTTGTTCTAAAGAACTTTTGATGTAGTTTTATAATATGTGTGTGTGTACACACACACACACACACCAATATACAAATAAATTGAATTGACCATAAACTGAAGTTTATTTAGTGACGAAGGGAGTATTATTATTATTTTACAGAATAATAATGTAATATTATGTGATGCTGGTCTTGTTTGACCAGAGATGATATGATAGTACTCAAATAAGTTGAAGGTAGCATGTCCATAATTGACGGGAACTTTATCCACTATATATAAGCTTCCTAAAAGGATGTCTTGATTGCAGATACTGATGCAGGTTTCAACCCCACACCAGCCAAGGTATTAATTGTTTCTTACTTCAAAGTGTCATTCAGTTCACATTTAATTCCCAACAAATGTTTTAGTAGCTGTAAGATCTTCGATAAGTCTAGAAGTGCTCTGTCATTTGGAGAGGTGTTAGCATGTTGCCTTGATCTCATTGGGTTCCCTTCACATATGAGATGAATCATTCATTTGGGATCAAGGCTTAGTTGTTGTAGCAACCGGGGGTAATTTCATCACTGCTAAAATATAAAAATAGCAAGCCAATATAGTAAGCGTGGTTGGAGATGCTCTTAGCACTTGTCATTCTCGTTTTATATCTTTCCAGTGATGAGAATTCAGTTGATGTGGACCTGATGTGCTATGTTACATTTCTTTTTCCCGTTATTGACTTTTGAATTTCATTACCCAGACAAACTTAGCACAATGCAATCCTTTTACCATTGCACTTAAGCAGTTTGGCAACAAACCGTGTGAGAAAGGTACTAATTCTTGGTTCATCACTTCACCTTTTTTAATAATGAGTTAAGTTTTTGTTGCTCACAATGACATAAAAAATATTTCTGCAGATGTACATATTGAAATTTGCAAGGATGGAAAACCCCTTTCTCTTACACAGCTAGAGAAGGTATACCATGATTGGGTTTTGAATATGCACAATAGATATGATTGTGAAATTGAATCAGGCGATGATCAGCCTATCATTGTATTAAGCTCTGAAAACAGAAAAGAACTAGGCACTTCATCTGATGGTAAGCTTATGTACATAAGTGCATATGTTATGAAATTCTTTAGTCATTGTAGAAATTATCTTGCTGTGGGTTTTGATATAGAAATTTCACTTAAAATATCTAAGCTATATTTACAATTAGGGTTTTGCTAATGACAGCCCTATGAGCTGTCAATAACAAGCATGAATTACTCAAAAAATTATAGATTATGATGAAAAATCAGGGGGAAGGAACAAAGTTTTTATTATTTTGTGTACATTATTGATAATATTTTATGTGAAAAAGAAAAAAGATTGTATAAATGTGAGGAATAGTTGTTAATAGGGGGTCAGGTTATTTAATTAGTTAATGAAAAACATTTAAACTTTATTTATTTAAAGTCTATACTTATGTAGCTTTTTTTAATGGTTTACAATCATTTTAGTCCTGCGGGTTCATAGAGCTTTCCAGAGGAAAGGAATCACCTGGAAATCCGGACAGAAAATTAAAATCCTGAAGGGAGCGTGCCCTGGTTTTAACAGAACAAACATTTTTGCCACTCTAGAGTTTATTATACTCGAAGGATGTGAAGGTGATGGTGGTAAGTTCCCAACTTCCCAATGTAGATATATGTGCATCTAAAGCTTTAGAAAACATGTTTCATTTATTAATGTTCAATTGTATGACAGCGTATCAGTGATCATCCTTGGCCTTTTTTTTCCTTGGTCTTTTATTAAACAAACAATATTCTTTAATTTTATGCAGGTGATGCTTGGATTGTATGCAGGTAAATTATTTCCTTGCTAAATAGTTCTCTCTAAAAGTATATTCCTTTCATTTTGCGTGTTGCACATATAGGCAATTGGGAGTTCACCCTGAGGATGGTTGCCGACTTTCTTTGGATAAAGAAAGCCCTCACCTAGATCTACGTGGATCTAAATCTTTACCATTCAGTGTCATTGATTCTGATAAGGTCACTTTTCTTTAAAATTAGAAGATTTTTTTGGTGTTTCAGTGCTAGGGAAAGTTATTAATTAATAATATGTCACTTAATGCAGTGCATACAAGTTGATGACACCGAGTGGGAGCGCCAGCTTGATAAATACCATCAAGAAAAAACCCCATCCTCAATTGAATTATTGGATGCCAAAGATTTTCCAGACTTGAATGTTGATGAGGTATTTACAAATGCATGTTCATATCTTAAATTTCTAGACTTTTCTTATTAAGTAATTAGTGAGTGTTAGGATTTTAAGAGTTCTCTCTCCTTCCATATTAGTTTTCTGTTTTGTTTCTGGTGTCAACGTATACCTCTTAAATTATACGGAGTATTAGAAAAAATATTTAAAAAAATATAATAGAAGTATTTTTCAATGCAAAAACTTCTGTATAATGGTTTAAACTTTATATTTTACGGAGTAATTCATTGTATATTTCTAGCATATATCTGGTCAAATTTTGACATGCAAAAACAAAACACAGGGAGTAAGGTAACATATATTGAAGTGGACCATCTCTCGTTTTGAGCTGTTAACATGGTTTTTGCATTAAAACTGGTTTTGCTGTGGTCTCATGGCAGACACTGCCTCACGATGTAGTTGATGCTGGTCACGACCCTCCAGAGGAAATCCATGCAATTGTTCGTCCATCGTCCTTCAAATCTGCTGTGGCTTCTAAGAAATTGGACCAAAAGTACATAGAGAAAATTTTGAGATGATTCTGAACATCAGATTTTCTGCTTCAGACAAGAATGACCAATGTGCCGCCCATGTATACTCTCTTCGCACAAAACCATCATCACATAATGGGGTGAGCGGGGTTTATGTTTTTCCGTTGAGAATGAAGTTGCCAGAGTTATTTCACAAAGCTGGAGTATATTCTTTTCTATTTTCACTTGTAAGTAATGATTATTTACACATGTTTATAACTGTATGGCTGGTATGTTTAATAACCTATATGTAATAATTGATTTTGCTTCCTTGTAAACTTGCTCCATAGAACCAAACTACTTGTGGAACTTATGAAAGAAAAGTACACGTACGAGCTTTGTCGGAGACTGGAAGTTGGGGTCTTTCAAGTAAAAACAGTGGGAAATATAAAACAAGGTAAGGCTCCACGGTGACTACTAATTTTCTTTGTTACCTCATTAGATATACACTCTTGTCCTAGATAAGTAACTTATGTGGCGTGCATATATAATATTTTTTTCATTATTTGTACAGGGTTGGTATGCGTGAACTTCCACCTATCTATATTGCATGTTATGACAAATACATGAACAGCATTCAGTTCAAGCCCTTTTCTGATGTTGAGGTCAAGCTTCACTCTGAAAGGGGTGAATTTGCTCATGATTATTCTATGGATGTATATATTTCGAAAGATAAACTCACTTTAACTGTTAAGGTATGTTTTGATATGAAGTAATGGGTTCTACACTATGAAATACGTCTAGCTTCACACACACACACAGGTTACCTCCTCAACTATCACGTTTTGTAGGGTTTGGTTTTCGAGTCCAGTGAACTAGACAAGATTGGACCAAGCTATGAAACTACCTTGTCAATAGGTTCGAAGGATGAGCCATTTTCTGTACCCATTCAAGTTCAGGGTAAATCTATGATATACCTTTCAATCATTACATTTTTTTTACTAAATTTAAGATTTTGAGTGCAAAAGTTTTTTAATTGTATCGCTTGGAAGAATGTAATGAATCTCATTTTCTGTACTTAGTTTTGCCTGGGCCGCCACACCATGTGAGTGTCCATCCACTGAAATTAAGACATAAATTCATTCCTGGCACGTTAATCTCAGAGCTCAAATTGGAGGTGGGTAATGTGATATTTCTTTTTTTTTTGTTATTTAAGATGCATATGATAAATCTGAACCATGTTGCGAACTGCAACCACTTAGATTAGGGTTTAGTTTATTTGAGTTGTCAATAAAGCTAGAGTACTATTCCACTATACTATCGGAATATCCATCTTTTTTGTTCCCTTACTGGATGAATTATATGTTTTCTTGTTTCTGCTGATAATGCCTTGGATGCATTTTCTCAAAATGAACTTCAAAACACTAGAAACAATGAGTATGAAAAAGGTAAGTTTTGCATGCACCCTTCTTTTTGGCTTTCTGTGTTGCAACGGCTTTGCTGTCATCTTCTTTAGAAGATCTTTTTGGATTCATGGTTTGAGATCATCATTGATTTTCTTAGAATTCCATATTGCTCAAGTGTATAAGGCACTGACTTGAACTGGAATGAGCATGAAGCTTACCTGTGTTTCAGAATTTCTTCCTTCAACTAAACTGTTTGGGTTTACCATGAAAAATGGAGCATGTAACAACGATTGATCTTTAAAAAGAAACATAAGGAAAAGTATACTGTACTTGCAAAATGGACAATGAAAAAAAGGACCGGCCAGAGGCTTCACTTTTGCAAAAGAAGCTTTCTGAACTAGTGAAGTAGGAATTAGATCAGTGCTTTTTGCCAAGAGCAGTATCAGAGTTTACCTATTGATTCCAGAGTAAAAGAACACAGACCATGAAGATCCCTTCACATCATGTTGAAAATTGAAGTTTGAGTTACATCTCTTGATATTTTTAGGTTCTCAACCAATTCAAAGAACTAGGTGCACTATATTCATAAACACATCATAAATTGCAGCTAACGTTTGAGTACTTGTTTATTTATAGCTGTTTGATGAATATAATAATCATATCCAAAAAGAAGAAGAAATCCAACTGCTGATGGATGGATTCTGTGCTCCAAACTCTAAAAGGTGTCTTTTATTTAAGGTATTATCTTTCATTCTTTCTCCTGTTCTCCAGAGGTGTGCCCAGTCAAGTGATTTGAAACTCCCAATAAGATTCTATTGATTCTATTTATTGTAAGGTAGTATTTATTGTATTTTCTTCCTCAATATAAAATTGACACTCCCAATAAGATTCTATTGATACTGATTGTTTTTTTCTTTTGAAACTCTCTCTACATTTCAAACTTTCAATTAGCTGGAATCAAGTGTGATGTGTGATAAATTTATGAAATCAATTCTCATCACATTCTCTAATTTTCATTTTGCTTTGATTTACGGCATTGTTAATTATTCTTTTTGGAGCAAAATCATGATTCATCATTCTCCAGGCTACGCTTGATTATTATTTTAATCATTTGCTTCTCCCAACATAGGTTGATGAAAATGGGTGTATAAACCTTGGTGGCATACTTAAAGTTACAGCAGGATATGGTAAAACAGGTGCATATTATAATTTTGTTACTGTATTATGACCTTTCCACATTCATTCTCAATGGAGCTAAAAGAGTCATTGTTTTTCTTATGTTTTGAGTTGAGGAAAAAAAGTGGACTATATCAAGATGGCACATTAAACTTCCCTTGCCTCTTACTTAATATGAAGTTTTGGGGAGTAAATGCATCAATGCATCACGGGTCAATGGAAACAACCTCTCTGTATTTTACATAGGCAAGGTTGTGTGCATCTTGATCCCCCAGATGTTGGGTACCTCCAAATGGAGGGCCCTTTCCCCAAGACTTAAGTATTAAGTTAATTAAAAAAAGGTAAAAAGAAGCTATAAGGATACATGACGTCTGGCAGGAGCTACAACTTTGAGAAACAAATGCAAGTTGTCTACTTGGACTCAATATGAAAAGGACATAGCCGGTCTATTTTTTTTATATAAAAAGGAGATTATGCTCCTTCATCAAGTTGAGGCACCGCCGTTAGAAATTAAGGGAGATAAGAAAATATGCTCTCCGTTTGAAAAGCTCTCCACCTTCAGCAATTACGGAATAATAATTAAGTGAAAGATTGTGGTGAGAGCACATAATAGTTCTATAATTCCATTTAGTGAGAGTTTGAGATATTATGGTGTGAACTTAGAAGAATTCTACAATTCCATTCAGTGAGTAGGTTCTTTTCCTGAACTCGGCTGTAAGTAGCTTCGTTTTTATTCTCAACTAAACAATACTTTTTATTTCCTACAGCATCTCTTTCTGTTTTCTCTGGCGAAGAAGCAATTTTCAAGAAAGATTTTCAAATTGAAAAGCGAGAGCTACGTGTTGCATCAGAGGTTTGTACCTCTCGACCTATTTTACTTTGAAAGTATTTTGTTAAAGTTTGAAAAATACAAGGCATCTAAGGTGCCTGAAACTACTGCTCCTTTATTTTCTTGATAGCAGATACCTGAATTTTGTGTTCCTGGTTCTCATTTGGAGAATGTCGTATTTGAAGTCATAGATTCTGAAGGTGAAGTTGATGAAAGTATCCATGATGATGAAAAAAACGTTCAACCCCACACACTTATTATAAAATCTGAGTGGTCAAATATAGATGAAAATGTAAGATACAGCTTCCGGCATGGTCGCTGCACAGTCTGTAGCATCTCTCTCCCAGAGGTTGAAGGGAAATTCCAATTCCTAGCCGTTCATTCTCGTCACTTGGAACTGCAGTTGTGCATAGAGGTTGACCTTTTCCTGATACATTCATTTTGTCATTTTCTGGGTATGACATTAACTATAAAATATCATACATAGGTGAATACAAAAAATGCTGCAAAACTTCCCTCTGGAAATCTGCAATCTCATAATCCAGTGAAATCAATATTAGAAGTAGTGGAGGCTGAACAGTTCCAGTCTCAAAGTATTGAGGAACCGATATCGAATGGAGTGGAAGTTGAATATTTCCAATCTCAAAGTCCAGAGAAATCAATATTAAAAGTAGGGGAAGTGGAAGTTGAAACTTTGCGATCTCAAAATTTGATGCAGCAGCAGATCTTGCTTTATCAGAAATCCTCCCCCAAGCAAGTTCCAATGTTAGATCATGATGAAGCTTTCTATGAGTATTCAGATTTTAAAATTCAAGAGCTTGCTGCTTCCAGAGGTCTAGAAAGTGAAGAAGAGTTCATAACTATTCACAAGAAGGTGAGCTGTTAAACATCCCAATTTTTCACCTTCCAATTCTGGTGCTGTAGACCTCCCCTTTGTATTCAGTATTCACAGAACAAATTCTCAATTCTTTCCCTTGAAATCTATTTTGAGCCCCTAGGTCCCCCCAATAGAGGTTGGAAAAATCGGAAATACTTGATTTGGTTTTGTTTTCATTAGTAATCTCTTCTGAGAGCATGTGTGACATCCTCCAAACCAAGTTCTATATGTGCATTATGAGGTTTCTAGGTTTGGAATGTAGTACTTCATACCCTTCATAATCCATCAGTTTTTCTTCATATAATTTATTTGAACTGTTTTTCTTCCCAGCTTGAAGATGCTGTTTGCCATTATGCTCAACTCTGTGGACAGTGTGAAACGGAACTCCAAGTTCTTGATTCCAAGCAATCGAATATTAGACTAGATATTTTCAATTTGGAAGGTTAGATATTTGTTATGTGCAACTTTTTTATGAAATGAGCTACCAATACCTAATATATACTCAGTATGTATTACACTAAAAAATAGTATGTATTACACTTAAGAATTGTTTCTGATTAACAGATGCTAGTATGTATTACACTAAAAAATAGTATGTATTACACTTAAGAATTGTTTCTGATTAACAGATGCTAGTATGTATTACACTTAAAAATTGTCTTTTTGTATTTTCGTCATCTTCTAGAACATTATTAATGGACAGATGCCATTTTGCTAAAGGTGTAAATGTGTAATTCACTTTCCGTTCTCAAAAATATCCAGAATGTCACTTTTGCATTTCTTGTAATGGAATGTTTTGATTTCTCCCTTCACAACCATGCCTAGCTTTAAGAATGAAGAAGTCAAACTCTTAGGAAAAGAATGAAGCCTTTAACGGCGTTAAGAATAGGAGAATTTACACTTTCCAGTTCAAGTTTTGCCTTGCTGAAGGTTCACCAAAGTCACGTCTTGTCTTTGGAGGTCGAACAGTGAAGTCAGGTCTAGTATCATGGAGATTAAATGGTTAAATAAAAAAGGGAATTTAACAGAAACATTTAAAGATGATTATCATGACATAGTAGTATATACCAGTAACTACATATTAGTATGACGTCTAAGAGACCCTGAAGTAAGAAGTGTCTTAAGAAGCTGCTCTCAGGAATTAATCATTGAGCAGATTTGTTATACGAATGACTCAGCTGCAGCCATTACCTGCAGTCTGATTGAAGCACCGTCATCAAAAGAGTCATGCCTTGCATTCTCTAAAGAGATACTAGGCGTGGTTGCATTGCTTGGATTTACTGAAACCAATGAGCTTAGTAGGTTCGTGCTCGGTTTCATTTCTTTTTTTGTCCAACTATCCAATTACGTGTAGAAATTGATTTCTCCGTTGTTTTTTATCTTCTCGCTGTTAGGATGTTAGCAGAGTACCTCGGTGAGAAGCAAATGCTTGCGGTGGTTTGCAAAGCACATGCTCCTGTTGGTGCCACACAGATGCATGCGAAGAAGCACGGGCACTTGAATGGTTCAGATTCTCTGTGTGCATTAGCCAATCATCTTGGAATCTCTATTAAGGGAGGATACGATATCATATGCCTCGACGATATAAGGTGGGTCTGCAATGGGAAATACATAAAAATGCACACATTTTTAATTATTTAAAAAAGTTTCAACTTTCAAGATTATATTCATGAAGCTGGAGTTGTTATCAGGCCTTACACTGGTGAGATGAGTTATGATCCCCAAAGAAAGCTAGCATTACCCAATCCTACATTACCAAATGGCGAGAGTCCTCCAGGGTTTTTAGGCTATGCTGTGAATATGATACACATATCTGCAAATCATCTGCAATACAGAACAGCCTCTGGTCATGGTCTTCGCGAGACACTGTTTTACCGTCTACTAGGGGATCTCCAAGTCTACTCAAATAGAGATTCCCTCATCATGGCCAGTTCTCTCTTCCATAGCGCACCCGCTATTTCCTTGGATGGGGTTATCATCAGAGGAAACGGCATCACTTCCCTCGTATTATTAGGGTACGTATATATGTGTATCACCACCACATTAATAAGGAGTTTCATTTTCTTAAACCTTTGGTTTAATATGTTCGTTTCGTTTGTCCTCTTCAGGGATCCACTGGTCAGGTTTCCTGTCATCTCAAGGGAGCAGCAACCGGAGACTGTTAGTCTAGACGTGTTAAATCTTCTGGATTCTAAGAAGATGGAGCTGAGGGAGGTTCAACTTAATTTGGATGATAAAAGAAGGGTTTTTGTGGAGCTCAAGGAAAAGTTTAGCAGCTATCGTAATAAATACTTGAAGTTTTGCTCAAGGGACAATTCACCAGACGTTGAACCGTAGATGAGATTAAATGAGAAAGCAATGCAGAGTATGAAACCGCACATATTAGAGGGGTGGCGTTGAAGGATGGAGATGTAAATTGTATAAAATGTTCGAAGAATATTAAAAATTGTGTAATTTTTAAAACGTTTGAAGTACTACGTTTAAACAAAGAGTAACTAGTATCACACCCGTGCGCTGCACGGGTCATACTTAATTACGTTAGTAAAATAAGATCATTTTTAATGATAAATTATGATATGTAATAGAATATAGAGATTTTAGTATTTTAAGGTACAAAAGTTTTTTGCTTAAAAATTTCAAACGACTTTTTTAAACTGCATTATTCGTACAATTTATGGGAACATTGTGTTTGTTGCATATCAAAATTTTCAAGCCACTATAATTTGTTACTCTATTATTATTATTATTACGTTTATTATTATGATTATTATTATTACTCTATAACTTATCTTTATTATTATTACGTTTATTATAATGATTATTATCATTATACAGTACCATATTATTACCATATTTTTTATATTCTTTCACATGCTACCTTTCTTATTATGCATGGTACCAAAATCGATCTATAACGTATAAAATTGCCTTATTAATAATTAATAATTAATAACTAATAATTAAATTTTCACATGTTACCTTTTTTATTGCACAATACCGAAAAATATAAGGTATGAAATTACCTTATTAATAATTGATAATTAATTTTATAATTTATAATTTTGGTACAAAAAATTTAAGGTGTGTGAATATATTTTTTTAAAATCAAGTCAACACTTTGATTTATTTTATACATGGTAATAACACAAAACTAACATACCTTGATTATTATTACGTTTATTATTATGATGATTATTAGTATACAATACCATATTATTTTCATATTATTATTATTATTATTATTATTATTATTATTATTATTATTATTATTATTATTATTATTCTAAACGTTACCTTTTTTATTACACGTACAAAAAAAATATAAGGTATGAAATTACCTTATTAATAATTAATAATTAATATTATAATTTATAATTTTGGTAAAATATATAAGGCATGAGAATACATTTTTTAAACCAAGTCAACACTTTCATTTATTTTATACACGGTAATAGTACAAAACTAACTTAGCTTTATTACTATTATTACGTTTATTATTATGATTATAATTATTATTATATGGTACCATATTATTACCATGTTATTATTCTTTCATATGTTACTTTTTTTATTATACTCGGTACAAAAAATTGTAAGGTATGAAATTAACTTATTAATAATTAAAGTTTCACATTTACCATTTTTATTACAATGTACCAAATTTATGAGGTACGAAATTACTTCATTAATAATTCATAATTTAAAATTAAGTTCCACATGTTACATTTTTTATTATACACGGTACCAGTAATAATTATTACGTTTATTGTTACACATCCAGTTACTATCTTTGATAGACGACATTCCGTTTATTGTTATCTACATGAATTTAAAAGTAATATTCCTTTTTTTAAAATTCCTTTTATAAAAAATAGATTTAATAGCATTGTATTTTAAAAGTAATATTCCTTTTTTTAGAAATTATATTTCCTTTTGTATAATATTCCGTGGCATCATTATTATTGAGGATTTAGTATTACCTTGATTAGAAAAAATATGTTCAACTAATATTAATTATCAATTATAAATTGTGTCATATTAGCGTTGTTCCTTTTTTAAAATGATTACGTGTTAAAACTATTCGTTTTAAAAAGGAAATTGATTAATCACCACGGTTAATACCGTGTGATAAAAAAAGAAATGCATTTATTATAGCTTTTAAACCATTTTTTAGATTTATTATTATTATTATTATTTAGATTAATAATATCACATTTTTAAAGGCCTTTTGTGTGAAAAGGAATATTATTTTTTTAAATAATAACATTTTCTTCCGTATAATATTCCGTGGCGTCATTATTATTGAGGAATTGAAATTAACTTAATTAGAAAACATCTGTTCTATTAATATTAATTACGAATTACAAAAGAAATTGTGAAGTAATGTTAACTTTTTTAGAAGTACTATTTCCTTATTTAGAATATTTACCTTTTCATATTACCATATATATGGTTTAAATCGCCACATTAAATAACATCCGGAGTACATGTTTTCTTTTTTATAATATTCAGTGTCGTTATTATTACTAAACAATTTAAATTACCTTAATTTAAAAAAACTCATTCCGTTAATATTAGTTCAAAATAGCAATTGTTTGATATTACCATATTGCTTAAATAACCACATTAAATAACATACGTGTTTTAATGCATATTTTCCTTTAATAGAATATAATAATTCGGTATTATATTACCAATACCAAATTCTGTATAAAATATAATATAATTATTAGCATTTGCTAATTACCAATTTAACTTTAGAATTACCAAAATTAATGCCTAGCACTTGGGCGGGAAAACACAAAGTTGACTTCACTTCTTTTTAAATAAAGTATAGAAGTATAGATTAGAAGTACTATTTCCTTATTTAGAATATTTACCTTTTCATATTACCATATATATGGTTTAAATCGCCACATAAAATAACATCCGGAGTACATGTTTTCTTTTTATAATATTCAGTGTCGTTATTATTACTAAACAATTTAAATTACCTTAATTTAAAAAAACTCATTCCGTTAATATTAGTTCAAAATAGCAATTGTTTGATATTACCATATTGCTTAAATCACCACATTAAATAACATACGTGTTTTAATGCATATTTTCCTTTAATAGAATATAATAATTCGGTATTATATTACCAATACCAAATTCTGTATAAAATATAATATAATTATTAGCATTTATTAATTACCAATTTAACTTTAGAATTACCAAAATTAATGCCTAGCACTTGGGCGGGAAAACACAAAGTTGACTTCACTTCTTTTTAAATAAAGTATAGATATAAGCATCTTAAAAAAATACAGAATTATGCAAGTTTTAAAACGTGTAAAGTATATAATGTAAAGAAAAAATTAAAAAATGTTTTCAAAAAATTTTAAAAAATATGAACGCACCGATCGTGAAATCCTTGAAGTTGTCAATATATATAGACTTGGGCTGGAGTAACCTCTTCGTCCTCGGTCCCCTTTGTCATGCCCGGCTTTTTTGTTTTTCTCCGGCACATTCTTATGTTTTCTCCTTTTTTCATATACTTTTCTTCTTCTTCAATTTATTTTCTTTTATTTTAATTTTAATTTAAATAGAAGAAACTTTATAAAATTAATTTTTTTTAAATCATTAAGAGAAAGATAATTAAAAACTAGAAAATGTGAAATAAACTTCAGTGTAAAAAAATAAAAAAATTTCATTGATTTATATATCATGAGAATGAACCAATAAGAATCTATTTTGTATAAAATAAAACACAATCTTTTTATTATTAAATCATTGTGTAGTATAAAAATTGTTTTTAAAAAGAACTTTATAAAATTTGTGGATTTCTTCTAAAAAAGATCATCAAAAATAGTTATGAAAGAATAGAAAAAAATGAAGAATAATAAAGAGGGTGTTGGTGCATATTTTCAAAATCATAGGGGGCAACGGCACAATTTATTTACTATTAAAGGGTATTTTAGTCAAGAGGGGCATTGACGGGCAACGATGTAAATTATGAAACTATAAGAGTGACGGTGCACATTTAGCAAACGACAGGGTATTGACGCATTAAACTGATTTATACGGAGTATAATCTTATATCCGTGTATACTATTTTATCAAATTATATCATAACATCGGAGCTAAGGCTCCAAACCCTAGAACCCTTTTTTTATCGAGCTTAACTGCTGGTCCTTCTCCTTTATCGACAGTGAACCGTTGGCACTTCCCAGCTGCCGGTCCCTTCTCTCCTCCTTCATTGACAGTGACCGCAATTATGGCATCCATGTCTGATCCTCTCGCTTCCCTTCCTTCAGGGGTCAAACTTCTACTTCGTAATATCCATAATCCGGTCCTTGAAAAACTCACAAATTCAAACTATCTTGCATGGTCTCTCAATGTCAGGACTGCCCTTGATGCCAATCTCCAAGGATGGCAAGGTAAACCCTAATATGGAATATCGTACGTGGTTTGTGATTGACACCCAAATCCGTGCATGTCTTCCTGTTGTTATAAGCCCCACTTTTCACAAACAGGCACGAAGTTTTACCTTTGCTAATCTCTGGAATGCTCTTGCAGCTTGATCTAATTCGGTGTCCACAGCTCATATTTATCAGCTTTGAGACAAACTTTACATGCTTCGCAAAGGTACCAAAATCATGACTCAATATCTCGATGAAGTTGCTACTATTCTCACAGATTTGGATGCTCTAGATGAAGTTATCTCTTAAAGAGATGTGGTAAATGCTGTTATTCGAGGTCTTCCTCCTGAATACTCCTCTTTCAAGTAGAACATTTGGAAGAACAACGAGAACATCAGTCTAAATCAACTTTCTGGATGGCTCACCTCTAAAGAAATCAACCTTGAAATTGAGAATAAATCGAGTCTAGCTGATTCGGCGTATGAGAGTACACATACAGCCCCATTCACTACCAACGGTCGAGGCCGCGGTCAAGGAAGACCTCACGGTCGATCGTTCTATGGGCGCGAGGCTGCCCCAGGCCGCGGTGGTCAAGGCAACAGAAGAGGGGGAGGCCACGATCCTTTGCAGGATCTTCCCGTTTGCCAAATATGTGCGAAGCGTGGCCATTCTGCTGCTACCTGCTGGTACCAGAATGATGGATCTTATATTGTGAGCAACTCTGCCAAAACATCTCGTTCTATGCATGCCACTACGAGCGGTCACTTTGGTGATTGGTATCTTGATACAGATGCCAACACTCATGTTACACATGATATCTCACAGCTGCAATCTTCGACTCCCTATCATGATACTGAAACTAGCACTGTAGGTAATGGTCATAATTTACCTATCACCCATACTGGATCAAGATCTATTCATACACCACATGGTAAATATCACCTTCCATCTCTTAATCATGTTCCTTACCTTACCTCAAACTTACTCTCAGTTCATCGTTTCACCAAAGATAATAACTGTACTCTTGTATTTAATGCCAATAAATTTCAGATAGTGGACAACGTTACGAATAAAGTGCAGTACACGGGCCCTTGTGAGCATGGTCTATACACACTTCATTCTAAGCCCATCCCAATTGTGTGTCAAACAGTTACAATGTCCACCTAGCATTGTAGACTCGGTCACCAAGCTCCTGCTATTGCCAAGTCTTTTTGGTCAACTTTAGGTTTTAAAATCTTTGATTAATTACATTGTGAGTCTTGTCATGTGTCTAAGTCTTTTCATTTACCGTTTGAGTTGTCTGAACATAAGACAAATGCGCCATTTCAATTAATTCATTCTGATGTTTGCGGACCAACTTCTATTCCTTCTGTTTGTGGCTTTTGGTTTTATATTTATTTTATTGATGACTTCAACAAATTTACTTGGATTTATCCACTTAAACACAAGTCTAAGGCATAATCAATTTTCATTAGCTTTGAAAAAATGATTAAAACTCATTTTAATTTAAACATTCAGATTTTTCGAAGTGATAATGAAATAGAACTTTTTAATACAGCTTTTGGCCCCATTCTCCAAAACCCAGGTATTCTGCATATATCACACAACTTTTGTACATATAAAACTAAAATACAGATTATATGTGTGGTCTTGACTAAAGACCAGAGTACACACTCAAATCGAGATATAACAAAGAATTATTGATTTGAACTCTCGCAATGATTTATTGAAATAAATCATTATATTGAATAATACGAACTAAATTTGAGAGCCTTTTTTTAAAAATTCAACTAAAATGATTTTGACTCTAACAAGTTAAACATCTGAAAATATGATATCAGAAAAAGTATTTCAAGTAAATAAAAAATATTAATTTGCATAGAGTCTAACTCTCTGATCGAAACGATACAATCAGATTGTAATTCGGAGAAAGTTGGACAAAAAAGTGTATCCCGATTGAGACCAAAATTAGTCCCAATTAAAAAAAGACGTGAGAATTCCGCAACATCGCACTAAAATCACCGCCTAAGCAGGACCACAGAATGAGAGGATTAGGCATGCCATTTTCTTCACCTCAACTCCTATATAAGGAGATCTAATTCTCCCTATTCTGGACAAAAATATCTTTAAAATATTAGGTGAATAACTCCGCTACCCCCGATGATATGGTTTTGAAAATGGGCACCAATGCCCCTCTTGTTTTTCATTATTGTTTGTCTTTTTTCTTTTCTTTTTTTCATAGAGAGAAGAAAAATATTTGTATGTGAAATAATGAATTGTTTTTTCAAACCTATATTTTAATACAAATTTAAAAAAATGTTTTTGTTTGAAATAAGGAATTTAACACATACTTAATTTGTCAAATTCAATATTTTTGTTTTCTATCTAAAAAAGTTTTTATCATTTAGAATATGTTGGGACTAAAAGAATATTTTGTAATATCTTTTTAATATATAGTTAATTATGTATTAATTAAACTTTTTGGACGAATGTGCAAAAGATTTCCATCACAACATCATTTTCCATATTCTAAAAAAATCATATGCTTAATTTTTCATATAATACTTGAAGGATATTTTAGTCTAGAGGATCATTGGCATAACAATATCAGAACTATGAGGGATAATAATGTAAACTTTGATATAGTAGGAAGTAACGATGTATATTTATAAAACTACAGGGGTGATGGTGCAATAAACTATTTTCAAAATATTGGGAACTGTTTGACCACATAATTCAGTTTGCTTTTTTCTCTCTAAACATGTAGAAGCTGTGACCATGCTACCCCAAAAAACATTTCATTTTGATGTAAAATGTCTTGAGTATTTATCTAGTTTTGACTTTTTTCAGTCAATTATTTTCAACCTTTGACTTATACTTAAATAAACATATTTATTCTATATTAATTAGATAAAATAATATTTTGAAAATATTTGATATAATAAATCCAATAAAACTATATTTGTATCAATATCTAATAACATTTTTATTTAATTTTAGGTCAAAGTTAAAAATTCTGATAAAAAAAATTAAAAATAGATAAATACTTATTGACAGATGAAGTAGTAAGAGCCATGCTAGGGGTACACCACCCAATTGTACACCACATGCTTTTTCACCATACATCCTTATTTGATTTTTATTTATTTATTTTTTGAGTTTCTTGCCAATTATTGTGGACAAGGAGGGAGTGGGGAATATTTGGGATAGACTTGCAAACATTTTTCATTTTTGAACTTGTGACCACAATCACCACACTACTCCAAAACCGGCAAAACGCATGTGACCACGCACTTTATCTAAAAACAATTAAAATAAATAAATATATAATTAAAATTCACGTGAACCCACTGTTTGAATAGAATTATTTTTGTTGTTTTTCACTTGGACCATGCTACACTTATATCAAAAATTATACTCTATTTGTACACCGCGGTTATACACAAATATTTTGATGGTATATACCGACAAAAGTTTTGGTGTGTTAAAAAAAATTTACACGGATACAAAGTGTTGGTGCGTTACCAAAAATTAGTTTTACACCAACACAAAATGTTGGTACAAACCTACGATGTATAAATGAGGTACAAAAATTGGGGTACAAATAGCTTTATCCAATTGTTTTTGTTTTCTTCTTTACATGTGCCTCGCTAGGAATTATTTTTGTTCTTGTTTTACCTTTTTTTGTGTTGTTTATTTAAATGTGCCTCATTTACCCATAAGTTTATACTTCCACTTACAAATTTACACCTGCGCGTTGCCGACAAGTATTTATTATTATTATTATTATTATTATTATTATTATTATTATTATTATTATTATTACTATTATTATTATTATTATTATTATTATTATTATAACCATATTCACATTAATTATTACTCATTATTATATTACCATTTATCTGCATACACTTTTGTTACCATATACAAATAATATTATCATTCTTTTACACGGTCATAATATTATTTACTTACATTTATAATTATTATTAATACTATTACCACATATATAATACTACCTCTATTCCAGAGTATTTGTCTACTTTCATTTTTACACCATCCAATACACTTTTTTAATCCATGTTATCTTGTAATTTGTATATATTAAAAAATTATAGAAATTATATATTAATAATCTGTATGTTAAGGCAAATCAAACAAGATCACACATGACTATATTTAGGCTTACACATTGAGAGAATTTAATGAGTCAAAGTGCTTAGATGAACAATTCCAAAAGTTAAAACTGGACGAATACTCCGGAACGGAGGGAGTATTTATTATTATGCTACCATTCCTGTGTATAAAGAAACCCAAGAACAATCATGTTGCCATTTATAAATACTACCTTAACCTAAATAATATTCTCTCTGTCCCAAAATTATTTACACACTCCACTATTCAAATACTATGTAAGCTTTAATTTTTTTTGTATGTTTTCATTGACTATTGATTGCACTATTTGACCACATAATTGAGTTCGCTTTTTTATCTCTCTAAACATGTATAAGCTGTGACCACGCTACCCCAAAACATTTTTCATTTCGATCTAAAAATATACTCCCTCCATCTACAAATAAACTTGTCGTTCATTATTTACAGGACACAGGGTCAAACTCTATTCAGTTTGTTGGCCTTTTTTCGTCACTCATTTGATAAAATAATATGATCATATCATCTCTAGTTTTGTAGATCTTTTGATATAACTTTTTAACATGTAATTTTTATTTTTAAATTTACATTATTTTTCATATAAAATAATTTGAAAATAAATTTAGTCAAACATACGCGCAACGAAAAATTTATTTGTGGACGGAGGGGAGCAATAGTTGTGAACTTGTGACCACAATACTCCAAAACGCATGTGACCACTTTATCCCCAAAAAATTAAAATAAATAAATACGGAGTATATAAATAAAAATCCCGTGATCCCACTGTTTGAGTAAAATTGTTTTTGTTGTTTTCCACTTTACATGGGCCTCGCTAGGAATTGTTTTTGTTTTCTTCATTACATGTGCCTCGCGCTAGGAATTATTTTTGTTCTTGTTTTACTACCTCCGGGCTCCGTTTCAGAGTATTTGTCCACTTTCATTTTTACACACCATCCAATACACTTCTTTAATCCATTTTATCTTGTAATTTGTATATTAAAAAATTATAGAAATTATATATTAATAATCTATATCTTAAGACGAATCAAACAAGATCACACATGACTATATTTAAGCTTACACATTGAGAGAATTTGATGAGTCAAAGTGCTTAGATGAACAGTTCCAAAAGTCAAAAGTGGACAAATATAGCGGGACGGAGGGAGTACTTTTTTTGTGGTGTTTATTTACATGTGCCTCATTTACCCATAAGTTTATACTTCCAGTTACAAAACTAGTATTACACATATGCGTTGCACGACACGTATTTATTATTATTATTATTATTATTATTATTATTATTATTATTATTATTATTATTATTATCTCATTTACCCATGATTTAAATTGTTAGAAACTCCCTTGTTAATTCCGTGCCTCCGTGGTAGGTAGCGCTTGTAGGTCGCTAGGGTGTTGAACTCACTTATAAATGTAAGTTCCGAAGCTGAACAAAAGCTAAGAGCAAATAAATTCTGGGGAAAAGAAAAACGCTAATAAGGAGATCCAGAGAGGTGCGTAGCGAGAGAGAGAGAGAGATGTTGAGGAGTAGCGTACCTTCGATAGTGGCTCTAGGGACAGCTGATCCAGATGACAGCGGAGACGGTGTTTTATCACGTAAATTCTTGGGAATGGTTTCACCCGGAGGTGCCTTTAACGTTCAATTCTACTTCAGGTTCTCTGTTTTGGACCCTGTTGCCAAGTTTGCATTGGAACCGGCCAAATGTGGGGGTGGACTTGTCAACGTAAGATGCTGTTATAACAATCTTTACTGGAGCAGGTAATCATCACATGCATGTTTTCCAATTTTTTACCCTTCAAAATCATCTAAATTTGAGCTGTAATAATTGAAAGGCTGGGCAGCTGGGTTTGATCAGATCAAAACTTCAAAAAAATCAGATTGGATAAGATCAAATCAGGGGAACGCGGCCTTAGGGATTATTGGAATCATCAATTAGTATTTACGTATCAAACATAGTGTCGGTGTAGTGTTACGTTTGGTTTCCATGCCATCAATTTTACTAACGGATCACCATAGAAATCCCCAAAATGCTAATGTCATTTATGGTAATTAAAATCAGGCTCGAGTTAAGAGATGATTGCCTTTTTTTAATTACTCCTTATTTGAGAATACAACTAACTAACACACGATCGACGTACAGGCCATTTCCAAACACAACCACCATTATAGCAGAAGCTAGCGAGCCGGTGGAAGACAAATCATCCTACAAGTGCACACTATTCAAGCCCAACTTGATTGAGTATGACGGCCAACCTGCCGTGCAATTTCTCCATGTCGAAACTGGGCGCAATCTAGTCCTCTACTGGAGCGACTCTCTACACTATCGATTCCTTATGGTGAGCCAGTCCGACTCAGAATCCGAAACCAGTCCCCTCACATCCATCTTAATCGATTATGACTCCTTGGTCATCCTACCCAAACGAGTCATATTTCGAGGCAGCAACAAAAAATTTCTCCAAGCCTCCTCCGACCACTACCCTCAATTCACCCAAGACGACCCCGAATCCGAAACGGTCGTGCACCAGGTTTTCACCACCAGTGACGGATTAATCCAGATTAAGAGCAGTGAACTGGGCAAGTACTGGAGGCGCAGTGCGGATGGCAACTCAGATTGGATCAAAGCGGATGTCGACAAGATCAATGGCGACTTTAATGATGACCCCAACACATTTTTCCAAGTGGTTAAGGCCGGAGGTGATGCCACCGTAGCGCTGCGCAACTTTGGCAACAAACACTTCTGCAAAAGGCTTACCATGGACGGGAAACAGGACTGTGTGAACGCTAACGCGCTGAGCATGATTAGTGATGCCCAGTTTGAGGTGCACGAGCCTGTGGTTTCGAGGTTGGTTAAGGAGGTTACGTACAGGTTGGATGGTGCTAGGGTTTTTGGGGTGGAGGCACTCTCATTGGCCGAGTCTGATGCTGTCAACAGAGGAAACACTGACTCTCAGATTCAGCTCCAATTCGAACGGACTGTAACTAGAAGCAGGACCTGGGGTCATAACATTGGTGTCAAAGCGGGCGTGAAAACTGAGTTTAAAACCGGTGTCCCGTTTATAGCTGAGGGCAAAATTGAAGTCTCGGCTGAAGGCGAGTATGGGTACAACTGGGGAACCACCGAGGAAACTTCTGACAAGATTTCAACAACTCATACAGTGACGGTGCCACCGAAGAGTAGGGTCACGGTTCGGCTGTTAGCAACTAAGGGTACATGTGAAGTTCCCTTCACATACACCCAGGTGGATCGACTCTACAATGGTGACGTCATCACCTCCACCATGGACGACGGTGTTTTCAGTGGGGTCGATTACTACAGTTTCCACCACACTTCTTCTGCGCCGGAGCCTCTCCCGGCGGCCATATAGCTTAATAAACAAGCCCATCGATGTTCTATCTATATATCCATCTGAATAAAGACTGGCTTATTATGGAATTGCATATTCCATGGTAAGCAACCGCAGAATAATTTGGTAATAATGTCCTTAATTATTGCGTCTAATAAAACAAACCTTCTTGTGCACGCAGCCACTGTGCATCCGTCAACATTTCTTGTCTACTCTCTATCATCCTTGTACTCCGTTCCAAATGGATGAAAAATGTTGCGATATGATAACTCCATCTTGTTCTTTTTTTATTCTACATATTTTAAGTGTTATTGCACGAAAATAGTAATAAATTTACCCATTAATGGTGTCTATTAGTGACAAAACTTATGTTTCGTCTCAAGAAGAATAAAATACGGGTTCCAAATTAAATTAAGTGAATTTGTCAATTTTATGTCCCAAATTGGATGAAAAGTTTCAATTCAGATTTTAAAGATCACAATACTTCGGAGGTAGAAATTAGTGTTCGGGAGCCAATTGGGCCAATACGAAACAAATTCGGATCCAAAAGCGCGAGAAATCATGAATTGAAGCAAAAGGGCGCACGGGCGTCCAAAGTTGGACGCCCATGGTATTTGGACGCCCAAGCTAACTGGGGTGACGCGGCTTTGCCACGTGGCATACGTAGATTGGACGGGATACTTATTGAGGGTACGGGTGTCCAAAGTTGGACGCCCAGAGGGTTGGACGCCCGTGTTCCCTCCCTTATAAATACAGAGTCATTCCATCCATTTTACAAACCATTCACAACCCCATTTCGGATTTCCTCCCCTATTTTGCTCAATATTTCTTGTATATTAGTTTTAGTAGTAGTTTTGAAGTATTTTAGGAGGTTTTGACTCCAGATTTGTTCTATTCCGCTTATATGAAAGCTGTAAGTTTTCTTTATTTAATAAAATGTTGTTTTAGTTAATGTTGGAATGGTTAGTCTATTGTTCTTGCTATATTTAGTTAATTAATATCGAAAGTTTTAATTAGCTATTTATTGAGGAAATATTATATGTCGAAAGGCTATCATATTCAAGGCAACAGATTAAGTACAAAACCTAGAAATGGGTGAGTAATAATAGCAATATTATTATTCAAATTATTAATTAAATATGATAAAATAGATCCAATTAATGTCCTGAACCCTAAGTCCAGATCCGCACTCATACTATGTGAAATTTATTTATTATTGTTACTTTGCTCTATTTATAATTGTTCCGAGAAGACTTTCATGAACCTATCCTAACCTTCACCTTATTAGAGTTATTAGCTAATTCCCTTCGTCCACTCCTCAAGAGACACGGCATTCGGAGAGAACTAACCCTTTACTGGTAAGGTTTACTACCCGAAAAGCTACAACAATCACTATACTAGTTGTATTACTTGTATGCCACTATGCATCCTGATGGACAAGAATTCCACCCAAAGATCCGACTCTACGGCGGATCGTAAGAACGACATTATTAATGAGAGAACTTGAAAATTGCAAAGTATTATGTTAGGTTTAGCTTGAGGATCACCGTGAGGATTCCTCCAATTTATACATATCAATTTACATAATTAAGGTAATTAATAAATATAGAAACTAATTCCCGTGAATCATGCGATCCAAATCTCGCGGCTCATATTCCGCAACCTAGTCGTGGTCTCTCCCTTGCAAATGTATTGCCAATGGCTCCTCCATTCAGGTCAGCTCGGGCCCAATGCCTTGGGTCGGCTTAATGCTGATATTGGAATATCCATGGGTCCCAAAATGCTCCTGGGCACACCGATTTGGCAGCCCGGTTGGTAACGGCCCATCATAAGCCCCCCAACATCTCATTCCCTCAGGCGGGCAACGTTGAGGAATGGAGAGTTTTCGATGTCCACGTACTCTTCATCTCAACGGATCTACACCGTCCATTATTATTCGTGCGTTAGTTGGCTCGGTTACCCATAAAAGCAATCATCATTTGTCCTCTCTTCTCCTTCGTATACTTGATAAACTGCCGTTGGAGCTTCTCTTTCCCCATTGCTTTTCACTCCAACTACAATTGCGACCCGACCCAGTTTTTGTGCTTCCCAGGTTAGTTCATCCTTCGCTACGATGTCTTCTTCGAATTCCGATTCCTCAACCCCGTCTTCTAGTCCCGCTCCAGTAGACCAGCTGATTAACCCTGGTCAGGCTTAGGGCCCATCCGGATCGCCACAACCGTCATCAGCGGCTCCTCTGGTAGGTGAAGGCGGCGATTAAGGAAACAATTTCCCTCCCTAACTCCGAAGATATTAGACCCTAGGCTTGAACTTGAGGAAAATATCATGGCCTTATGCCACTGTCAAATCTCAGATCAAGGCTTCGCCAATGCTACTGACATGGTTGGACCCGCCATTGAGGTCCGACGCCCCAGTAAGAGCGAGACCGCCCTGAACGCCCCCAAGGGATTCTTCACTGTGCATCTCACTTTTCTGAAGAGGGGGTCTGCGATTCCCGTTGCACCCTCTGCTCGTAGACTTCTTGAACGAGGTTGACCTCCTCCTTTTCCAGTTAATCCCTAGCTAACTCCCATAGATACATAGCGGGTTTCTTGATGGTGTGTCAGGAAGAAGGGGTGACTCTATAATTTAGACCATTTCTTGTTCACCTTCAAATTGGCCAAGGGGCATAAGGACTAGGCCTCCTACGCTTGCCTCTCCCAACGGACGAGCAAGCTCTTCACTAGCGACGAGAAGGGGTCCACTAAGGAATGCAAGCCCTTCTTTGTCTTTGTCTCCAATGGGCCGGAGTCTCCTTTCACCGGCTCTGGACATCCCTCATTCCGACGTGTCAAGCCACCACCGGCGACGGCCAAGCTCCTGGCCGATACGAAGAAACTCTATCACGGGGGGTCCATCGAGATCAGGGCGGTGGTCACCGAGCAGTCCTGACAAATATTGGTAGGGGAGAGCAAATTAACCGGACCGACCGTGAAACCGAAAACCGAAAACCGAAGTAACTGCTAAATCGGTTTCGGTTTCGGTTTCGGTTTTCCATGATAAAAAAATTCGGTTATTTCGGGTACTTCGGTTTTGTGTCGGTTTTGGTTATCGGTTTATTCGGTTAACCGAATAACCGATATACTCCGTATGTGTGTTGTTTGGGTAAACTGAGATATAAGTTTATTAGTTATTAATATGAATTTTTTAAAGCCCAATAGCAAGTCAGCCCACTTCATTATCCAAAAATAGCAAATGAGTGGCGACAGGGAAACCCTCGGCTTTCGATCGGGAACCAGAAGATCTGCTCTGATGGTGGGGGTCGCCATCGTCTGCATCCACGGTGCAATTCGGGAACCAGAAGATCTCTATCTCGACGAGTAAGAGATCCCCGTCACCGGGTTCCACTCCTTCTTGAACGCCGACCCCTGCTCTCGGTGTTGCCCCTCGGACTTGAGCGGCAACCGGCAGGTATGTGATCTAGAAATCACAGTGGCACTGGTAGCAATTTTTCGGCTTTTCATATCAAAATGAGGAAAGTTTAGAAGTTTACCTGGTATTGGAAGTTTTCGCTGGTAGCAATTCTTGTTTTAGAAAAACAATTGGATTTTGATTTTCTCATGATATTCGAAGTCCTAGTGCTTCAGTGGTACATGGTTTTTGTCAGAACCCCTAAACCATTAACTACTCATATTGCTTTCGTTGATGATGATGATATTGGAGTTTTTTTTATTTTTTGTATGGGTGCTATGGAATTCGGTTTTTAATAACCGACCGAAACCGTTTGGTTTAATCGGTTTCGGTTTTCTCGGTTATCGTCCAAATACATCGGTTCGGTTTCGGTCGGTTTTTTTATATCTAGAAAAATTTCGGTTAGTTCGGTTTTGACCCGAAACCGACCGAACCGACCCGATGCTCACCCCTAAATATTGGGTTCGAGTTTGTCAAGGATGATCATCGCCATCAACCAACCATGTTAAGGGACATCCCCAAGAGGAACAATGATTCAGGTCCCTACGGTAAGCCCCCCTAAGCTAACTATTCCTTGTTTTACCATCATTATTTGTTATTAGTTACTCATTGGTCTCCTTACATTTTCCAATCGAGCTAGAGGAGTAGACGAAAAGTGACATGGACCAGTATCAGCTGCTGTGTTGTTTCACCGCGCAGGACAAGAAGTAGAAAAGGAAGCGATATGCAGCTTCCCACGAAGAGCCGCAGCGCCCGTCCTCGAGCCACGAGGTTCACTCCCCACTCGGTCACATGGTGATCGATGAAGAGGATCCAGAGGAACCGACTCCCGTGGCAGGGTTGGAGACGACGGTGATCAACTCTCCCTCTTACAAGAGGATCCATTGGGAAGAACTGTCTGGGTACCTCATAGATCAGCATTTGGCGCACTCCACATCTGGTCGCGGCGACCATCGGCAAGCCTTCTAAGCGACCTTCCTCCTTGGTCGACTCACCTCATGTCATGACCATTGACATGGAGACGAAAACGGGGTCGACGAGGTTCTGTGTCCCCCACCACTAGTATGTGGGCTTGGAGGAGTTTTTTGTGGAGAAAACGGTTGCGCTCCCCTCTGCCGACCAGGCCCGTTTAGCTGCCTGCTCTGATTGCGACCTAGCAGACATGATCCTCTTCAAGTTTGGCTAGGTATACGCTTTGATTGTCCTTTCTTTCCATTCATTGTGTTCGTCCCGTGTGTACAAGTTTTCAACCTTTGATGCAAGCCTCCCTTGGACTGTTGGAGCTTGCCCGTCGAGCATCCATTGTTAGTTGGTGAGCTTTGCATTGACAGTTGATGAGCTTTTCACTTTGACCGCTCATGACCGTTGGCCACCACCGATGACCCTTACTGTCGTCGTGGACCGATGGTTGAGCGGTGATTGACTGGTGGTTGAATGGTAGTGCTATTTTTTTAACTTTTTTTTTTGAAAAAAGTGGTGAGCTTTGGATTGTTTCTTGGTGAGCTTTCCTTTGGCAGTTGGTGAGAAACTGTAGGATTAATTAAAAGAGTTAATTAAAAAGTAATTATTTAAACAAAATTCTTTATAAAATAAAATGTTTACAACGAATCATACGGAAGGGGCAAACACGAAAATACAATATTAAAAGAAAATGCATAAATGTTTCTATGTACCAGTACTAGGTGCATGCTTCATTGTTTGCCACTGGTTTGCAATCAAAATTAATTTACCTCTCTCAATGACTGTCCTGCCGGATCTGAGGTGACCCTTAGAGATAAGACTCATCCTTTCTCACATATGTTTAAGTACTCTGTTTGGGAATAGCATTAGCGATTAGCGCTAGTGTTTTGAAAAGGCTATCGACAGACAGCGTTTAGCGTTAACGTTTTCAAAGTAATCTGCACTGTTAAAATTTTATCCAAAACATTAACGCTAATCTCTAACGCTATTCCCAAACAGGCCCATTATTGTGCAATTTTAACTAGCGGAAATCCGTCCCCCATGGTACTCCCCCTTTTTTAAGGTTACTTTTCTTCACATAATGCGATTGATTCTGGTCTGATTGAAATAACTTCTGATCTTATTATAAATATTTAAAATTATTTTTAATCTGGTCTGATTAATGATTACCATGAAAATATATAATAAATAATAAAAATAATTTAAAAAAAGCAAGCTCTAAGAGCATTCACAATGGCAAGGCAATGCCTTGCCTTGCCATGCCATGTCACCAAATTCCACTCAAATGTCAAATCATGGCATTCCATGGTCATTTCACCCCACTTATCATTTCATGTGCAAGGCATGATTTTCTCATTTTTTATTTTTTTAAATATTTTTAATATTTGTAATTTTTGAAAAAAATATTTTTTTAAAGAAGTAAACATATTTTAATAATAAAATAGATTTTTAAAATAATTTTTTATAATTAAAAATTATTAAAAAATACAAAATAGACAAAAACAATGGCTTGCCACTGTATGTTACGACACTCCACTCCACTCATTTGTCACATGGTGACTGAATTATTTTTTATTGGTTGAAATAATCCATGTCACCGTATGGCATTTCATTTTTGCCTTGGCCTTGCCAATGATCTAAGTGCTCCAGTGTCATCATTTTAGTCTGGTCAACTTAGTTTTATTTTAGAGAAAAAAAGATTATTTGTTTTTCGAGGGAAAATCCGAGTTCTATCCCTTTTCTTGCCGATCTAATGATCTATCATACTTCTCTCTCAAGCTCTTTTTTTTTGCCGATCTATCAAACTTCTCTCTTAAGTAAAGATATTATTCGAACTGTTTAATTGTAATACTCCGTATGTGATTTCCGTTGCTAATTTGGATCCTCCCGACCCCTCGAATTCATTTTTCCTTGTTGGGAGTTGTTTGAGGGAAAAAACCGAACTCCATTGCGAAATACTAGTAATTATACTTCGAGGTCCAGACTAGGGTTGATATGGTGTTAATGAAAAGTACAGAGTAAATTGCTAGAATATTAGAAACATTATCATTTAAATGACATAATTCAGTTGGAGAATGTTTTGGTTAGTTTTATCTACGCTTCACATCCGAGAGCTAATTGAGATTTGAGTTTGTTATATGAATTTCTTGAAACTATAATCATTTTCATTGCTGCTGAGGATTGGATTTTGGGTTTTGTGGTAGAATTGATACAAATTCTGGTGTTTGCAGATCGATCTGTTTGACAGTTCAATGTGTACTGCTGGTAGTTTTATTTGTAATGTAATCTATGAATACTAATAACAAGAAGACTTTGAAGAGATCAAGACTTCAAGATCATCATACTGTGAAATGCCACTTACCGACACAAATGTTTCTAAGCCTCTAGAGAATTGCTTCATGTTTCCTATTGAGGAGATAGTACAGTTTCCACTGCCTGGCTATGGAGTACCGACATCTATTAGTTTCAGCCCTGATGACAGTCTAGTGACATTTTTGTTTAGTCCCGACCAAAATCTGAATAGGAAGATTTATGTATTTGATCTCAAGAATGGCAGACAAGAATTGTTATTCAGTCCTCCTGATGGTGGTCTTGATGAAAATAATATATCGGCAGAAGAGAAATTGAGAAGGGAGAGGTCACGGGAACGTGGATTGGGTGTAACACGCTATGAATGGGTGAAGACAAACTCAACAAGGAAGACCGTTATGGTACCGTTGCCAGCTGGGGTATGTTAGCTTGCCTCCTCTTTGAAATTAGTTGTCTCTGTTTTAGTTTAACATTACTTCTGATTAGTAATATCTGGAATTCTTTACTTACACTTGGAGCTAGTTATAACTTACAACCTTACACATACATATCCTAATTTTAGCTAACATTTTATAATATTTTCTGAAATATAAGTGTATAAGTGTCAACCTTTAAACCTATTCTATAAAGTGAGAGAAGTTCATCTCTTATCAATGTGATTGTATAACAGGTCCCTCGTACTAGCTGGACTCAACATTAGCATAATTTGGATGATAACAAGGCCAAGGCTGAGAAAACTAACATATAGAGTCTTCGGTTACTCTTTCGTCAAGTTAAATTTTTATATCTGTTGTATTAGATAATGGATATGATGAGCGTATTAGTCATCTCCTCTATTGGATAATGCATTATAGTTCTTACTACTGTATCATAGCTTGAGATCAATATTTTAAATCATCATCGACATATTGTTGCATTGATAAATGTAGAGGCCTAGAGGGTTGTAGTAAAATCCGGTGTCTAAGGAACTCAATTATGTGATTACCCCTTACTCCAAAGATCCATCTGTTGGCGACAATGAAGATACGAATGATCTTATCATCCCCGACACCAAAGATCTATTAATTGGTCACTACGAATATCCGAGGATGTTGACAACTTCATTGCCCCCGACTCTAAAGAGTTGGAGGAATATGGTGTTGGTTTAAAAGATGAGATGGTGTCTGATTCTGAAGATCGATTATCCAAATGGTGATGAAGGGTTTAATCATGTAACATGACCCCAACTTGGAGACTTGGAGAGGATCCCTTCAGTTGCTTGGAGTCTCTTAAGTATGACCCCAACTTAGAGGAGGTACCAGCTTGGTACCATGTTCCAGTTACAAAGGCTATGCTCCAGATCTATCTCCCTCTGTACTTTGTCCAAGGGAAGCCTTTGATGTTTTCTTCTTCATACTAATTTGTTATTTGTCTATCTTGGAATTTTTGTGACGTGTTTGATATAACACTATTTTTTTCTGTATGCAATTGCTTGTTTATTTTTTCCCCTAGTGCCCCTTTCTAGGATTTATGTGTTGTGCTTGACAAGTTGACATTACATAGTGTCTCTGCCCATATGCAATTGTATGTTTATTTGTGCCTCTTTTTAGGATTTATGTTTTTGTGGTCTTTTTTGAGACCCCAGAATGGTTGTTTATTTTCACACATCTTTCACCGATCCATACATGTGTGGATGTTGAAGAGACTAAAAATTCAGCTCAAATATGAAGCATGTGTACTCTTCCCAAATCCCAACATGTGGTATTTTTTGAGCGTTACAACCTAGAACCTTTATCACCTTCCCATGCAATATTGCAAACTCAGCCGCACAAAGTTTGATAATTTTGAGTCGAAGTGTTGGCTGCTGAAGATGAAGAGTGGAAGACTGTTGGATGTTGAAGGGGGAGAATGTTGACGGGTGTTCAGGAACCCTATAAGAAGTTGATAGTGAGTGTACAAGGGAAAAGATGATGGCAGAGTGTACAAGGGAAAAGATATCAGCATAAGTGTTATGCTAAGAATGTGTGTGTGGGGGGGGGGGTGTTCATTTGGAGTGAAGAAGCTTCTTGTTTTAGATTTTTGGATTATTTATGAAGTTGGCTGCCACATTACTAAAATTGGTTCATCAGATTTTGCCCATACGTACATTGATGAATAGTGTTGGTTCTAATCATTGTACTTTATTGAAAACAATTAAAATAAGCTGAGTGTACTTTCAGACCCATTTGAATCCATCCACGTGATTTCAACGGTTTGTTCTCAACCAAAGTAAGAGTAGTTAAGACTTTTTCTTTTACTTTAATCTTTACCTCGGTATTTGTCCCAAAACAAAACCAAACAAAAATATTAGGATGAAGGGAATTATTTTTTAGGAAAGCCATCGTGAGTTGAATTTATCATTATATGCAGTTATGTTAGATCGCTTCTCCTTCTGGACCTCTGCTGGAAAGAATATATTCATATGCATTGATACTGTTATCCAGTCAAAACAATATTTGAGAAACTGGGATATACCAAGTGATAAAATGTAAATAGATCTGGTCGAAAACATCATACTACTCTGCCGTGTTCACTAGGTTTAGGCATTACATTTCTAGTTGAAGGTTTACTTTATCCAGATTTCATAAGCGAATTTGGAATGTTGTAGTTAATCTATCTTGACTCTTTTGTCTTCATTCCTGCAGTATATAACCTTTTAAGCACAGCAGTATATGTAGTTCTAAACTGTCAGTTTAATTGATGATTACTTTTTATGCGAGCAGATATATTTCAAGGATCTTATGGGAGAACTTGAACTTAAGATTCCAAGTACCTCATCAATGCCTATTATGGATCCACATATTTCACCTGATGGATCAAAACTTGCTTTTGTCAAAGGCAATGAGCTGAATATATTCGACCTTATCTACAATAACAGCAGCCAATTAACATCTGGTTCCAATGGAAACATCATTGTAAGGAATTTGTTTGCTTTGTTATGCCAGTTTTTATATACATTTACCAACACCGTCATTCAATTAACCCAAAGTGGGCTTCATTAGTAATTCTTGTTTTGGCACTGAGTCGAATCGCAGGTTATTACTCTGTTTCCCTGTGTTTCATTTATATTGCTGCTATGGTTAACTGTCCGGTGATTGCATAGAGCTTTCTAGTATGGTACTAAAATTGTGCTTTACTTTCCAATTTCCATCATCAGGTGCATGCTCTTGCTGAATATATTGCCCAGGTAAGATCAAGGTTTTATTTGTGCTGCCTAATTACTTTTGGTTAAGGTGGTTTTAAAGATGGTAAAATGATTATCTATCATCCACTTTATTTAAATCTGATACTTTAATAATGTTACATAAAGCGTTTTTATCAATCACACCTGATCTAGTCATACCAAAGCTGCCCTTATTTTTTATCTCAATGTGCTTTCAATACAATATGTTTTAGTTATCTTTTCAGGTTTCCCTGTTTGTTTCTATTCAATATTCCCAAAGGTAAAAATGAAAAAAATACTTAATGTTCCATATATTGATTAAATGAATTCATAAAAATGGCTATAAAGGTTAGAAAGTGGACTAATAAATAGGACCAAAAGCAGTTCCATATATCTGCACTTATACTGGAACTTTTGTTCTATGTGCTTTGAATCATTCCTTGTATCCAATTCTTTATCTTCTCGTACAGTCATTCTACTTAAAATATTGGTAAATTTAATTTTAGCCGGGATATTGATCATCTTGTTTAGGGTCAAATAAAAATTACCTTAACTTCAGTTTTAAAGCAGTTTTTTTCCAAATTCAAATTGGCAATATCTAGCTGAATTATATTCTGATATCCACTTTGTATATTTACATGAATTGAACTTATCCCATTTCTGCTTGATGTAGGAAGAAATGGACAGGAAGAATGGGTTCTGGTGGTCACTTGACGGCAAGTTTTTAGCATTTACAAAGGTTGATTCATCTGATATACCTTTTTTCAGAATCATGCACCAAGGTAAAAGTTCGACCGGTCCAGAGGCACAGGAGGACCATGCTTACCCATTTTCTGGGCAACCAAATGCAAAAGTTCAATTGGGGGTAGTGTCTTCAAATGGAGGTCCTGTAACCTGGATGGATGTTGTGTGTGGAGGAAAGTTTGTTACAGATGATGATGATGATGATGATGATGAATATTTGGCTAGGGTGAATTGGATGTATCAAAATATCCTTGCTGCTCAGGTATTGAATAGATCACACACCAAATTAAAGTTACTGAAGTTTGATATCAACACTGGTAAAAAAGAAGTACTTTTGGTTGAAGAAAATGATACCTGGATCAATCTTCATGATTGCTTCACTCCTTTAGAGATTGGACTGAATAAATCTTCCGGGGACTTTCTTTGGGCAAGTGAAAAAACTGGCTTCAGACATTTGTATCTGCATGATTATAATGGAACATGCCTGGGTCCCTTAACTCAAGGTCATTGGATGGTTGAGCAAGTTGTTGGTGTAAATGAAGCTGTTGGGCTCGTATACTTCACCGGAACATTAGATAGTCCTTTGGAGTCTCACCTTTATTGTTCTAAATTGTTCCCTGAACCAAACGGTTCTCTAAAGGAACCATTAAGATTGACTCTGGGAAGGGGAAAACATGTGGTTGTGCTTGATCATCAGATGCAGAGGTTTGTAGACATTCACGATTCGTTAGTCTCACCTCCCAAAATCTCATTATGCTCCTTGCATGATGGAAGTTTCATAATGCATTTGCATGATCAACCAAGCAGTATTCCAAGAGTCAAAATGCTCCAGCTTGAACCTCCGGAGATATTTCAGATACAAGCAAAAGAGGGGACTACGCTATATGGAATACTATATCGACCAGATGAAACAAGGTTTGGACCTCCTCCATACAAGACAATGATTCATGTATATGGGGGTCCTGGTGTGCAGCTTGTCAATGATTCATGGGCAAACACAGTTGACATGAGAGCTCAATTTTTGAGAAGCAAAGGAATTTTAGTTTGGAAGGTTAGCTCCACCCCTGTGCTTACCCAATCAATTGGCATCTTTCAACAATTTTCTAGCATGAAATAGTTACTTGTTCCTGCATTTCTACTTACACCTTGGTTCCCATGACATTGGGAACCAATGTCATGGGATGACCCGGGGGCGCTCCGGTGCCCCATTCGTAAAATTGACAGTTCCTACCCCCCTAACCCCCCACCCCCCCCCCCCCGCCCCGAACAAACCCCCCCACCCCCTCCAATTGCACCCCACAAGTCGATTTTGACTTTGGAGTCAAATTTTGACTCCAAAGTCAAAATCGACTTGTGGGGTGCAATTGGAGGGGGTGGGGGGGTTTGTTCGGGGTGGGGGGGTTTGCCGGTGGGGTTGGGGGGGTAGGAGCCGTAAATTTTACGAACGGGGCACCGGAGCACCCCCGGGTCATCCCATGACATTGCAACCTGGGTTAACATACAGCTAGTTTGGATGCTGTGTGTTTCTGGGAGCAGGATTTCTATATTCTTTGTGTGGAGAACATAGTCCAATGGGCTGTTTAAACTCCAAAATATGATTGGCTATATAATATAGATTAATCGATGCAATTACCTTCGTCTCAAGTCACTATGGAAGTTCTTGGTTTGGCAAAGCAAAACAAACAAGAAACATTGACACTATGTTAGGTTTGAGGAATTTGGAAGGAAAATAAAGAAAATGGTACTCTCGTTTTCCTTACCAAAATGGGAAGAATTTGGTTCTCCCTCTTAGATTTTGGCTTCTCATTTTCTTTTCCTTCCCCTTTTTCTTTCCTTTTCTCTAACCAAACAAGAAAAACTATTCCATGTCATTCTTTTTTTTTTCCCTTTCAAATTCCTTGAACCACAGTGTAAAGGAAGCAAGAAATCTGATCCTGATTTTTTTCCTATACAGATGGATAACAGAGGCACTGCTAGACGAGGACTCAAGTTTGAAGGAGCACTCAAGTACAACTGTGGTGGTGTTGAAAGTGAGGATCAAGCAACGGGAGCTGAGTGGCTTCTCAAACATGGGCTTGCCAAGGAAGGTCACATTGGGCTCTATGGGTGGAGCTACGGCGGATATCTATCGGCTATGACACTGACAAAGTTTCCAGAAGTGTTCAAGTGTGCTGTTTCGGGTGCTCCTGTGACATCGTGGGATGGATATGACACATTCTATACTGAAAAGTATATGGGACGCCCTTTGGAAAACCAGTCAGGGTATCTTGAGAGCTCTGTGATGCACCACATCGACAAGTTAGAGGGAAAGCTGTTATTGGTGCATGGCATGATTGATGAGAATGTGCATTTCAGACACACTGCCAGGCTCATTAATGCCCTTGCAGCTTCTAGAAAGTTCTATGAGTTGCTCGTGTTTCCCGATGAGCGTCACATGCCTAGGCGGCACAGGGAACGCATCTACATGGAAGAGAGAATATGGGACTTCATTGAAAGGAACTTGTGAATGCTCTTTCCATCTCTTCCAGATATGCTGTTTGTTTCTCTTGTTTCGGAAGATAAGACATTGGTGTTCATATTCAGCTACTCCAGCTTTTCAAATATCTTTTTGCAAATTCAAGAGGCTTTCAAATTATAGCTTCTGGTCCTGTTCAAATTTGGAGAAGGCTTTCTAATTAGGCCCCGTTTGGCATCAACACTAAAGATTAGCGGTGGTGTTATGAAAAAGCGGTTTTTAGCGTTGGTGTTTTCATAATTAATCTACACCATTAAAATTTTATCAAAAACATTAATGGTATGTTTGGGAACATGGATTTGGATTTCAAATATGGATTTGGCTCAAATTCCATGTTTGGGAAACTTAAAGATTTTGAATTTGGATTTGAGTCAAATTTTTCTCATTCATAACAAAGCTTAATTTGAAATCCATGCACCTTCCGTTGTCATTTGAAATTCAAGATTTTAAATTTTAGAATTGAAATGCATGAATTGAAATGAAATGCTAGTTGTCAAACACTACCTAATGTTAATCGAAAACATTGTTCCCAAATAAGGCCTTAATCACTGAAGAAATGTTAGAAGGCATTCTAAATTTTATGCAGTGAAGTTAAAGTTGAACAAGGCTCTCCAAATTGAAGCAGCCAAAAAGGAAATGCAGGCGAGATGGAGAAGAATCGTGCGAAATAGGAATAGGGTGAAGGGGTAGTTTTGGAGAGTTCATGAAATTTTTCAACTTGCTTAAAAAATACACGCCGGGTCAAACTGAGAAGAAGAAGAAGAAGAGTTTTGGTGGGGAGTACATTTGAATATTATACTCCGTTTGATACACAGAATTCAAACTACGGAACTGGAATTAGGGACAACGATTATAATTTTGCTGTTTGGTAGCACCAAAATAGGAGGATTTGTAATTGGTAGTGCAAAAAATGAATTGGAATTGAAGAATTCAATTTCATCTAAATTCAATTTCATAGAAATTTCAATTTCTAATTGAATCTCAATTCCGTCAATTCTGTGTACCAAACGGACCTTTCGAAGTATGACATTCATTTTGCAAACTATTGACCCAAATGATTTAAAATGATACTTTGTCCCAAAATAAAAAACCAAGAGCAGGCATGCTTCAAAAAAGAAAAATATAGATGGGAAATGATAAGGATAAGGAGAAGAGTAAGGGGAAAAGCAAGCTTAAGCTTCCTGCAGGGGCTTTGTCTAGTTCCCCTTAGGGGGGGGGGGGGGGGNCTTATAGCAGATGGAGCGTCTAGCCCCCATAACCCCATCTAATCCAGATATTTCTTCCTCTTATGCTTCTTTTGGCGCGCACACCACCTCAACACGTGTATCGGAGTTGGCCTTTGAGAGGTAAGACGAGGTCTTTGGGCCTCATTCTATTGAGCTAGACAGCTTTAGGAGGAGATCGATCTATCAGCCAAAGCAGTTCCCGGATGTATTTTTTTGATATGACATATTTTTAAATTGATAAACTTTGTTATCTCATTTTTCTTATAATTACTATATATATGGATATAGGTTCTAGGGTGTCGGCCAGGCAGGGATCACAAAGAGTATAGGGTACTGGACTTCGCCGGTTGTTCCTTACCCGAGGGATTATACGACGTTTTTTTTTTTGTTTGTTCAAGGGCAGTTAGTGTTCGTAATGCTTATAATACATATAAGTGGAGTATAATTTTTTCATATTCTTGAATACCATTAAATATTGAAGCACAGAATTCTGTGAAAGGAAAGGGTGTCTAAGGTTATCATTGGGACTTCTCGCTTGTTGTTTGATCCTGAGGGGAGCACTTGAGAACGGTTGACTCCAGAGATGGTGAACAACTGCGAGGAGTACATAATTAATTAGAGAACGAATGATGAAATTTGGCGTCATTCATCAAATTATTTATGTTATACGTTGCACAAAGGTTGTAGGAGCCTACAGGCCTTAACGTATGTGCGATGATGGATGTATTTCTCGAGAGAGCGGCATAATGGTACGCGATATGACATTCAACATTAGTAAGAACCACGTACATTGGAGATCGACCCCTGGATTATTGCATCATGGTTGCGTGGGAATAAGTGATTAACCAAATACTTATACATTGACTTGAATAATGTTCTTAGTATTACTCATATAAATTTTTATGAAAGCACCATTAAAGGACACTTAAGACCATAGTTTAGAGAGGGATGTAGAACAAGATAAATGAAGAGTGTCTTGGATTGGGTGAGAATATGGAATAGATCCCCCTCACAAGCCATGGCGATGTCTATAAATAGACCTACACTAACATAATAGGTCCGATGCAACTGAACATAAGAAACATAAATAGGGCATGGTTTTTGTTGTCGGGGCATAGCCCAACACTCACTACCAATTCAACAAACATACATATAGCCAACCAGCTAACAAGCCGAGGAGGCGGACCGAGGAGACGAGAACATAAGTGCAAGCCTTGGATACAACATATGTGTCACATATATAAATGGACATGTATCTATGCCTGGTTTTTGGCATGGAACATAAGTGATCATTGTTGATCATATTTTTTTCTTGTATGAGTTTCATACTGATTTGAGTCTTCAAGAGTAGCTATTGTCATATTTTATAGGAACTTTAATTTGTATTGCAGTATATTCGCTATATTGGAGATCGAGTAATTCTCGGTGTGATTTATTTTCTTTCTTGTAAGAAAGGTTGTAAAATCTTAGTGTTAGGACTTCATCAAGTGGTCAAATAAATCTTGATGTTGGTTTGCGCCAAGTAGTTTGAGAAATCTTAACGTTGGGACTACGCCAAGTGGTGAAATCCTATGACTTGCATTGTGTAATCAAGCCATATGTGATAGGTTAAGAAGCTTGTGTGACCCAAGTTTTTGAGTTTAAATGTTTGCAAATACCGTTAAGTTTGGTGGGGTGGTTAGTGAAGGCTCAGTCGCGCTTGTCCGGAGATTGAATGTAGGCATTAGGCTAAACCAATACAGATCGTGGTGTCCTTTACTGCTTGTCATTACTTGTCCTTGTGGCTACGTGTTCTTGAGCATTTTATACACGAGAGTAAATGAGTAATTGAAAAGATAAGTTCCGTTAAAATCAATTAAAGTGGCTGACATTTCAATTCACCCCTTAGAGGTGCGCGCTAAGTCTAACAAAATGCACGGCCCAGTTGAGATGAAGTTATTCTAGCTCTAAGTCTTCATTTTGTTTTCTCTTTTAAATAAATTTCACCCACAGTTTTTAAAAAAATTTGATGTACTTTTTTTGAACTCTATAAAATTAAACAATAATGAAGCTAGAGATGAGAGAGGAAGCTAGTCGCACCTACCGACAAGTGCACAAGCCCTGCTCCATAAATTTTTCTCCTCGATCATAAGGTATAAGAGCCGAAGTCCCCGCTTCATTAATGATAAATATAACAGGAATTGACTAGATAGGGAGCTTAGATTACATTCGTTCTTTATACGCACAGACTATATCCAAATCTTTTTCCAATAAATTAAATGAACATCGACCCACTTACACAAGATATAGAAATTTTGAAAGATTCTATATATAAATGAAGAATGGAATTTAAACAAAAAAGAATTAATTACAGTGTTATTAATTGTAGCAGCAGCAAGCATAGCTTTGCAATTGAGTGACGACCAAATCAAAACTAATCGATCGGAATTCCAAATAAAATTGATTGCCCAAAAATAAAAATGGTTATTATACATATATAATTAACCTGAAAAAAAGGAAACCGAATGACGATGGTTGTTGTTGTTGTTGTTGTATGTGTCGATCGATGATGTGTGTAAATAAATAGTAAATAAATTAGTTAATATGAATTAGCTAGCTAGGTGGTGAGACCCGCCAAGAAAGCCACTCCGGTCGGCGGCAGCCATGAGGATCCAAAAATGAAGCTAGCGACGGTGAACTTATAAGCCTCCGCCGTGGTGTTTATCAAGTGATACCCGGTCCAGTTAACCCGCTGGTTCAAAGCGGCACCTGGCCCGGTGTTGTTGTACTCCCCATAGTACAAGGTGTCGAGGGCAAACGTCTCGTTCCACTCAAGCCAGCCTCTGGAATGAACGTGATCGCCGATGTATGACATCATGACCACCGCCCTGGAGTACATCTTCCACGGCCGCCCCAGGTAGGTGGAGTAGTTGAGCTTGGCCGCCTCGAGGTCGTCGGCCGCCAGAATGCGGCAGTCGTGCAAGGACATGCCGGTGTTCTGGTACGGGTCCTTGCGGCTCTGGGCGGTGACGGTGTTCTTTTGGCTCGGCAGCGGCCGCCGCGCGAAGATGCCGCACTTCTGGAACACCACGGCGGCGTTGCCGAAGATGAAGTCCACCGTGCCGTAGATCTCGCAGTCCCGGTAGAACTGGCGCTGGGAGTGGACGTACAGGGTGTCTTGGTACCCTTTAATCTCGCACCGGTGGACCACCGCGTGGTCCGCCCCCACCCGCAGTGCCACCGCCTGGTGGTTCTCCGGCCCCGCCCAGTTCTCGAACGTCATGTCCTTCGCTATGAAACCAGCTCCCGTCGCAGCTGTTGCATGCATGCCCAATAAAGCAAATCACATCATCATCATCATCATCAATTTCTCATTCCACAGATCATCAATTAATACTAAGCCTGATATATATATACATAAGAGAAAAAGTGAAGGACTAATTAGAGATTGATTAATTACCGAAAGAGGCGGTGTGGAAGGTCGTGATGTTATCGGCGACGACGCTCCTTCCTCCTGAAATTATAGTTTTACCCATCCCGTCTCCGAAAATCATCACATTTATTTTCTTCCTATCTATTTTCAGATTTTTCTCCTCGTACCTGCACCCGAAACAAGTTGTACGTGAACTTCCTATTATTTCACATTTAAAATAAAACATGAAATGGTACTTCAAATCACAATTTAAAAATTCAAATTTTTCTCCACTGATCTGCAGAGAAGTCTGATAAACGGAGCCTAAAGGAGTTACTAACTCTACTCTATCTTAGAGCATTTGTCAAGTTTTAAATATGAGTAATTTACCTAAATAAGACTAAAACATAACGATTTTCTCAAAATAAGACCATATGTTTTATTTTCCAATGTAGAACTATTGGTCATTATCTATTAGTCATTATTCAACTAAATATCCAGCATCAATTGGACATTATTCTTCACACTAGTCATTATTAAGTCCTATTTAGGGAATAAAAAAGTTTAAGTCTTACATTGAGAAATTACTTATGTTTTAGTCCTATTCAGTGCAAATTTCACTTTAGATATTTGCAAATCAAAACTGATGAAATTTTGATCATTTATTAAATAAAATTTATATTAGGTATTAATACAAAAATAATTTTATTTAATTTATCTTCTAAAATATTTAATTCATATACTATATAATTTTTATTTAATTATCCTAATTGTTTGTAAGATGTTAAAATGGAATAAACATCTTGGGACGGCGAGTTCATTACAAAATAAGAAAACCAGAGGAGATGGACCAAGTAATAGTGTAATATTGGTGTCTTGTAAAGGGCTAATGTCTACGAAATATAGAAAGAAAGTCAAAGAACCAATGATTAGGATAATGAATTATAATGAGATAAGCTAAATAAAATACACGGAGTTGTAAGTTTCAAAAAAGGAAAAAAAAAACACGGAGTGGTAAGAAATTTAGGTAGTTTAAAAAGTTACTCTGTGTTGCTGTATAATTTCCCACAAAACTTCAACAATTCCCTCAATATTTTTATTGATTATTTATATGAATAAAATAATAATGTCATATTTGTTTGCTAGAGATTTTAATTTTTTTTAGAAAATCCATTAATAAAATATTTTTTTTTCCAACTTAAATTCGTAAGTTTGATCTTTTGTCATGATTCGATATTAGACAAAAAGGTTTTTACACAATATTCTAACAAAAATTAATTTAACCAAACAAAACAGTCAAATATGATAGACGAATATGCTTTGAACAAAACAAATGAGTCCAAAATCAATTGAACCAAACTGTAGGGGGGCGGAATTTTCTTTACTACTCCTAATTTCATTGTGCATTTATGTCTAGATTGATATTTGATCACTTCATTTTTAGATGTCTTTTTAGGATATTTAAGTATTTTTTTATTTATTATCTTAAAATATTTTTAAAATTAGCATGAATAATAGGATAAAAAATACTGCATCCATTTTTATTTAAATTGCATATTCATTATTTATATGATCAAATTTTTTTCATTTTTTATTGATTTTTGTTAGTCATTTGATAAAATAATATAATCATGTCACCACTAGTTTTGTTGAGCTTTTTATTTTTTTTTAAATACATAATTTTTATATAAAATGAATTGAAAATAATTTTAATCAAATATCGTATATCGAAATATGTGATTTAAATTAGGACATAGAATCAAAAGTATATTAAGTGTTCATTATGATTCTTATAATAGAAATCACCCTAAATAAAATAGGAGTTTCATGTTTTTATTTCCGTAATACGACTTCGAACAGTGGTAATGAGATTGTAATGTGGTACTGTACGTACATGTGCACATTACTATATTTTTTTAGCAATGTACATGATCATGTTTGCTAATGTAAATGCATTTTAATTTCTATTTCAAAAATAAAAACATGGGAAATTTACCTAAATAGGACTTAAATATAATGACTTTTTCAATATAGGATCATATGTTTTTATTTTCCAATGTAGGACCATTGGTCATTATCCTTTAGTCATTATTCAAGTAAAATATCCATCATCACAGATTCACAGGACATTATTCCTCTCACTAAACATTATTAAGTACTATTTGAAAAATAAAAAAGTTTAAGTCCTACATTGAGAAATGACTTATGTTTTACAGTAATTCTATTTGACTCATCAAATTCTCTCAATGTGTAAGCCTAAATATAGTCCTGTGTGATCTTGTTTAATTTGTCTTAACATATAGATTATTACTCCCTCCGTCCGGAAATATTCTTCCCATTTTCCTTTTTAGTCCGTCCGGAAATGTTCTTCCCATTTTCTTTTTTAGTATGTTTTTTAAGGCTAAATATCAATTATACCCTTCTATTTTATCACAAATCTACTTTTTTAATACTTTTTTAATAATAAAAGGAGATTTAAAAGTTTATGGTAAGTGCATTTTTGAAAATTTTGCATTTTTTTTACTATTCCTTAATAAGCGTGCCAAGTCAACACGGGAAGAACATTTCCAGACGGAGGGAGTAATATATAATTTCTATAATTTTTTAATATACAAATTACAAGATAAAATAAATTAAAGAAGTGTATTAGATGCTGTGTAAAAATGAAAATGGACAAATACTCTGGGACGGAAGTAGTATATACTCATTAATTTTTTAATGTATAAAAAATAATACGAGTAGTAGTATACTACTCCCTCCGTCTGGAAATATTCTTCCCATTTTCCTTTTTGCTCCGTCCGGAAATAATCTTCTCATTTCCTTTTTTAGTATGCTTTTTAAGGCTAAATATCAATAATACCCTTCTATTTTATCACAAATCTACTTTTTTAATACTTTTTTAATAATAAAAGGAGATTTAAAAGTTTATAGTACGTGCATTTTTGAAAATTTTGCATTTTTTTACTATTCCTTAATAAGCGTGCCAAGTCAACACGGGAAGAACATTTCCGAACGGAGGGAGTAATAGGGAAGGAACAAAATAAGCTTTGGAATTGAAACTTTTGGACGTGGTTGGGGAGACCGGAGAGGCAACCTAATCAACCCCAAATTGAATGCCAACTAATAAAGGTACACAGTGCACCCGGTTTATCATACACGACAAAACGTCGGTTTATCTTTTGAACTAAAATTCCAGTTGAACACATTTGTACCAATCATCATCAACATTAATCGAGTTACACTATGAAATTATTGTCCCAACTCCCAAAGTTTAATTTCTTTGTTTCAATTTTAGATCAAGTTCCTCAAAACAATTACTCAAACTCAAAATAACACACATTTGAAGAAAGATAGGGAGTAAATAACATAAACAGTAATGGATAGATAGAAAAAGGAAGAAATAAGATTGGTGGACATACATACCTTCCTTCCCTAACGTAGATTATGGTCCGGCGATCAGATTTTTCCGGCACCATCTCGATCGCCTCGGCGATGGTCTTCACTGTCCCGTTCCCGTCTTTGGATACAATAATGTCCGCACGGATCACGGGCCCAGGCGCGGCGTCAAGCAACCGTCGTTCTTGCCGAGATACCCATACCGGGAAATCTTCTTCTCGGGTCAACAGCTTGCGGCGGCGGTGCTGGACCGGCACGCCGGAAAAGTCTCCGCCGTTGTTTTTCTCTGCGGCGACGAAGATGGCCAGACAGTTGCTCACCAGCTCCGACAAGTCCTTCAACGACCTCTCGGACATTTTGGCCTTCAGAGACCCGCCGGCGTTCTGAATTCCATCTTTGCACGTTTCGTGGTTCGTCAGGGCGGCGCTCAGCCAGGTCTGCACGTCCTCCGCCGCCGCCGCGGATCCCTTTCCGGATGATCCCAAGGAGGCGAGGGACTTGGAGAGGAGCTCCGACGACTCCTCGAGGAGGTCGAGGCAATCATCGTACGCCGACCGCTCGAAACCGCTCATCGGCAGGTTCCCGATGTCGGTGGCGCGGGACAGGGCCTGCTCGAACCGCTGCATTGTCAAGTTGACAGAAATGTGAACAAATTCGTCTCTGGATGCGGAGAGAGCGCCGGGAAATTCGAGCAGGGAAGTGACGCAGAGATTGGGGTACCGGGTTTTGCGGCAGGTCAGGGAAATCGCCCGCGTAGGCTTCACCCTGATCCTCGTCTCGCCGGACACATTCCCCTCCATCCTCGCCCAAACGCCCACCGCGGCGGCGGAGGCGAGCAAGAAGGCGGCAACGAATGCGAGCATAATTTTCACCCTACCATTACTGGTACTGCCCTTGGGGGGCTTCTGAGGATCCTCTGGAAATTGACCCACGGGTGTAGGACACTCCATAGCCATATACCCGATTATAAATTAATAAGACTAAAAAATGTCGGCCGCCGGAGAAATTGGAAGCGAGAGTTGGGTTTCTTTGGGTGGGAATTCATAAGCGGGGGGGGAGTGCGTTAATATAGCAGCGGTGGGAGAGTGAGAAAGCTTGGTGGAGGTTGGTGCAAGGTCAATCTCAAAGACGGGGGGGATTAGCTGGCCGGCCTCTACGCTCTAATCTAGTGACAGCAGATTCCAGTTCCATTCATTGCCCCTCTCTTTTTCTTTTTGTTTCTTTTCCTCCTCTTTTAATCGGTTTCCCTTGTCCAATGAAAACACGCTCCAGTAAAACAGCTATAACGCCAATTATACAATTTTGACGCAAATGATGACTTAAACGTTACTCCCTATAAAAAAAATACTCCATATTCCTTGTCTTTTAAATTAATAGTCTTTTATTTCAGAAATATTAAAAAGTCACGACTAAATAAGTATTCTTTCATCTCAGTATATTCATCTAATTTGACTTTCTCAAGTTTATTCATCCAAAAATTTTGAAGCTCATCATGTGTACCTTGAAAAAATAAAATTGGTCAAATATACTATAATGTAAAAAAGTAATAGTTAAAATTTAATATAAAGCGAGAGAAAAGTGTAGATGACATATTCTTTATTTTATTCAAACATGCAATATTAGATGCAGATCTAGACTATTTGGAGCGATCAGATTATTTGTTTGACATAAGACCAATGCAGACACAGATCTAGACTACATGTAGACCAAACTTAATAAAAGAATAAATGTCCATTTACATGGGTGGGTTTGGTTGGCCCAAATTAGATGAACTAATGGTTATACCCATACCAGCTTACTTGTGTGTGCCAGGTTGCCCACTAGGCTTTCAAGCCCAAAAATTGCATCAAGTAATTTTTTTTTAAATAAAATAGAAGTCAAATCAGGAAAAAATACATTACATATAAAACCCAAGTCATATTAGTAATAATTTCACAATGAAAAGTAGTTATAATAGTAGTTTCAAGTTGTGATAACACATTACATGCCCAAATGTGAAATGAAAAAATAATATAAGCTCCAACTGAGAGCACATTACGAACACTAATAATCTAATACGGAGTAGTATACTAGTATACTTCTTGAAAAATGGGCAGATCCATGTCGAAGACAGCGGGGTAATCCTCACACCATTCGTGCAGGTCGCTACTTATGCGACAAGGAATTTTGCTACCTTAGGACAGTTCGAGTTACTGCCACCGTTTTCCGGGGTTTTCTTGAAAGCTTATAACACTTCTCCTTTTGATTTTCAAGCACAGGGCAGGTGTCAGACTCTATACATCGTGTTACCACTTACTCGTTACGGAATCTCAGGTGTCAAAGTGTGGGTTTCATATAGTTAAAAAAAGGGGACATGCTATATCTGAAATATACGAACTATAGTAAATATCGTAAAGGCAGATCTAGTAGGGATAGCAAACCGGACGGTACACAACTTGGTTTAGAAAGATATGGCACTAAAAGTTGTGGAGCTGGTCGTCTTTCATATCGAGCCATTCAAGCATCGCGTCGTGCTATAATCAGACACTTCCATCGTGCTATGAGCGGACAATTCCGAAGAAATGGTAAGATATGGGTAAGAATTTTCGCAGATATCCCTATTACCGGGAAACCTACAGAGGTAAGAATGGCAAGAGGAAAAAGAAATCTTACGGGTTGTCAATAGGGAGAACACAAGACCTAGAGACCAACCCTAAGTCCCATATGAAAATTGAGTTTGAGAAAACACGAGCCTATATAGATAATTATTGTTGTCCATATCCGCCATGATTTGAGAATGGACGAGCCAGGCAAGCCAACTCTTGTTTGTACATGTCTATTTATTGTCACTTCTTGTGTTTTTACATCCATTCAATGTACCGACATTAATTTTATCTCTTGTAATTAGTTGATTAATAGTGGTGTCTTGCATCACATGGTGTTTCGCTCAGATGTTCAAAACTGAAAATATGTCTCCATATTTCATCATTTTTTCAATCGAACTAACTAGGAAGTGTGAAAAATTACAAATACACTTCTATTTTATTGTAATAAAGGTTTGATTAGATAAATCGGGGATAGTGAACATCAATTGATTGGCATAAAATTGTAATATTATCTTGAATTATTTAGAAAAACTTGGAGCAATTTTTTTCGTCACAATTTCAATGCAAAACCCTAAAATGTGACACTAAAATGATAACTTCTAAAAACTTGTGAACTAAATATATAAAAAATATGAAGAATGAGGGCAGGTTTCCGCAGGACAGGCTACTGTAGGAAAGGATAAAGCATTTTCATTAATTCCACGAACAGATGACCATTCCCTTCACTTGAACATATGACACACCACTTAAGGGATAGCCAAGTTCAAGTGTTCAACACCGAGGCCAGTCTAATGTTGGTATGATAGGCTTCAAAAGAACTTTTAGTCACAAACAGAAATACGATCTGCAACCCTCAAATGGAGACATCTACTGCCTACAGCAATAATGTATGAAATCCTAATAATCAGGAAGTGTCAGATAATGTTGATGCAAAAAATGATTTGTAGCAAAATCTTGAGTCAATTAAAGCATTGCACAAGCATATTTGTTCAAATTGGTCATCATATAAGTTCATAATAGTTACCAAAAGCAAGAAGATTGATCATATACTGACTGCACAACCCAACACAAGACAGGACATATCAACTGCAATGAAGAAACACAATGGCCTATTTTCTTGCCACTAACAAATATGCATCAGCACCACCACTGAGACCAAAAGTAGGCACTGTCGATCAGCTAAACTTGGCCTTGGAAAAGTCCATTTCCGGGTGCTGCAAAATTTGTAGAAGGTCCATCAATAAAGGTGTCACATGTGCATAAATATAAAGAGATGGTGGTAGTAAATTATTGGTATTCAAGCCAAAACTCCCAGCAGGTGATTAGGAAGCCAAAGAAACGAAATAATAGGGTACGTTTTTCATAAATTATCCTCAAACTATTTTTTGTAGTACGCAGCCTCCATTTTATTCTGAAAATGTGGGAATTAATTGGAAACAGATTAGCAGACCAATTCCTTTCAAAGACGAACATAAAAGATGCACACAATGATTGGTCGGCTCATATGATCTCGATATAATTTAATAAAGCAAATTATCTTCTTTCTACGAAAATAAAAATATTAAATAAAAGGATTTGCAAAATACGTACCTCAGACATGAATTTCTTTAGGATTTCTTGTTTCTGCATCTCATCACTTGTTGGAAGACCCATGGTTTTTTGTCTCTGGTCATACTGCACAAAACAAATTACAAGTTCTATATAGGCCATTGACAAATTCACCAAACACAAAAAGGACGAGGATATCAAATTAAGTGGAGAATTACGGACCGAGTGAAGTCAATTGCTAAAAACGTCATAAGATGAAAAGAATACTCCAGGTATACAATTATTGTAGTATATAATCAAGATGGTAAAGATAATACAATATCAGCCATCAGCCTTCCACTTCACACTTTACATCAAATCGGGTTTTTTTTTGCACTTCATTTTGGAACATTTTTGCACTTTATTTTGAAACATAAATGTTACTAGATACACAAACATTTATAAAAAGAAAATATTACTGGATCCAATCGAAAGTTTCACCGGTCATTTAATGACACCAATATCACTTGGCAAAGAAATAGTAGCATTTTGAAGGGTTTTAAACTTTCCATGTTACCTTTTGGTAACAGGGAGGGCTGCCAAATTGAAAGTATGTCAAATCACAGCAGGAATTCTCACCAAATCCCTCTGTGGTATTGCTAATAGGTAAAGGCATTAAGTTTCACATTGGGTGTTCTCACTGCTCTACCCCACTAAAGGCCATGCCCGGGCCCATAAAAAATAATTGTTTGCACGGTTACAACTCTCTTGTTTAACAGCGATATACATATTGTACATCATGTGTGGATGCATATGATGAAAGGAAATTGAACAGAAAAACGAATATTGAAAACTTACCATCATTTTTTCCACAGTTGACCGCGTCTCAGGGTCTAAATCTGATAGTTTGCTATTTTCGGGCTCTACTTTTTGTGTATCAATTTCAGGATCACCCTTGACCAAATATTTCCACCACTCCATGTTATCGAACTTAGTTAGCAGTACAGAGATGGATTTTTGATCCTCTGTGGAACAGTGAGAAAAACAAAATGCAAGTTAACATTTAGCCTGTATTAATCTAGAATACGGAGTAAGAAACAACTAGAAAAAAGAGTTAGATGTTAAAATGATTGATAAAAAAGACATGCATGCCAAATAGCTATGCACAGTACTGTGAAGACTTACCCAAGCTCCAAAAGCAATCATCAACCTTGACAGGCTTGTAGAGTTCAGCCTGGAAATAGGAGTGAACAAGCATCAGACTTGCAAAACAAGAAATAGAATATACAAACATCAAACTTGAAAAGCAAAACAAAATAACTAAATAAACCATCTATGTATGAGCTTAGCCAAAATAGTCTCCGTAACTAACACAACCTAAGCACTTACATCAATAACTGGTGGCTGACCCTTAACTCCAACTTTAAGATGGTTCTTTTTAATCTCGCATATGATGAACCTTGACTTTGTTCCAGGAGGCACAGGGACAGTGACATTGACCTCCTGCAGGGTTTGAGTCCAACAGTAGTTATCCATATCAAGTCCATTTCCACTGTTAGGAGCTGCAGCCATAAAAAAGAGCAGAATAAGAAGATTTCAGCACCAGGACTTCTGTTAATGGCTGGAGACCAATGGATCTAAGGGCTATGAAACATGAGAAGGTAGAGAGTGGCATTGAGGAAATACACAACCAACACCCTTCAGTGAAAATAGGCTTATAAAAAGAGCAGAATAAAAAGATTTCAGCACCCGGACTTCTGTTAATGGCTGGAGACCAATGGATCTAAGTGCTATGAAACATGAGATGGTAGAGAGTAAAATTGAGAAAAAACACAACCAACACCCTTGAGTGAAAATGGCCTCAATAAGGTATTTCACAGCCTCCCCCCATAAAACAAATAAATAAATAAAACATAAAACGCTGATAATAAACACAGAAATATATATATATATGTGTGTGTGTGTGTGTGTGTGTGTGTGTGTGTATGTATATGTATATGTATGTATGCATGCATGTATATACATACATACATATATATATAGATACATACATACATACACATATATATATATATAGATACACACACACACACATATACATATGTATACACACAGACATACATACACACATACATATCAGGTGTAACCCAACTTGCACTATGCAAGCACAAGTTAAAGACATTATGTTCACAACCAAATTTTGCAAATTAATAAAATAAATCCAGAAAAATAACTCAGTGCCCCTCCCATATTAATTAATTTTTGTTTTTCTTTTTAATTTTGGTTTGTAGTCACTAACGAATGCATGCTTCTTTATATTAAATTATTAAAAGGAAAATTATTACCTTAAAACTACAATCATTCTTTAATTGATGATAGGCTAAGAAAAGGAACTTGCAGAAGAATGCTAGTAGATGGCAATGTCTACAAACATCTACACAACTAGACTCCACTTGCAGGACCTTAGTTTATTGTTATTATTTACCACACTGGACATGTGCCCCTTGTAAAATAGTTAGGAGCAGTTTGGCAGTAAAAGGTGTGCTTTGATTGTAAGTGAGAGCAATAAAACAAATGGATGCCTAAGTTAGAACAGGTGTCAGGACAATGAGGGGAGACTTGACACTTCCATTGTGCAAGTTGGGTTACACAAAATAAAAACATTGAATCAGAAAATGCATTCCTATTTGTTCTGATTTTAGATGGTATTTCTTAGAGGAATCCAAGGGTCACACATAATGAGGGGTAGTTGGATATGAAAGAGATTGTATTGGTTGCTAAGACGGGGATGTTAGAGCTTGTACAGAGGAGAGAAGCACAGTAAACACATGGCTCACACATGAAAATATCTTAACTGTAGTGCAACTTTGGCAAGAAGCACAGGGAAGAGGTGGAAGCCAACATTTGATGATGATAACAATGTGGGGCATGTGTTCATACAAGGAGATGTTGGAAAAAAATACTACATGAGGTCTTCCAAATAGAGTTAGTAATCAATTTTAATTATTAATATAGAGAGAGTTGAGAGAGCAGATTGTAATGGTTCGGTCACATTCACAGGTTGAAGAGGGTGAAGAACATTTTGGTTGAGGGGCCGAGGAGAAAGGCCACAAAGGACGCGCAACAAGCAGTTGAGAATGGACATCTCTGAGGAGGCATATTAGAAGCCTTGGGTCATTGTAAGGGTCGTGTGTGTGTGTGTGTGTGTGTGTCATTTGGAGATTAGCAGCTCAAAGAAGCCTAGACATTTGCACCTTAAAGTACCTTGATGAAAAAACTCCGCCCCTCAAAGAGAATTAGAGAAACCACCTAGAGTGGCCTTATTCTGCAGGCAAAACTGATGTTTAAACCTTTCCACTTTTTTAAATAAAACTTGCAATAGAAAACTCTGAACAATAAACACAAGGAGAAATAAGGACATTATACAGGCACATAATCTACTTTAGAAAACACGCCACAAAGCTTGATGTTATTCGGTGCCCCTTCATTCTCAACCAAAATCAATGCGCAAGCAGCACAGAGTTCACTGGGATTCTACTCTGCATTGTACACACTGTAGATGTGTAGGACATTCAAATGGATGCAATTGGGCACTGAGAATAAAGTACTACTTCGTTTAATACTACCCAATTAATAAAGCAAAAATATGTATGTATAACCCTAAATGGAGGTTAAATAATACCTCTTGGCCCGTTCTTATTTTCCTCCTTGGAATCAGCAGCCGTATCATCCTCTGCTTTCACCTCCTTTGGAGGTGCAGCCGCGGCAGGGATGGGCGCCTCTTTCATCTCTATGTCAATATTCCCGTTCGTCCCACGGTCCTTCTCCTTCTGCATTCGCTCCTGGGTTTGGACCTTCTCCTTAACCATCCTTACCACCGCATTCACATCGTTGATCAATGAATCGCTCTTGAACAAATCAGATTCGCGCGCGAGGAACCCAAACACCGTCTCAAGAAACCCAAGCGGGTTTGCGGGATCCAGAGAAGCCTTAAACGGCTTGGTTGCGGTGGCCGAGGAAGAAGGCGCATTAGCTTCCGGCTCTTCGTAGTCGGAAAGAATAGCCATCTCTCAGCTGCAAATTCTTCTAGGGTTTTCGATGTTTGCCGTCGTGGAAGAGTTTAGAGGGTCATATTAATAGACGATGGACAATTCTAGAAAGATGTACGGAGTATATTGCTACGGAATATACCTAAAACCATCTTTCTACCCCTTTTTTCTTCGTCCTAAAACTACCTTCTCACTTCTTAAAAAAGAATATGAATTGACTATCTTACCCCTCTCTCAATTATCTCAACCTCCTGGCTTCTCTCTTCCGTCTCTCTTCTCCCTCCTCCCCCCTCAAAATGTAGATCTAATCTTCTCCCGTCTCTCTCAACCTCCTGGCTTCTCTCTTCCGTCTCTCTTCTCCCTCTTCCGTCTCTCAAAATGTAGATCTCATCTTCGCTCCACCATCGCCGATCAGACCGCTCTGAGCAGGTAAGCCACCGTCGACCTTTCTCCGTCTAAACCCTAGATATATGTCTCCCCCTTTCTCTGTTTGTTCTTCTCGACCTTCTCCGTCTCTCCTTCTCTCGCTCTCTCTGTAACTTCCATCTCCCACAAAATCCTAGATCTATTCTTCACGCCCTTCATATGGATTTCGCTGGAGAGGAGATTCACAGAAAGATCCAAACTTTCAGGAGAAGTGGTGTTTCCTACTTCATATGGGATGAATCCATGAAGAAGATAACCAAACATGAAGATTGAAGTTAGTTTTGTTGGATTTCCAACCTCATTCGAAATGGGACTGGTGAGATTTGCCCTAGAAATGTCCAAATCTTCCTCAAATTACCAAATTACCACGGGATAATTCCTTCGTATGAGTTGTATCCTATTTCCATGTGGGTTAAAGATTTGAGCTTTCCCAGTATCAATGGGAATTTTTCAGCAAGAGAGATTCTCCAGTTAGTCGTACTCAGAAGTCGGAAGGGAATGAAATGCCTTAGTTTTTATTTCAAAGTTTTAATGGAGAGGCAAAATTGGAAGTCAAAGCAAAATTAACTAATCCCTTAAAAATGGCCTAAAGTCAAACCGAGAAGGTTGATTTAGGACGGAGGGAGTAATTATTAAATACCAGTAATACTTTTCCTTACCGAGGTAAAATATCCAAGTTTATTCAATTCATTTTATTTTCATATTGGTATAGAAATAAAAATTAAAATTTACATATCAAAAAACTAAATGAAAAGTTCTTCAAAATAAGAGGTGTCAAAAATATTTTATTTTATCAAATAACCAATGAAAACGTCAAAATAAACAAAAGTTCCCGCGACTACTGAAAAAGCAAATGTGAGATATATTTAGAGGCGGAAGGAGTATTACTTTCCTCATGTGTCCATATATTTTTGATAATTTTTTTCATTTTTAATATCTAACTTTAAATTTAAATGTACTATTTAAAAATATTTTTATAAATAATACCAAATTTAAATACTTTTTAGAGTGAAACTAATTGTTTTTCTCAATAATCGATAATCTGCTAATATTTGAACAAAAAATTATTCTACAAAATGGAACGAATCTGTTTTTTGTAAGTTGAAATTATTTTTTAAGCGGCACTTTGAATTGTTTTTTGTACTATATATACTACTATTATTTTTAAAAAATTAGCACAAAACTTGTGATTATTTTTCGTTAATTCTATATAAATGTTTTTTTGCAAAACAACATTACAACAATTGTGAAAATAACACAATAAATTTTTCTATGAAATGAAACTTTTTATAACTCACTGCGTTTTCTGTTGTATTGCAATTTTTTTCATGAACAACACTCTGAAATATTTATTCATAATATTTTATTTCCCGTATTATTTTTTCTAAAATGGAACTACCTAACTTGTGATTTTTTTCGATAGTTTAGTACACATTTTTTCCCTGAAATAATAATTCAAAAGTTGTGAAAATCACACAATATTTTTTTCTCTGAACTGACACTAATTAATTTTATAATTCACTATATTTTTTTTGTATTGCAATTTTTTTCTCGAGCGATACTCAAATTACTTTTCGATAATCCAATATTAGATTTCCCCTAGAATAGAAAAAAATTTATAAATTTTTATATTTTTTTAAAAAGATTGAGAAAAATCTCTAACAAGAGTGTATTGTTATATTTTCAAAAAAATAAATTTTAAAATTTAAATTAAAATAAGAAAAAAGTAAACTTTCTTATTATAATCTCATCTTTCATTTATATTCGAAAAATATACATTTTCAAAAAAATTCGTTTAGTGGCAGTTAGCTTTTTAACAACGACCCAAAATTAGCATACATGCAAAAAACTAGGATTATTTTCAGGAACAATGAAAAGTGGAATTATTTTTTAAAAAACTTGAAAAATGGGGTTATTTAAGATAATTTTTCCTTATTTTAATTATTTTAACTCGAACCTAAATGCTAAAACAATCTTGAGCGTATTTGAGTTTCAAAAAGTTTTAGCTTAACCCATTTTGAAAAAAAAAACTTAAACCTTCTTTGAGTTTACTTTGTATTTCTCCCGTCTCAATTTAAATATCATTGCATGTTGTTTACGTATTTAAACTATATTAAGATATATACATAACAACATGTGGATAAGACTATATTATTTTATCACACTGGCCCCCCCTTAGCCGTAAGCGTTCGCTCATAAGTGGGGGTATTACATTCACCCCACTTTAAGAATGCAACGTCCTCGTTGCATCCTTTGTTCTCAAACCCTTAGATCTTCCCCGCTATGTGAACTAAGCTCGTTGGCCCGTCACGGTCGCAGGGTTGCTCTGATACCAATTGTAACACCCTGGCCGTAAGCGTCCGCTCATAATGTTGTAGACTGGCCCCACAAACCAACACAAGTCTTTCCCGCGTACTTTGTCCCCACTCATGCGCGCCCAAGGAAACTTCCCAGGGGATCACCCATCCTAAAATTGCTCCAGGTCAAGCATGCTTAACTATGAAGTTTCTAGGTGATGAACTCTCGAAAAGAAGGTGCACATTGTTGGTATGAGTAGTACTATCAATTGTTTTGAACCTTTTCTTTCTCCAATCCATTTATTTTCAAATCAGGGTATTACATTCACCCCCACTTACGAATGCAACGTTCTCGTTGCATCCTTTTTTTAAACCCCTAGATCTCTCCCGTTAGGTGAACTAAGCTCTTTTGGCCCATCACGGTCGCAGGGTTGCTCGGATACCATTTATAACGACCCAGAAACGGGCTTAGTAGTTAGCCGTTATTTTAATAAAAAAAACTAAATATTAAATTTATTTACTCAAAAAGATGAACTATTTGTAAAGTTGACCATTTTAAATAAAAATTAGATTTTAGGGTATATTTCATAAACCGGTGACCAACGATATATAATTTTCTAAGTTTGGACATACGTGTGAAGCGTGATGAGTAAAATAGACATTACAGTTCAATAAGTAAATTTAAATATTTTATCGAAGTAATATTAAATAATACTCCGTAATAATAATAATAACACCATACCTATCATGCTTTCCTAAGGCTACACGTATTTCCAAATCGTAAAACCCAATTCCAACTTACTCCATACTCCCTTCGTCCCAAATTATTTGCCACATTTAGACTATGATCTGTTAGTTGCTTAGGAATAATGGCAGACATCCTAATCATACTAGACGTAATATCGGATGTTTAAGGCCTAAATCCCATCATGTCCTCACAAATCTGAATCCACTGATCTCTGGATCGGCCAATCATCCCTGCCAATGGATTGCCATCTACGGGCAATCCAAGCAAAACTTCTACATCCTGCAAAGTAATTCCAACCTCTCCAAAGGGAAGATGAATGAATGGGTCTCAAGTTTCCATCTCTCTACTAGAGTAGTGATCAAAGCCCAGTCCAACAGCAAGCCACCAACTTTCTCAACCCCATAAAATCTGTATTCTCGTAAAAACTCAATTACACGAACCGGTCTATTAACAATAAGAGTCCTCGTATACAAACTAGTACAAGTCCTCTGACACTTTAATACTTTATTAATTAGCATATTCTTGGACGGAGGGAGTATGGAGTAAGTTGGAATTGGGTTTTATGATTTGGAAATACGTGTAGCCTTAGGAAAGCATGATAGGTATGGTGTTATTATTATTATTACGGAGTATTATTTAATATTACTTCCTCTGTCCCCCATAGATCTTTCCAATAACTCTTTTTCTTTGTCCACAATAGATCTTCTCATTTCATTTTTTAACAATTAAAATACCAAAACTACCCCCACTTACTTTATTTATTACACCTCACCCACCTCATTTAATACACTCCACCCATTTTCATTAAGGGTATTATGGTAAACTTTCACCTTTTTTTCAACTCTCCTTAAAAACCATAAAAAGTCTAAATGAGAACATCTTAGGAGGACGGAGGGAGTATAAAATATTTATATTTATTTATTGAACTGTAATGTCTATTTTACTCACCACGCTTTATATGTATGTCTAAATTTAACAAACAATACACCGTTGGGCACCATTTTAAGAGACCTATCCAAAAACCCAAATTTTGTTGGATAATATTATGTTTACGTTATATTTGTATATCATTCGTTTTCTTTATAATATTGCTAGTCTCGGACGGTCAAACCCATAACCTTCGTAATTCGGGTTCGCACGTGGAATATGCCGTTGGACTCGTCTCATCGAGACCATCAATTTAAGTATAAACTTGGACGATTAAAAGAACACCTTAAAATATCTTATTTAGCATTTTTGTTTTGACATTCATTTAATTTAAATGAAAATTAGAATTACGATTTATTAAAAATTTGTTATAAAATTCTAGGTTATATTTTGGGGCGTTACAAATACTTAAACTCTTTTTGCTTCATTCCCTTTAATTGAGGTGCCTTTGAAGGTTCAACCGATGCAATACTTTTCCCTTTCTTCTACATCCATCGCCATTTAAAGTGTCTGGTGAAGAGTGATAAGTATTCTTGAAAATCCTCATTTGATGGTACGTCATCATCACTGTCATCTTCATTATCGTGACCATGAAAGGCAAACTGCTTTTGTAACACTTTAATCCGTCCAGGTCTACAGCCCCTTTCGATCCAAGTAATAACTTGGTAATCTTAAAATTTTCAAACATTTCAAATATCTTTATTTATCACAAATAATAATCAATACATAACAGTAGAAATACGAAGTGTTTAAGAATAATGCGGAAGCAAATTTAAAGTATGTCTCATAACAAACATAATTATTTATTTTATCCATAAATCGACCACGACTATCTCGCCCCATCCGCTGCAAGGAGTATGCCATTCATTCATTCTGTTTACCTGCGTGTAGCAAATAAAACACACTACACGCTTAACAGTGAAGCTGAGTAAGCATATCTAATGCGTCAAACATCCATATAAATTGAATCTTAATTCATAACCAACCATTTGATATCATGCACACAATATACAATTCAAGCATTCACCAGTCTTGATATTCACAATATTTGTATTCAAGATATTTTAATAGTGCTCTTAAATTATTCTTAATCTAAGGACAAATCATTCTTATAACAAGCTCTTAGCTATTCCTAGTTTAAGGCAATATTTTTAACCAGACTCTTAAATTATAAATAGTTTAAGGCAGAACACAGGAATCGATAATCCACCCTATGAGTCTTGTGGATTACGTACCAACCGAACAGTGAATTGTCGGGTGGGTGATATCCAATTTGGATCCCGTACGTACGTTTTAACCCTGAATTTTGATTTGGTCAAGGAGGTATATCTTAGAGTTCTTCTAAATATCCTTAATAATCATCATCAATTTCCATATGGGTATATCTTAGAGTTCTTATAGATATCCTTAACAATACACATCATCTTCATGATTACCGATATATCCATTTTTAGTCATGATTTACTCATCAATAATCATTTTAATCAGTAGGTTCATCATTCATAATCATCCATAATAATCATTCATCATAATCATTAATCAACACAACATCCAATAACAAATAGCAGCCTAGTTTCGAGTGTCAACACTCTAACTTACGGTCATGCATCACATAAGATTTTATTTGCCAAAAACATCATTTTTATTGTGAAAAATCATATTTATATTGTTCATAATTAATTGGTATAAAAAATAAGATTTTAGAACTCAAAAATAACATTTTCAGAAATATTTTCAGAGCAAACAGGTTGGGGGATCGATCCAGTACCTAGGATCGATCCACCGTAGAAAAACTTCCCCAGGTGATCGATCCAGGAGGGTGGATCGATCCACCCTCTGGTTTTTCGATCACTGTTCATCTTCTTCTTCCTTTTGGGTCCAATTTCGAAAATACCATTTTTAGTCACTGAACTTCAATTAAACTATATAAAAATGATCTCCAAGGTTCATAGATCATTTTGGTATCATTAATTCATAGTTTAACATTTCAAGGTTTATGATTCTTGGTTCTTCAAGTATGTCAAACACAAAACTCAAACAAATGACCTTTTATGAACGTAGAAGCGATCTATACGAACATTCTAGCCACTAGACGTATCTACGGGCTTACCTCGAAGCTTATTGAAGGTTTTAGAATTTTTCCAACGAAACTTCCAGGGACGATAACTCCCAACTCCGGCAACTTCACACCAATATGACAGCACCACTATGTTCTCCTCACTCACAGCAAGAGAATAGATAGAAAGATTGTGAAAAATGGTGAGGAATTGAAGGAGTTGAAGTGGTCTTTATATAGGAAGACGGTGAAGGATGTTGCTAAGGGTGATGTCTGGTTTCCTATTCGGGTGGCTGAGTGGAGCGAACCGCCGATACTTTCTAATGTCAGACGCAAGTACCTGATTGGGACTAATTTGGTCCTAGTCGGGGTACACTTTTTGGTCCAACTTTCTCTGAATTGAAATCCGATTGAACCGTTTCTATCAGACAGTCAAACTCTACATAACGATATACTTTTCATTATTTATTGACAAACTTTATAAATCACATATTTTTGGGTTCTTCTCAGTAAGTAATTAATTATCAATTAATTAATTCTGATAGGCCTATTTTCGGAGCATTACAGCTTTTCACACTTCCTTCTTTTGGTCTCTTTATTCATTTGGAGTTCCATAGTCTATAAATTTCCCATGAGTTCATCAAGTGTCATGCTCTTTATGTAATGTGCCTGACGAATTGCCTTTGCATCCATTGCATAACTCTCAAGTAGGGCTCTGAGAATCTTAAGCACCAAACTGTCTTCAGTGAAAGGATGTCTTAGGTTTTCAACCCTTATTATCTAGATCTCTTACCCTTCCATGAAACTCTGTTATTTGCTCTTTGTCATTCATACAAAAAATTCATACTTTGTCATGAGAATCTACAATTTAGTCGTTTTTACGTGCTCGTCTCATTCACGAGTAGTTTCAAGAACCTCCTAGGCTTTCTTGGCTTTAGTATAGTTTGATATGAGTCTGTACTAAGAACTATCCACTGCAGCAAACATAGCATTTAGAGCTTTATCGATGCATTCAGTTGCATATGCTTCTTCATTGGTGTATTTTTCAAACACCTTGATCACGTTCCCAATTCCCTCAGTATTAGTCTTTGTAGGATCAGTCCAGACGATTTTAATACTTCTCCAGACTCTTCCACCTTGAGGTTTTAGAAAGGCTCTCATGCGCCTTTTCTAGAAATTGTAATTTGGCCCACAAAGTAGATGTGGTCATTGAACATTTACACCTTTCTCCATATCTTCCATGATCGATTAAAGCTAGTAGATTACGCTTAACTGCTCTGATACCAATTGAAAGTTTGTGGGGGGGGGGGGGGACAATGGAAATCACCAACAAAAATGATCTACGCCAACATATCAAAAAAACAGACACAGACTGCTGCAGAAGATGTTTGAGCACACTTTTGACAGATAAAGTGCTATAACATCTTCTTTTTCACATGCACACACGCAAAATATAAGAGAAAGCAGTAAACAATGTACAAGAATTGTTTACGTGGTTCGGAGAAAAACTCTCCTACATCTGCGCGGCCCTCATCCGTGTAACAACCCTTCCACTAAATCAACGTATGGTTACACCTTCAATCACAATAGATTCTATCTAGGGTATTGAATTAACCTACTTACGATTGACTTGAGAGCAAACTCTGTTTGTGTCCAACCCCATGGCTTCTTGCACATACTTCAATAACTTCATTTACTAGGTGTGCTATCAGCCCTTCTCCAGCACTTCGCAATTCAACTGCTGGATAAATGTAGATCACACATGGTAAGTGCGTCAGGTTAACAATAAGGTTCTTGTGACTCGCACTTCGATACGCTATTCCTCACAAGATGTATATGATGTATGAGGAACCTATGTAATAGATGAAACTATCCGCCTCTTTAGTTCTCTCTTATATTTCTCACCTCACTTCACAGATGTGACGAAGACTATATATAGGGATAAACTCACGAACCCTAATGTCTTACGCCCCAAATGTCTCTTGGTCTTAGACTCCCTGCACCATGGAACTCCTTCGTCTTGTAGTGTCTTGCCAGGGAGAGTCTTGTGGCCCAATACAAATAGAATCCTTCTCAGCTTAGCAAATAGAATCCTTCATAGCTCAGCATGACACATAGAGGTGATGCTACACAATCTGGAGCATGCTTGATTACAGGCAGGATGCTACAACTCTAACTAAGACTGAACAACAACAAACTACCACAAATTACTAAATCACTATTTGTTTTGTCAAAAATGATAATGCCAATAAGACATTACAGCACAACCAAGGAATTAACAATCATCACCTTGTATTTTGTAGAACTTTTAACATATTTTTTAATGTGGAATCTTTATCTTATTTTATTAAATAAATTTGTAAATAAAATAAATTTTCAAACATGATATTTTGAATTTTCTCCATATAATCCAATTTGAGACGCAAGCACTATATAACGATAATATACAAATTAAACATAAATTTAAACAAAGAAAATAAGGGAATAAATATATGTATAATGATAATGTATGCATTGCGTAAAATTTAGAACGACCCTTTATCATGTAATGCAGCGGTATGAAGTCATAATGATGTTCACGGAGGGAGTATATAATTGCAAAAATTCTTAGGTATATCAAACTTTATCCAACTTGTACTCCATCAATCTCTCCACCATAGAACTAATGGTGTGGATAAAATAAATTGAGAATGGATGAAAAATGTGTGATGTAGAAAAATGGATGTAAAAGTTGGGTATATATAACTTAGTGTACCCCTAGCATTACTCGTACAATTATTAAACAATGGAAAGGTATGATGCATCATCCACATCAAGGACAACGACTTCTTTTGTGGATATTTTGAGAGCGTCTTTAAACATCTCAAGAGAGTGTTCCAAGTCATCACAGAGCTGGTATGGATCTGAAATCACTTCAGGATCAACTGCCATTGATATCGTCATCTTGTTGCAATAGCTTTGGAAGTGTATGGTTAATGCCTACATACACGCATACAAAAATTAAGCAAGGGATTCAAACCACATTAAATCGTGCATGCATGCAGGGAATTATATTGAACGGTATTTATGCATGCATTAGTTATTGAAACTTTTAAATTTGTATATATACACTATTTAAATGTAGTAAATTAATGGAGTAATAATAACTACACACACACACATATACATACATGTCCGACCCCATAAACTGCAGGAGCTGCGAAAACCATGCTATGTCCGAAAAATGATATCTCGTCTTCAGGTCCCACAACATTGGATACTAATACTGTAGTGTTAGCAATCACTCTGTTTGTCAAAGCAGCAGCAGCCTGATGAGCAAGCAAAAATGAACATAACCCAATCCAATGGTAGACATTGAAAAAGTAAGAAGCGTACGTTAGAATTTTATTTAAAAATTAAATAAGAGAAATTTTGTGGACTATATTATATTTCTTTTATAGAAAAGTAATTAAGGAACTAAGCATTTGTTTTAGAATACTAAAAAAGGAAGTATAGTCTTAGAGCTTGTTTTTTTTCAATTTCTTTTTTATTAACTATTTATTTTTATTGAAATCAGATTTGATCAAAAATAGATTTAAATATAACCATAAAAATTAGATCATCAGGTCAAGTTTTAAATCAGATCCAAATCAATTAGGTAAATTGAAGAGAATAAGCCCTTAATATCAGTGCATAGGATTATTTTGGGCATTCGGGACATGTTTCTACCCCTACATTAGTGCCTTGTTTAACCTGCCATGAACGAGATTTTAGGGTTAACATTTATTAAGAGAAAAACTAATCTACCTACTGCATTTTTTCAAAAAAGAAAATAAGTGTTTATTTTAAGACAAGACGGGCAAAAAAGATATTATTGTGTATTTTCCAGGATGAAGTATTGAAGACTTATAATAAAATATTCTTTAAAGGTCATGAACATAAAGTTCAAAAACCATAGTTAATATAAAAAGTTAAAATACATTGGGTAAAATTAAAAAAATACTACTCCGTAAAAGGTAATATTTATTCTACTTTCTCAATGTTCAGAATTGTTGGACATTATGGATATCGATGATGCTTGCTCTATGGTACTTCATACTACTAAGAACAACCTGTATTGCTCATTGAGTTGTTTGAGTCAAATTAATATGGTTCTATTTATGAGAACAACATAAATATTTTATATGAAAAACAAGTCTTTCTGGATTGGAGTAAAAAAGTATGAAAATATTAAAATAGGAGTCCTAAATATTTTAAGACAAAAATAAGAGTATAATGTCACTATGATGTAAGAGTATATGTTGGAAGCGTGATGGAATGGTGATGATAGTGTAATATGTCAATTTGATTAGTCAATTGTTGGCGATCCGCGACGGTACTCTGGTGGCCGGCAGTGACAGATGGCAGTGTGGCGGTTATAGTTTGGCAGTTACAATGTGACATTATGGTGAGTGTGGAAATGTGACAATGGCCGTGTAAACGTTTATTTTGGTCGAAAAACACTCATAACTCTTATTTTGGTATTTTCATAGTTTTGTACTCCTATATAGGGAGTTCTCCCTATATGAAATTTAGTTAGTAGCTAGCGTTACACCTTTAATATCTAACAATGCATTAGTCACACATTTTTGTATTTTTCTGACAGAGCTCACATCTATGTGTACTTTCTTACACACACAAGAGTACCCCCTCCATTCCGATGTGTTTGTCTAGTATTCATTTTTGGACTGTTCCAAAGTATTTGTCTAACTTCTGTTTTAGGGAAAACAAAATGAGAGGAAAAGCCGATTATACCCTCTTATCTAACTAATGTTGAAAAAAGTGGGGGAGACAAAAAGAAATCTTGGGAGTTCAATCCCACATATAAGTTTGATGGTGTCTCATCCTTTTGCCAATTGGTTTTAGGATGGAACCCCAATGGGCTTGTGCGTTGGGCCAACCGTGCAAGTGCACATTAATGGGCGTTTGTCTCCCCACGTTATCATTGGCCCACTGGCAAACTTTTATCAATTGTCGTTGCTGCTGCTTATGTAGCCTACCGTCGCCGCCGGTCCTGTAGCCTCTGCCTAATTTGCTAAAATCTGCTCTAGCTACCATCACTGATAGAGTTTGTCAACGTCCGTTCTTTGGCTCATCACGGCTATTACTGAAACTTCCAAGCAATCGCTGCCTCTACTAGGATCTCTCTCTGCCCAAAACTAGCATCCTTCATCCAGCATCGCAGATCTAGTGGTGCGAGCTTCAATTCTGACACCGACACACTCAACAGCTAGCTTTGAGTTTGTAAATAATTTCATGGGGTTCAACAAACATTGTGGATTGAAATGATGTTCCAGGATGATGCCAACAACGTGCAATGAATTTAAGGAGAGGCGTTTACAGATTCAAAGGACACCATACGAGGAAGGATGGGCAATCAACAACCAACCTCTTCTATCAAACACTCAAAATAATAACGGACTTTTAGGACATTAATTACCCACCCCATCTTGGTATGTATGTCAAAATGAAAGTGGAAAAATATTCTGAGAGGGAGTATAAATTTAATCTTAAAAATCTATCTCCAATAAATATAGATACGGATTACAGAGTAAGATAGCACCTTCATGAGTAAGACTATTAGAAGTAGAAAGACATATTTTTTATGTGACGAGAAAGCTTGAGAGTGCATGTGCTATTTTTTCCGGAGAGTGTTGGTGATTTTATCTATGATGATGAGTTTCTTTCTTCTCCTTTTGGATCATTTTCTGATTTTCTATTGCTTTTCATGCTCTCGAACTCTAGGAAAAAACTCCGAAAAATGTAGCTTTATAGCTCTCTTTGATCAGGCACATGATTTTTTTTAAAAAGAGAGAGAGAGGGATAAAGGACGATGACTGTTAGGCACGCTCGTCGAGATCGGTGGTGATTGTTACGAACACACTAGTTTTTGGAGAGAAAGAGAGGGATAATGGATGGTGTCTATAAGGCACGCCCCTCTAGATCGGTGGCGTCTTTGAGGCACGCACATAATTTTCTTAAGAGAAAGAAAGAGGGATAAGAGATGATAATGCCATGATATGTGGCGGTTGATCTTCGATGAAGAAGATTGATAGTGATGCCCGTTTGTAGAAGAAAGGAGGCTAGGTTTTTTAGAAGAGATACCTTAGCTCCGATACCGTATTGAATAATGGAATTCTTGTATTACTCAAGGAAGAATAGAATACATGACAAAGTATATATAGAGAAGATTATAACTCTAACTACAAATACGAACAATAATAGAAGCTCACTAAAATATAATGACTACCATAACTAATACAACCAGTTTTGTTATTGTTATTGTTATTATTATTATTATTATGTTATTTATTATATTATTATTATTATTATTATTATTTTCTAGCAGTTTTCATACTTTCACTTGTGCCAATGCTCATTCAAGTTTGGAATTAACTTCACATATTTTAAGACCTGTATGATAAGTTTTGAAGGTATGATGTAATATTTTTTTGAAATAAGAGAAAATAATATGAACTCTAATATCTAAAATGAAGTGTTTTGGTGATAATTAAAATTATGATTTAATTGGTAATATGTGTCGGTAGCCGGCAATGAGGATGGTTTGCAGTGACAATGGTAGCCGATGGCGAGGGTGGTCAATTATTGACGAAGATATCAAATCTCTAAATTGATATCGATCTACAAATTTTGGTTGATATCAAAACTCTCCAAATATGAAGATATCAAATCTCGTTTTTTTTGGTTCACCAAACACACAAAAAATTTCAAATATTTGGAGATATCAAAACATATATCTCCCGCACTCACTAAATGGGTTGATCCCCTAGCTTCTTGACTTGCACAAATTAAATAGGTAGTCAACGTACTAGTTCCCATATTTTTTGTTCATTCTAGCAACCAACGAAGTTATAACACACTATAGAATTTAAAGTTTCATATAATTGATCATTATATAATCCTAAAAAACTCGAGGTCATTTTGTACTTCATCATATACAACAAAATAAAAAATTGAATTATATAAGCTCGAAAATGTTAAATTATAAGTTGTTTGATTCCATACAAAATGGTCTTTGACTTTTGTGAAATTTTGGGATAACAATATGTAAGTTGGTAAATTTCAATCTTAAGATAAATTTTAAATATACTCCCTTCGTCCAAAAATAATTTTATCATTTATTATTCAAAGGGCTAAACTTTATTCACTTTTTCGGTATATTTTTATTGTCCATTTGATAAAATAATATGGTCGTGCCACCTTTAGCTTTGTAGATGTTTTGATGTAGTTTTTAAATATGTAATCTTTATTTTTTTAATTCTACACCATTTTTCATATAAAATGATTTGAATATAGCTTTAGTCAAACATCATAATGCGCAACAGGAAGATAATATTTGGACATGGGGAGTATAATCCAATTGAAAGATATGGATATTATTAGATGTATTGTAAAAATATATTCTAAGATTAGTTTTCCCCGAGTCTGCTTAATCCTACCACGGTTTTTTATACAACAAATCTTACAAGATTCATATCTTTTAGTTAGACTATACTTCTTGAAACCCACTCTAGGATTAAACCCCACTGATTATATTCTTCTAAACTCTGTCTTGTTGGGATGCTAACGGACCGGTTTTGGTCGGAAGAGTTTCAACCTCATCCATGCATCGGCTCCATAATCATCACCCGATCCGTCCATCCCTCCGCGGGTGAAATAGGTGAAGGATGTTAAAATGAGTTATATAAGTAATAATTTTTTGAATGAAATGAAAAAATTATGAAGCATATAACATGTAAAAGTCTTAGAAAGATAAAAGATTAATATTATTTATGATAAAATCTTGTAAGTAAATAATTTTCTAAGTTACAAAGTAGGTTTTTGTAAAATTGAATGCTGCAAACTAAACAAACTTTTGTACGCAACAAAGGTAATATTTTTAGTTTTAATTTTTTTAAAGTAAATCTAAATGTTTCGAGTAATGGATCAAGTGACGAGTGATAAATATCTCAACCCACATCCAACCTTATCCATCATTAATTCATCTATCATCTATCCATCACCCTTGTCTTTTGAGGTTTTTCTCCATAAGAGTAGGTCGGGTGTAGTGGTTGTCCATTGGATCAGGTAGAAATTATCATCCCTACTATATTCTAGGTTATTTCTAGCTATGTGATGTCCCTCTTTCTCTTTCCCAAGGATCTTTTTACGACTTGGAGAGGACGATGGCTATGCCCTGGTGGAGAAAAGGCAATCATCTCATGCGGATCGGAGCATTCACTGAATGATTTGGGAATCGCTATGTCACCATAATTTCTCTTGGGAGCTTAAATTCAAGAAGGTCCTACAGTTTCATTTAGTAATGTTGGGGAAGATGGCATGGAAACTAATGTCCCAACCCGATCTTCGCATCTCCCGATATTTAAATCTATGTATTTTTGAGACACTTATATTCTTAAAGCACGTATTATCTCAAATCCTATACCTTTGTTTGGTGTAGTGTTTTTGAGACTCAAGATTTAATGTGGAGATTTATTAGTTGGAAGGTTGGTTTGGGTAAGAAGGTACATAATTGAGAAGATCCTTGGTGGACAGAGATAAAATGTGGGTGACTACATCGAATGTCAGTGCAAATGATCTTTAGTTTCTTAGCTACTTAATTACAACATCGGTCATGCGAATGAATAATATTTAATAATCATGACCGAATGTGGATACAAAATGATAGTATATTTTGTGTCTGGAAAGTACGCAGTGAAGAGTGCTTAAAGGCCTTGATGTGGAATGTGTAGGTTTGAGATAATATCAAGAATGCGATACTCTTGAAAAAAGTTATGGAGGGTCAACACCTTTCCAAAGGTGCAAAATCTAGTTTAGAAGTCTCTGAATAACACTCTCTCTTGTCTCAGCAACCTTGTACCCAAGAGAGTGAGTGCTCATGATATTTTCCCACTCTACCATGCGGAGTGAGAGACTACCTTGCATAATTTTGTATTTTACTCGACAAATTTGGAGAGAGTCCTTTCTTGGTTGGTATGCATTGAATGTGGAATAATTTTTAGATATGTTGTGCGTTGTTCATACCATATTCGATGGGTAAGCTTCAAAATGCTGGGCGACACCGGCCATAGTTTCTCTCTTGAGGCACTAAGTATAGCAGACACCATATCAAGCAGGCCATAGACAAATTTCATCAAGGTAAATGTTGATGCATTGGTGGGTATCATTCATGGCTCTATTGGCTTCTTATATATTGCTAGGGACCATGGTTGGTGATTTATCAAGGCAAAAAGTGTCTAGTGCAGGGGAAGGTTCGGTCCGAGAAAGGTTGAAGTGATGGTTATAAAAGAAGCTTTGAGCTAAGGCTTGGAAGCGTGTCATTATGGAAACACATTGCAAACAAGTCTTTAATGCCTTGGGTGAACATAATACTAGGTGGTCTTATTTCCACTTTATCATAAATAATTTTAAGACTCTCAGTCCATCTATGGTTGAGAATTTAGTGTTTATTTTGTTTTTGTTCTACATGGTAATGGGGTTGTGCACTTATTAGTGCATGTTCACCTTTTTGTTGTGAACATTGGGAAGCGGGTTGGTTCAACCTAAAACTTTATTACCACATCTATTAAATACGGAGTATAAGGTTTTGATTTAAAAGAATAGTGCTAAGGGTACCATAATATTGGACCCTATTTTGATACTACCTTCTTACACACATACACAAACACTAGTAATATTATGTGTCTATGAATGTCAATAAAAAGAGTGGTGTCAAAGTTAAGGTTAGGATTGGGATAATGAAACTTAATTCTTTGGCTTAGACCCATGCAAGTGCAGTGGTACCTCAATCCTGACATATTTTACCCCACCTTCTTATAGACATTCATACACGAGTATTTTTTCTGAGTTCATATTGTGAATATCAAGAGAACAGTGGTTTTAAAATTGAAGTCACAATTGGGGTAACCAAAACATAATTCTTTTTTTATAACAATACTAACTGTACCCTAATTTGGAAAGCATCTTCTTACAGACATTTAAAAGCACTAACACAAATTAGCACTAATGTTTGTAAATATTTGTATGAAGAGTCATTTCAAAATTAATGTCAAGTTGACCAGAGCTTTGACACTAATTTGTTAGAAAAAATTAGGGCCAATAAAAAAGAGTGAAGTAACTTACCTCGATTCCAAAAAGCTTTACTATGAGGTGAGCAGCAGAGAAGGATAATCTGGATTCCAAGGAGAGCTTCTTTCGATCAATAATTGCTTTTGCCTTATAAATATAACCCAATGGGTTTTCTTGAAGACCAATGAATAGTGGAGTTAGTGCATATCCTATCTTGTTGCCCCATTTTGCCTTTGACTTCTTTTCCATCATCTCAGCTAATGCCTATCGGACAAGTTACTTGATCAACCAATACTCATTTATGGATTAATGGATACATATTCTCCCGATTACATATTGCCAAGTAATATGTTACGATAGTTTCATCCTAAATGTGTAGTACAAAATTGCAAATATAAATAATCATATACTCTACAATATTACATATTGATTACCTCGAAGAAAATTATAAATAGAAAAACTATGGATTACATATTGATTACCTCAAAGAAAATTGTTAGTCTTTATGACTTGAATTGGAAAGTTAATGTTGGTTAGACTAGGAAACGTGTAAAGGAAACCATAATAAGAGTCGTAGTCCTAGTAGGATTATTGTTAGAGTCTATCTCACATCAAAAGTTGAAAAGAAAAGTAATTAACTTATAATCTCTTGAGTTAAACTAAGAAATTGATTGGATTCAATCTTTTAATGTGGTTAAGTTAAAGTGTCTTATGGCCTAATCCAGTAACCCTAACCCCATCCAAAAATTCTATCATGGTATTAAAAACAGTTTTAGCTCACCTGTTTGTTAAGGTTTTCGTCTAGACATTCATTCCAAATGACCCTAGTCTTTAGCCCAGTTGTTTATGTGGAATGTAAATCTAACGGCCCGAGACTCGTTTACCTAGATTGCTCGTCTAGAAGTCCATACCCATCAGAGCATGGTCCTTTTGGTGTTTGGTAGTAAAAAACTCAAGGGATGGGAATTTATTTGCAAGTGGTCAACCAGTTAGATTCAAAAATGATCGGTTTTCCACTTGAGGGGGAGTGTTAAAGTTGATCCCACATAAAAAGTTGAAGAGACAAACATCGGTATATAAGGTCTTGAGTTGAACTAAGTAATCAATTCGAATTAATCTTTTAATAAGGTCCAAAAAAAGTGTGATATGGCTCAATTCAAGAACCTTTACCCCATCTAAAAAAATCTATCAAATTTGTCGTGGTAGGTCTAGCTTAGTACTATAAATAAGACCTCTTTGAGGTCAATAGAAAGGTGATGCACATCAACTTTGTTCTGCTTTTCTTTTGATAGAAAGGTCATTCTTTGCTGAACTTGTGCTTTTGAATATTTTCAGCGTCGTTGTGAGGTGGAGCGTTCATAAAAAAAAGTGGTATCGAAGCGAGGTTGCAAGAAAACAGACTGCTACTTGAGTTTAGAATTTGGAACCGTTGCGCTATTCTTAGATTGATGGTAAAGGGGATCTTAAGAAATTTGTGGGACTATCGTGCTTTTTTTTTATTTTTTGATCGTGCACATGAACAAGATCTGAATCCCGCCAGTGCAGGTCACCATTGTTGGAAAACATTTTCACATCGATGTTTTGCTAATGACAATGTTTTTTTCTGTTTAGGTTTTTATATTGACAAACTGTCGGGCCACGGAACAAAATGAAAAGATTCAAATGCCTAGAAAAAGTTCTTTAAAGGAACAAAAAGCACAAGAAAGGCGTTGACGTTTCTGAAGATGATGACATTGATGTTTCTAAAGACGACGACATTGACGATCTGAAGACATTGTCTAAAGACTTAGATATTTGTTGTAACATGCCCATTCGATTTCTCTAAGTCTTGGCTCAAAAAATATATTTTTCTTGCATCAAAATAGTGTTTTCACAAATTTTTTTAAGTTTCCAAAACCCCTGGTCCTTGCCCAACAACACCATAACCATCGGTTATCGACATTCGGTTTTCAGCGTTCGATATTGGCATTGAATTAAGCCAAATGGTTTTTGAGTTTTTATATTTTGTTTTTGCTTCGGGAACATTTAATAGTTTTCCAAATGTTTAGTTTTCAAAAACCATAACCTTCAATTTTCAGCGTTTGTTATTGGCGTTCGGCATTGGTTATTGGCATCCAAATCGACCAAGTAGTTTTAAACTTTTTTTTATTGGTTTTTACTTCAACGAACATTTAAATGGCCTCCCAACAAAAATTTTTAAAAAACCACCTTTGGTTTTTGTCTTTGGTCAAAAACCATGAAAATCATCTTCAATTTGGTGATCCGTGGTTTTCACCTTTCCGGCACTTAGTTTTTAATTTGAGAAACTTTTATTTTTAACATCAGTTTTCGGCGTTGGCTGCCAAACCATGGTTCTGGCATCTAGACAATACATCGGTGTAGGCATACCCAACATCGATGTTTTGACAATGGCCGTGGGTTTCAAAATAGTGATGTTGGACTTTGAACATACATGTTTTGGCCAGGTTGGCTCAAGTTAGTTTTTGGTAGTAGGTTTTTGAACAACGATGTTCAATAGTGAACATCGATGTTTTCAACTGACCGTTGAAGTCTTTAAGACAAAATCATTCCATTTTTGAAACTCAACAACCCAAACATTGATATAGCCTTCAAAACATCGATGTTCTCATGACCGTTTGGCTATTCAAAAGGAAACTCACAGCCAAAACAGTGTTGTTCACTATATGAACATCAATGTTAGGCCAGTTTTAAGTAGACCAACTTTTGATTTCCACAAATCTTGCCAATCAACCCCAATCCTCTTCTAACCATTGCGCCTTGTTTTTGGGTATAAAAGGGTTCTCTTGGGTCTACTTTTCAAAATGATTCCTCACACATTTCATAGTTTTATACTGCATTATTCCATAAACTCTTTACATAGCTTTTTAAGGCCATTTCTTGAGGAATTGAGTGTGTTCATGATATAAATTAGTTCACTCATATTCTACTTTTTAAGAGAGCTTTTGTTCTAGAGTGATTAAGTGTAGTAAACACTTAAAGGGAGGTTTGTTTCCTTCATTGTACAAACAAAGGGTATATTCCTTCACGTTGAAGTCTTGGAGTTTGGTATCTCCGAGCAAATGCTGTTGATGCTTGTGTGACTCGAGTTCTCAGGCTGTAACAGTTTGCTAAGGACCCGTAAGCTTAACGGAAATAGTGTAGCTCGAGAGAGTCTCTTAGGTAACTGGACGTAGCCACAAATTATGGTGAACCAGTGTACATCGGTGTGTTCTTTCCTTACGCTTTTTAATTTTGCTCTTTACATTATCCCTGTGATTCTTATTCTGCGAAAATTTATCAATATTGTCGTGTCTCACACTATTCACCACCCCCACCCGAGTGAAGGGCACTTATTCTAACAATCGTCCAGGTTGAGAGTTGCCGCCTCTAGTTAAAATAACGTTCATGTAGCAGGGGGGACGTCGATCTGAAGGAACCGAGGATAAAATAATAGAAGAAATTAGAACTGCGTGCAACTTCTTTCTTCCTATCAATAATTGAAGAGTCATCCCTTAGTTCTTTTCTTCTATCGAAATTAGAGCTAAGGAAAAGGCATTGTGGTAAGGTTTTTCTGTAATTTTCTCTACCAAGAATAGTGACTGAATATATTATGAAGATTGAGAAATTCCCAATAAGGAATCTTTAGTCCGTGGAAGATCAAGATGGAGGTCTTGCTCAAATCGCAAGGCATGGGCACCTTTGACCATGGAAAAGGGAGGCATGGATGTTGCATCAACAGAGTACAAATTGATAGAGAGGGAACACGAACACATCATGTTGTGTTTGTCACATGAGGTGATTTTGGAGATTGTAAGGGAAACAAAGGCTGGTGCTTTGTGGCTCACGTTAGAAAGTCTCTTCATGATGAAGAGTCTTACTAGCAAAGTAATGTTATAGCAACATTTTTAACCCTATGGATGACGAAAGGAACAACCCCAAAAGATCACCTTGTCAAATTGAACACAATTTTGATGAAATTGTGCAATATTGAAGAAAACGTGGATGATGAGGTGCGGTTAGCTCTACACTCTAAAGAGATGCGCCACAAGGGGTAAGCACGATTGTTGAGGACCATGCCTATGCATTGAAAGCGACAAAGGGAGGAAAAGGTAAGAAGAACAAAGATACGTGGTGCACTTAGTGCAAGGAAAAGAGGCACTCAAAGAGAAATTAACCGAAATAGGGCAGATAAGAATAGACCGGATCAACAATTTTGGTAGAGAGAGGTAACTCATCCAAGGACAATTATGTTCTATCAGCAAAATGGATGCGTGGGTTCTTGACTCTGGAGCTACTTATCACATTTACTTTAACAGGGAGTTTTTCTCAAGGTGCTGCCAAACGAATGGAGGTTCTATTCACATGACGAATGGGGGTGTTTGTAAGATAGTAGAAATCAGGTAATTTAGATTCTAGAATCATATTTTTTCCGTTTTAAAGTATTTGCTTAGTTTTATATTTTTGAATTAATTACAATCAATATTTTACCTATATAATTAAATAAAAGTTATTTGATATACTAATTAGATAAAATAAATATTAGTTTGAAAATATTATGCAAGATAAATTTAATAAAGTTATATTTATATTAATAAATAATATGGTTTAGTTTTTCAATTTTAACTGTAAAAAGACAAAACTGAACAAATAGTCTAGCACGGAGGTAGTACTATTTTTTTGGAAGTAGGTAGTAATAATATTTTATAATTAGAAAATTCAATATTTTAATATTTATATTAAAGAATTACAATGTCTAAATCATTACCAATCAAAATTGATGAAGTTTGTTTTCAAAAATTAAACTATTATCTTTAATTTGAGAAAGAAAAAAATAATTTAGGGTACGCAAACACTTCCCTTATCCCAAAATAAAATATCCTATTATTATCTTGACCTCCCAATAATTTTTGATTACTTATAAGTTTCCATTGATTACTCACCGTCTGAAAGTATTTTTCTATCTTTAACTTTATATAGTTAATCAGGATTGACTTTTCACCTATAATTGAAAAACAATTATGTGGTAAATTAATTAGATAAAACAATGTATTAACAATATTTTACAAGATAAATCTCATAAAATTATTCTTGTATCAATATCAAATATATAATTAAACAAATTTCATTTTATCAATTTGACTGTAAAATGTCAAAACTAAACAAATATTCTGGGACGGGATAATATTTGATAAAATAAATTATTCTTGCCACATCTTGTTTTATTAGAATATAAAAATTTTTCTAAGTCACAACCACAAGCTTGAGCTTTTTGGTCGAATTGGTTACTTGACATAGTATCAAAGCCTTGATGACCAATAGGTCCCGAGTTCAAAACTCACAGTCACCTAATTTTCAAAAAAAATAAAGTTTCACTTGCAATGGTGAAAAAAACCATCTTTGCGCCCATGCCTGCACGTGAGGTGACGTCTTAAAATATAAAAATGTTTTCTAAGCCACAACCATAGGCTCGAATTTTTGGTTGAGTTATTTCCTTGACATAGAAGCCTTGTTGTTCAAGAGGTCATGAGAGCACTGGTAATACATATCACGCCCCACGGCGTTATCCCCCTTTTGAAGCCCAGGGGGCGTTAAACACCGCCCCCCTGGGGCTTCATCCCGACATCATTGCATCAGCGTCATACATTTGATGCAACCTCCCCCTCCTATAACGGCTAATTTAGCCGTTGGAAGCAAAAAAAAAAAAGTAAATGTAATTTTTTAACATAATTTTTTTAGTAATGTATTTTTTTACCTTAGTTATTTTACCTTAGTTTTTTATTAATGGAAGACAAAAAGAGATTAAGGCCAAATATAATTTACCTTAGTTTTTTTATTAATGTATTTTTTATTTTGTCGCTTTCTTTTTTTTAATTTAATGAATGCTATTTTTTAAAATTATTTTCGCTTCAATTTCTTTTAAATTAATGAACGTATTTTTTTTTAATTATTCTTGTTTCCATATAATTAAATAAAAAATTAATTAAATTTTATTAATTTAGTTTTAGAAGATGTATATTTAAGAATGTAAAAATGAAGGTTTGAAGCCCTAGTTGGAAGCCCCGAGGCTTCAAATCCATTTTCACTGAATTTGTGAGGTAAGTTAAAGCTGACGTGGGAGAGAGAGAAATTTTGAAGCCCCGGGGCTTCACGGGTATTTTCAGTGCTCTGAGTTTGGAAATTTAATATTTTCTGAGCCTCAACGCCACCCAGTATAAAAAAAATTTATATTCAGGTGCAAGGCTCGAGCAAAAAAAAAAACAAATATCTTCTACACGTGAGGAGGCGTGTTATAAGATTGAGTTGGTTCCTTAACATGTTGTATAGAAATTTTGACGTAATATTTTAATATGTAAGTCTTAATTTTTTATATTGGTTTGTAAATTAAATAGTTTTTAAAGATGCCAAATTTTACTCATATTTTCAAGAGTGTACTCAATTTTGAGACCATGGAATTTCTTGAAAAGAATAAAAAATATGAGAATACCAATGTAAGAGTTCTAACTATTTTAAAGAGTTTTTTGTGCCAATCATTGACGTTGATCTGCAAGCAAGCTGGTAGGCGGTTAACTAATTACAATGTCAGTACATTTCCATCACAGCATCATTGCTCTTTCATCATACTTTCATTATATAGTCTTATTGAGACTTTTTAATTAGGTGATTCCTATTTTGATAATTTAGTTTATGAGTGTGGTACTTAGTTTAAGAACTTTAGGAGGAAGTAGGAGGAAGAACACTGCGGAGCAGTGTTGATGAAGAACTAGATAGTATAAGGAATCACGTATAAACGCTTTCAGATCAAAGTTATTTTGGGGTAAACGAAATAATTCAATCAGATAAGACGTTACTCAAGAACAAGCACAAGAAATCGGATACCTCAACCCATACCACGAGACTCTATTTATAGAGTCGAAAATTCATGACCGGACATGAATGTTCACGTAGACGCGTACGTTCATGCGAAGAGGAAGAAACACGCGAGAAGAAGAAAGCATTTCAACGAAAGGTCTCCTCGTCAGGGGCTGCCGGCCCTTGGACCCCGCTACCTAGGGGGTGCCACCCCCGGACCCCCGCTGTGAATTTGTAATATCGTTGAACGAGCGAGCATGCACTCCGCGCCTCCTAACTCATTTGACAACTTCTATTTAAATTCTTGTCCGTCTAAGTAAATCTAATCATACAAAATAGCCGATGACACGAAAATCACCAAAACTTAGGCTATTGGCCTACTGGGGTGTAGGCTTCAAAAAAGCATAGACATGACTGATTAGGCTATGGTGTCATTTGGCACCACTACCTGTGACCATCGGCATCGGTATGGACAACACAGACTACACAGATAAGGAGTAAAAATCTATAGTGTGTACAAAATTTGTAGTTGATTGGGATTGCCCTTCTGACCCATCTTAGCTATCACGGTTCTAAGGCTCCATTCCATTCAACTTATTTTTTCTAATCTGATCTGATTCTTAATAGTTCTGATCTGATCTGATTGGACCTGATCTGATATGATCTAATTGGATCTGATCTGGTCTGATCTGATTGGATCTGATCTGATCTGATTAATTATGATTTGATTTAAAATTCAAATCAATAATTTTATTTGACTTTATAATAACGTTTGAAAATTGTAATGATATTTCATATTATAATATAATCGATATTTTTATTTTATGATTATTTTTTAATGAAATAAAATTAGTTAATTCATATATTAGAATAATCATTCGTATTATAATGTAATAATATTTTTTTATTTTATGATAACTTTTTTATGAAATAAGAATATTGATTTAATATTTTAATAATTAGTTCATATATACATTATAATAAATATTTAATTCATATATACATTAAAAAGTAATTCAATTTAGATAATCAATACACAGAAGAGATAGTATTTTTATTAAAATATATCATCCTTAAAAAATATCAGCGTGTGCTTTGTACTATGAAACTTTTTTTATGATTAATATAACACAATAGATATAGTAGTTATTTCAGTTACACTAAAGTATACTCCGTATATGAATATCAAATGTTAATTTTATTAAAGTCATGATCAAAGTTGATCAAGTCGATATAGTAAAAGATCAAAACTTTAAAACTCAAATTACAAGTAGCAATAAATATGTATTTTAAAAGTAGAATTAGATTGACATTGTCAATGTATTTTAAAAATAATTTTTCCGAAGTCTAATGATTAAGGATTACTTTTCCAATTTTCTATTTGACTTGTTTCTAAAGTTTATTCTTTTTCATTTTATAATAATAATAATAATAATAATAATGATAATAATGATAATAATGATAATAATAATAATAATAATAATAATAATAATAATAATGATGATGATAATAATAATAATAATAATAATTCTTGATTGGATCTGATTTGATCTGGTATGATCTGATTGGATCTGATTTGATCTAATCTGATTGGATCTCATCTAATCTGATCTGGTTGGATCTCATCTGATCTGATTCGATCTGATCTAATCTGATTAGATCTAATCTGATCTGATCTGATATGATCTGATTTTAATAAAAATAAGAAAAAAGCAGAAAAAATAAGTCGAACGGAACGGGGCCTAACTTAATAGTGCATGGGCACGCTACCATCAAGTTTGGGGGCCAAATAGCGCAAGTACCCCGCGTGGTTTGCAAAATAGGCACCAAAACCCCATCTGTTTTCAAAACTTATTTCTAAAGTCCTTGTGGTTTCAAAACGATGCACCCGTGCCCCCTCTGATCATTTTCCGGCCATTTTTCCAGCGAGGAAGGGGGGCATTGGTGCATATTTACTAAACCACAGGGGCTATATTTATTTCTCGCTTATTTTTTTGTTTTTTCCATTTTTTCCTTTATTTGTTTCATTTATTAATAAAGGTTTTTAAAAATTATTTTTATAATGTTCATAAAATTTAATGTGTTTTTTTGAAAAAAAATAACATATAATGTATATGTAAGTCTCACATCAACAATTTTTGTTTTTTCTGAAAAAAGTAAACTTTTTTTTGAGAATTTCAAAAAAATGAGGAATAAAATAAGAAACAAAATAATACAAAAATAAAAATGAATATCTTTTTCGAACATCTCAATTCTAAGGACTTTTTTAGGCTTGTCCATTTTTTTTTGTATCAGACTTTTTTTGTGTATTTTCTAGGTTTTTCTCTTTGAACTTTCCAAATAAGCATGTAACAAAAAGTGAAAATTTTGAATTTCAAATAGATGTAATGTATGTTAATTTTTTATTTTTATTTTTTATTTCAAACAAGAAATATTTTAAAAAATTTAAAACATTATAAAAAAATTGAAAATAAATTAGAAAAAAATCTAGGAAAAGGAAAAATAGATAGAAAATATTTTAAAAAAGGAAAACACAAATAATAAAAGAAAAATAAAAAATGAGCACGAATGCCCGCTATGGTTTAAAAATTATGCGTAAATGCCCCCTCTTCGCCGAAAAATGGCCGGAAAATGATCAGAGTGAGTGTGGGCGCAACGTTTTGAAACCAAAGAAACTTTAGAAGTAATTTTAAAAATAAAAGGAGTATAAGTGCCAACTTTTCAAACCACAAGGGGGCACCGGAGTTATTTGCCCAAGTTGGGTCCGCTCATAGTTTAAGTAAAGTTAAAAGTTGGGCAAGAGAGAGTAATGGCGACTTGATGAGTCACAATAATTAAGGAAGATCGGACCTTGATTCCTGCAGATGGTCTGATGTTGAAAATGACTGCGCCTCTGAGCCGAACAGACTTGGGCAGATTATTTTTGTTGTCGTTGCTTTCGCTCCATTTTTGCTTACCTAAAATATCAATATATAGAGATTATTGGATTAACACTCGAATAAATTTTACTTCTTCCGTCTCAGAGTATTTGTCCACTTTTATTTTTACACATCATCTAATGCACTTCTTTAATCCATTTTATCTTGTAATTTGTATATTAAAAAATTATAGAAATTATATATTAATAATTTATATTTTAAGACAAATCAAACAAGATCACATTGAGAGAATTTGATGAGTCAAAGTGCTTAAATGAACAGTTCCAAAAGTCAAAAGTGGACAAAAACTGAGGGACGGAGGGAGTATTTAATTATAAGTCCATATTTCTTATTTAATTTTATATCAATAATTAAAATTAGAAAAAACTTTAGAGATATTATACCTTGTCTGACCCACAATATTAGAGCATCAACAATGGCAAGGAAAAAATGAAATGCCACACGGTGATATGGTACATTTTAACCAATCAAAAATAGTCCAGTCAGCGTGTGGCAAATCAATGGAGTGGCAAGTTCTACAGTGGCAAGTCATAATTTTTATCACTTTTTACATTTTTTAATGTTTTTTAAACATAAAAAAATATTTTTATTATTTATTTTATTGTAAAATTATTCTACATTCTTGTACATTTTTTCATAAAAACTTTTAAAAAATTCATTTAAAAAAATAAAAAAAGAAGGGTGGAGTGCCACACTCATGCCTCACCAAGCAAGACATTTTGGCTTTGTCATGCCATGATATGAGTGGAAAGAGCTGATGTGGCAGTGCAAGACATTCCTCTTCCTTACCACTGCACATGCTCTTAGTTCAATTTATATTGGAAAACAAATGTGATCAACTTACTCCAACAAAAATTATTTAAATAAGTTTCTTGCTGAATTCGAGAGATCAGAATCCAATTCATGCAAAGGAAATAAAATTTACCGTATTTCCGGTTCAGATAACGTGACATCCCGGCTTGTAATATCCCCATCAAGACATCATTCACGGTCTGAAAATTACATAGTAAGAATTAAATAAAAATATATTTAAGTATCATTAGATGATAAAGTTTGTAACTAAAGTTACAACGTTTTAGATAGATTTTTAATAGTGTAAGTAGGTTTGAAATTCCAAGGTTAAAATATAAATTTTGGTAAAGTTTCCAAAAGGGTATGTAAGACTCAATAGGGAGCATTAAAATAATTAAGAGTTATATATACTCCCTCTGTTCCATAAAACTCTTCCCCTTTCGTTTCTTTTGAATTTCTTTAAACACTTCCACTTTCTATTAAAAGATCACTTTTACCCTTACTTTTTCATATCCTACCTATCACATCATACTTTTTCAATAGTAACCAAACTATCACATCTTACTTTTATCCATCACATCGGGGGCAAAATTGGAAAGTCAACCAAAATTACACTTTACTTATTTTACCCAAAGTCAAAAGTGGAAGGATTTAAAGAAATGGAAAGAGTATATGTTTGGGGGACCCCAATTCAATTTTGACCTCATTCTTCACCTCACTCTTTTTATAGTGAAAAATAGAGACCCGTTAGATTTTTGGTGGGCCGTAGATAATGAGTGGAGTATTAGGTGAAATTATTCATTTTGTTTATAAATTTTGGATCTATTTAATAATTAAAATCATTAAGCCAATAAGTGAGTTTCACCTTTCTTTTTATTGGAGTGGTATTTGTTGAATGAATCCGACGTGGGAACGGAGAACTACCATCTCCTGTGGTAAGTACTAAGTAGTTCAGTCTAGCTAGTTCATATATGGATAAATGGGTCTAGTAGTATTTCAATCTCTTTTTATCTACTCCGGTGAACATAAAGACGAATCGTATTCGAATCGAATTAGGCTCTGATACCATATTGAATTTTCGGTGAGTCAAGTGAATCAGGTGAAGATTGAATTGGTTACCAGTGTGGACGGGACATAAGAACTTACCACGTTGAGTGCATTTTTGATGAGTTTGATGTCATCGAGACTTATTGTGCGATGCACAAGCCGTCTCCCCGGCAAGTCCGCTACTCTGCCGCCACAAGAATCAGTAGTATGACTCTTCTTGATAATCCCTCCTCCTTTCAAGGGAGTATGGGTGTCCTTGAGAAACAGGAGAGTGGCCAAGAAGAGCAGCATGTCCACGACTGTGTTCACCACCAGCATCAGAAACAGGAACGGGCGGCCGAGCAAGAACCCGAATTCGGGTCGCCGTCGGGTGGCGGTCCTTGCGGCGGTTGGGATTGTGGGCAGGGCAGCCGGATCGGACGTCTTGCGGGTGCAGGCGAGGAAGAGGGAGATGAGGGAAATGCCGTCGCCGAGGGAGTGGTGCATCCTCAGGATTCCTGTGGAGTTGGCTTCCGAGGTTTTCACGTTCAGTATGTGGATGTCCCACAACGGCTTTGACATGTCCATTTCCTTGGTGGTCAGGGATGATGTGTAGTTCTCAACGAACATGTCCGCCGCCGACGTGGGTTCCATGTCGGCCGGCCCCAATTCCGGGCATATCACGTGCTTCTCCACATCCACCTTCCCCCGAACCCACCTCTTCTTCCCTGATCTCTTGTCCTCCGACTTGTAGTTCATTATATTATTGTACGTCAAATCATCAATTCATAACAAATCAAATAATAAAGAAAAATTGAAAGAAGAACTTGAGAACTACAGTATATGCTTTTCTTGGCTTGGCTTACTAGAGTGCTAGAGAAGCGAGGGTGGTTGACCAAGGTGGACTCCAGACCCTTCTTGACGACTTCCACGTTGATCTTTGTGGTGCATCCCAATACGGCGATGATGTAGCAGTTGAGGTTTTTGGTGTGAAAGAGGCGCGTCGCCGGGCTCGCCGGCTCCTCCTCCGCCGCCGCCGCCACCCCTTCTAGCACCGCCGCATGGTGCTGGTTCCGGCCGCAAGTAGTTTTTGCTGTTGATGTGTCTATGGGTCTGAGAGGCGGCGGCGGCGTGCTTGCCATAGGGGTACGTGTGGAAGCCAATAACCAGCCGGGGATGGGAACACCGGCCACTTCCTTTGGGACCAAAATATTTAATTCAATGTGAGACAATTGAAGATGATAATGATCAACGAACCGCTATCATATCGGGTAGACCACACCGTACCCTCTTTGCATATATCTCCTCCTTAAATCTTTTCTGCCCTCGTACTGTCATCACTTTTCATTGTACTCCTTCATATTCTTTAATGCCGCTGGGCCACTTTGCATCTGCATCCCCATATCAAATGAGACACAATTATTACTCTCTCTCAGTTCCGTTTTCAACTTTACTTTTTCAACCACGGTACACCCATTCAAATTGAATCCCAGAAATATGCATAAGTACTTTAACACTTCCCACGGGTACACTATATCACTTGAATAAAAAAATTTATATTAATATTTTGTGTCACGATAAATCATATCAATACTATTATTACACTAACAGAAAATCAAGGTATATATTTTTGGGTACAATTAGTTTAATTCTTACCTTTTCTCCGTATGAAATTTACTCGCAAGATCTTAACTTACTGTTTTTATGCTTAATTTCCATTCGTACCCTCCCACAACCCTTTTATTTACGTCCCACTCACCATTCATTTATGCCCCCCAACCTTTTTTAAGGGACACAATGGAAAATAAATTTTATTTTTACAAATATCTTACACTTACACCCAGAATATATCCTAAAGTTACACAAAAAAAATACACTAACACTTTCTTGGTTCATATTGGTACAACATGTTAAGAAAACTTATACTTACATTTTTTAATGTATGAATCATCAAACCTAACATTATTCCAACACAAAATGAAAGTGAACACTTATGTATAATTTGAGGTACAAACAACTTTAATTATCCTGATTTTTAACACACATAAATAATCGTATCGTGCCAGCTGGTGATTGCACACTTGGCAGCGGAGAGCCATAGTGAATTGAGGTCATGGGTTCAACTTTGATACAGTTGCCACGTGTATCATGGTGGTTGGGGATTTGTTACAAGTTAGTTACGAGTTGATGCTGTGTAATCCCCTTTAAATACCCTAATATCCTCTGTAATAATCATGATGAATAATACAATTCCTTTCCTGCCTCTTTCGTTCTCTTTCTCTCTCTCTCTCTAATCTGCCTGCGATCAACTGTGTTGATCGCCATAGCTCATCCTCGAGGATCTCTTTCTTTCTACGAGTATCCTCCTGCATTGACGCTATCACTGGTATCAGAGCTTTGAATCCTGGCACGCACAAGACAACGATCGAAGGAAGAACAAAGCACGAAGATGGAGAATGCTCAGAACAATCAATTGAAGGTTTTGCTGGAGCAACAATTGGCATCGCAGAACCAGAAAATTGAGGAGCAACAGAAGATGCTGGAGAAGATAATGGAGATGATGGAGAAATCCAGTAGCAACGAACACAGATACAACTCAGAAGTCACCGGAATGGAAAGAGGTGAGAAGAATCCTTTCAAGTTTGTACCTAAGGTTGAATTTCCGGTGTTTAATGGATCTAATCCGAGGAACTGGATTAAGAAGTGTGCTCGATACTTTAGCCTTTGTAAAATTCCAGAGGAACAAAGGTTAGATCTGGCCTCAATCCATTTAGTAGGCAAAGCCGAAACATGGTTTGCCAGCTATATTACTGTCAAAAAGGGAATTGGCTGGGATGAGTTCATTTTTGACTTGTGTGGAAGATTTAAAGATGAACTTGACAGTAAGGTTGTGGAAGAATTCAATAAATGGAGTCAAGAAGGAACTATTGATGCATATTTGGAAAGATTTGAGGAGTTGAAGGCTTTAATGTTACAGAGAACTCCCATGCTTCCTGAAGAATACTTTGTAGACAGCTTTGTTGGTGGTTTAAAATCTCACATAAAGCCATTTGTAAAAGCCTTAAAACCTCAATCATTGGATGAAGCTGTTCAGTTTGCTAGACTACAAGAGGAGGCATTACAAGCTACCAGGAACATGTCTAAACCTTTATCTTCGAGGTTAACATCCTCAGGAGGCATATTACCTACACCCAAGGGAGCTGCAAGTTACAACAGTAATAGTTCCTTGACTGGATATAAAAATTCTGCAAACAGCGAGACTAGTTCAACTACTAGCACAACTAGAAGTTTCAGGCCTACCAGGATCTTATCTGCAGCAGAAAGAGCAGAGAAAAGTGCTAAAGGATTATGTTATTTCTGTGATGAACCTTATGAGAAAGGTCATAAGTGCCAAACCAGAAAAACTCAATTGTTTCTAGTTGAGATTCCCGGAGATGATTTAGCAAATGATGAGGAAGAGGCACTTTTGGATGGTCACAATGAGTTTGAAATTTTAGAGACCGAGCCTTGCATCTCATTTCATGCTGTCAATGGCATCACAGGTTACCAAACTATGAGAGTTACTGGCCATGTCGGTAAGAAAGCCATCCAAATCTTAGTGGATTCGGGCAGTACTCATAATTTTCTAAATATTGAGTTAGCCAAGAAGTTGGAATGTAGAGTGGAATCCATATCCTTGCAACCAGTCACTGTGGCTGATGGTAGTACTCTGAAATGTCAACATATGTGTAAAAATTTTAAATGGAGGTTGCAAAGGACTGATTTCTGCACAGATATGTTTTTGATTCCCTTGGGCAGCTGTGATATGGTGTTAGGTGTGCAGTGGCTGAGTACTTTGGGTACTATCAAATGGAATTTCAAGGAGTTACAGATGGAATTCCACTTCAAGGGAAAGGGGCACATTTTAAGGGGACTTCAAGGACCCAAGGTGATGGTTTTAGAAGGACCTCAAACATCCAAGGTGATGAAGGAAGCCTGTCATCTATGTATGCTACAGATCCTCCCTACAATAAAGGAAGAGCAAGAAGGTATAACCCACCAAGGCACCTATGATGTGATAAATCAGCTGTTACACAAGTATGAAGATGTGTTTAGGGAACCTACAGAGCTACCACCTGAGAGGGGTACATTTGATTACAGAATACCTTTAAAACAAAATGTTGTTCCTATCAGTATCAGGCCATACAGATATGCTCTCAAGCAAAAGGATGTGATTGAGAAATTGGTTGAAGAAATGCTGGATAAGGGAATAATTCAACATAGTTGCAGCCCATATGCCTTTCCAGTAGTCCTAGTGGGGAAAAAAGATGGAACTTGGAGATTATGTGTGGATTATAGGGAACTTAACAAACAAACCATTAAAAATAAGTTCCCTATTCCCTTGGTGGAAGAGCTTATGGACGAGTTGGCAGGAGCCAAGGTGTTTAGTAAAATTGACTTGAGGGCTGGTTACCATCAAATCAGAATGGCAGAAGAGGACATTTTTAAGACTGCATTTAAAACACATTCTGGACACTATGAATTTTTAGTAATTCCATTTGGCCTTACCAATGCCCCAGCCACTTTTCAAGGTCTTATGAATCAAATTTTCAGACCATTATTGAGGCAATTTGTTTTGGTCTTCTTTGATGACATATTGGTCTACAGTAGTTCATTGGAAGATCATGTAGAGCATGTGCAGAAGGTCTTTGAAGTTATGAAGGCCAATAAATTGGTGGCCAAAAGGTCTAAATGTGATTTTGGCACTGATCAAGTGGAATATTTGGGGCACTTCATATCTGGAAAAGGTCTTGCAACTGATCCTAGAAAAATAAAGGCAATTCGGGATTGGCCTTGTCCTTCTAACATCAAGGAATTGAGGAGCTTCTTGGGATTGGCAGGCTACTACAGGAAGTTTATAAGGAATTATGCACTGATTGCCAAACCCTTAACACAATTATTAAAAAAGGGTCACTTCAATTGGAGCATTGAAGCTACACAAGCTGTAGAGGAACTGAAAACCGCCCTCACCACCGCCCCAGTTCTAGGTTTTCCTAATTTTGCAAAGACATTTGTTGTGGAAACTGATGCCTCTGCTTATGGAATTGGAGCTGTCTTAATGCAAGAAAATCATCCTTTAGCTTTTCTAAGCAAAACATTGGGACCTAAGTGGCAACAATTGTCAGTATATGAGAAGGAGTTACTTGATGTGGTACATGCAGTGCAAAAGTGGCTACAGTACTTAAGTAGTAACACCTTTGTGATTATTACTGACCAAAAAAGTTTGAAATGGCTTATGGAGCAGAAAATTTCCACTCCCTTTCAACAGTTTTGGTTATCCACATTGATGGGGTTCCAATATGAGATACACTACAGGAAAGGGAAGGAAAATGTGGTGGCAGATGCTTTATCTAGGGTTAAGGGATCAGAATTATTGGCTTTAGCAATCTCTGGGGTGCAATCTGATGTTTTAAAAACCATTGAAGAAAGTTACCAGTTGGATAATAACTTGAGGGAAACCATAGCAAAGCTACAGCATGGTGAGGCAGTACCAAAATACAGTTTACATGGAAACCTGTTGAGGAAAAAGGGGAGACTTGTGGTTGGACCAAATGCTAACCTAAGGGGTCAAATCCTCACATGGGTACATAATTCTCCAATGGGGGGACATTCAGGACGAGATGCAACACTGAAGAAATTAAAAAACCTGTTTGTTTGGAAAGGCATGACCAGGGAGGTACAGAATCATATTCGGCAGTGTGTAGTGTGCCAAAGCTGTAAGTATGACAACAACCCTTATCCAGGTCTTTTACAACCCTTGCAGATCCCCGATGAAGTATGGAAGGACATTTCTATGGATTTCATAGAAGGTTTACCCAAATCTGGTGGAAAGGAAGTTATAATGGTGGTAGTTGACAGGTTTAGCAAATATGCACACTTCATGACACTGAAACATCCATTTTCAGCTATAGAAGTGGCACAAACTTACCTGGATAATGTTTTCAAGCTTCATGGATGGCCTCAAACTATTGTAAGTGATAGGGACAAAATATTCCTAAGCGACTTTTGGAGAGCATTGATGACTATCCAAGGCACTGATCTGTTACTGTCAACTTCTTACCACCCACAAACTGATGGCCAAACAGAAGTGGTGAACAGATGTCTTGAGGCCTATCTAAGGTGTATGTGTAGTGATCAACCAAAGGAATGGAGTAATTGGATTGCCTTAGCAGAGTGGTGGTGCAACACCTCTTTTCACACTTCTATACAGATGACACCTTATGAGGTAGTTTACAGTCAACCACCTCCTATTCATCTTCCATATCTACCTGGGGAGACTAAAGTGGAGGCTGTTGATAGATCCCTGCAAAGGAGAGAAGCTATGATTCAGGTCTTAAAATTCCACTTATTGAAGGCTCAGCATAGAATGAAGATGCAAGCAGATAAACATAGGTCTGAAAGGCAAATGAAGGTGGGGGACTGGGTATGGTTGAAGTTACAGCCATACAGACAACAGACTTTGCAATCTAGGCCCAATCAGAAGTTGGCTCCTAAGTTTTATGGTCCCTTCCAAATACAAGCTAAGGTGGGACAAGTGGCCTACAGATTGTTGTTACCTCCAGAAGCTCAAATTTATCATACCTATCACGTATCCCAGCTCAAGGAATTCAGGGGAGTTTTTCCAAACAAGCCACACATTCCAGAAGGGTTACAAGGAAGGGATGTGGCTATCCTTGTTAAACCAGTTGCTGTACTGGAAAGGAGGATAGTCAAGCAAGGAAATAAGGCTGCTGTTCAGTATTTGGTTCAATGGGAAGGGCAGAGTGTGGAAGATGCTTCTTGGAGAAATGCTAGAGACTTTGAGCAAGAGTTTCCTGAATTTTTCAGTACTTAGCTGGTTGTGTATGTTTGGGTTTCAGGGGATGAGGGTTCTCTCTTTATGGGGGAAGGAATGATACAGTTGCCACGTGTATCATGGTGGTTGGGGATTTGTTACAAGTTAGTTACGAGTTGATGCTGTGTAATCCCCTTTATCCTCTGTAATAATCATGATGAATAATACAATTCCTTTCCTGCCTCTTTCGTTCTCTTTCTCTCTCTCTCTCTAATCTGCCTGCGATCAACTGTGTTGATCGCCATAGCTCATCCTCGAGGATCTCTTTCTTTCTACGAGTATCCTCCTGCATTGACGCTATCAAACTTAAAACCTGACCACCTACAGGGTGACTTTATGCCTTAATCCACAAACTAAGTCGATCAGGATAAGTTTGATTTCTTCAAAAATGAGCCCGGAATACCTCGGGTCTAACAAAAAAATCGTGTCGGCTAAACTTGGGAATCTATTCTTAGACCAAAGGAGTAAAAAATGTGAAAATCTATGAAAAGTGTTTGTGACCAGTGCCGTGTTTCACGTAGAGAGTTCTCTATGAAAGAGAATTTTAATTAGGCTCCATTCCGTTCAACTTATTTTTTTGATCTGATCTGATTTTAATAAGTTTTGATCTAATCTAATCTGAACTGCTTGATCTGATCATATCTAATCAGATTGGATCTGATCTGATCTGATCTGATTAGATCTGATCTGGTCTAATCTGATTAATTATGATTTGATTTAAAATTTAAATCAATAATTTGATTTGACTTTATAATAACGTTTGAAATTGTAATATAATTCATATTAAAATATAATCAATATTTTTATTTTATGATTATTTTTAATAAAATAAAATTTGTTAATTCATATATTAGAATAATCATTCATATTATCATGTAATAATATTTTTTATGATAATTTTTTTTGTAAAATTAGAATATTAATTTAATATTATAATAATTACTTCACATATATATTAGAATAAATATTTAATTTATATATACATCAAAAAGTAATTAAATTTAGATAATCCATATATAGAAGAGATAGTATTTTTATTAAAATATCTCATCCTTATAAAAGATCAAAACTTTAGAAATTCAAATTACAGGTAGCAATAAAAATATATTTTAAAACTAGAATTAGATTGACATTGTCATTTAACTTTAACTTGTTTTTAAAGATTATTCTTTTTCATTTTTAAGAATAATAATAATAATACTTATAATAATAATAATAATAATAATAATAATAATAATAATTCTTGATGGGATCTGATCTGATCTGATTGGATCTGATCTGATCTGATTGGATCTGATCTAATCTGATCTGATCATTGAATCCGATCTGATCTGATTCGATCTCATCTGGTCTGGTCTGATCTGATCTGATTTTAATAAGATTAAGAAAAAATAAATTGAACTAACCTTAGTCTCTATCTTATCTAGTAGTACCTCTATCCTTGACTATTCATCCAAGTTTGATTTTTTTCGATCAACTATTTTTAACATTTAACCTATAATTAAATAAAATATATATTGTATATTAATTAGATAAAATATTATTTTGAAAACATTTGATTTAATAAATCTAATAAAACTATTTTTGTATCAATATCTAATATAATTTTTATTTCATTTGATGTCAAAGTTTACAAATATTGACTAAAAAAGTAAAAAATGCTCAGTGACGGAGGGAGTAAGTTTTATAGCAGGAAAAATTGCCACAAGGCTCTTTTGAGATTAAAATTTAATGGTTAAATATGTGTTTAGTCTTTATAAAATAGCCAACTTTTGTTTTTTGTTTCAAATTTCTTGAGAATATAATATAATAAAATTTGGAAATTGGAGATGTAATTTCATGAACGGCCCAATTTATGAAATGTGAATTACGTATGAGGTAATTACAAATGCAAAACTAAATTTTGAGTATAAATTAAATGTGTTATCGCAACAAATTAGAAATTTTAATTACGTTTTAGGACCATTTTCAAAATAATTTTTTTAAAAACAACTTTAAAAAATTTACAAGGATAAAAAATAATAATTGCCTATTTTACAAGGATTAAAAAAAGAATTAACCCAAAATTTAATGTCATAATTGTTAGTTTCACATATTGTTTATCCCTTATAGTTGTTTAGTTGAGTTGTTATTACTCATGTTGACACAGAGCTTTGATTGTCTCTTTTCGAGTAAGAACACTTTTTACTTGCTGTTTCCACAGAATAAAATCACCACGCCCATCGAAAGGTTCGACAGAAACATTCAAACTTTTTATCAATGCCATTTTTCAAGTTCTTCGATTTTCTTCTCTTACTGAGATTAGAAATCCCTCTGCCCCAAATGTAACTTGGCTCCGATACCAATTTTTTGGATTTAAAGAGTGTAAGACTCTTAAAATATCAAAAACGTGAAAAATAAATAAACACACTACACAAGAAGAAATATGAGAGAAAAATTATATCTTTACTATTTCATAACGATACACAAAAAACCCTCTCTGTTTACAAGTGCTAAATACAAAACACTTATAAAAAGACTTTTTGCACCCTACACCCGGATGTATTTTTTGAGTAACTAAATAATAGTTACTCCATACACTCACTCACACAATCTTGGGGATATTTTGTGTAGCACATCTCTCTTCACACTCTTTCTCTCTCTTAGCCGTGTGTAAAACCCATCCCAAATCTAAGGAGTTCGTTCCTCTTATAATAGGTAATGAGAAACAAAGAAAGAAACCAAACCCTTTATTTTTCGTACATCACCAAAAACAAGGGAACAAGACAACCTCCACTTCACATGCATTGGTCCAATTCTAACCATCACTTCACATGCATGATACAAGCATTCATCCTTCCTTTATTTTCCTTTCTTTCAATTTAATTAATCAATCTCAACATTTACCAAATTTACGAAGACCACAAAGAGTTTTTATGCATATAACTCTTTTATCTATATCAAACATTTATTTATGATGTTATTTTGTTTTTTTTTGAAGTGTTAATTATTATTAGGGTGGTGCTAGGGTATCCTAAGTGTTGTACCCTATTTATACACTAAAGGATTCAAAGACACACATAGACACTTAATGTCTGTAAAAGCACAGACATTGAATATATATATGAGTGTCTGTGAATTTTTTGGTGTACAATCAAGGTACACCTCATTATTAACTTTGATAAAAACTTTTAGAAAATAAATATGTGGGAACCTTGATGCCCAAATTTAAGTTAGGGAAAAAAACCTAAATAGGACTAAAACGTATCAAATATACCTAAATAGGAGTCCAAAAACATAAATTCCCCAAATAGGACTTAGTTTGCATGGCCATCCCCAAAATACCCTACCCTCCCTCTCATCTCTGCCGCAAACCTTTAGCTACCAAACATAAAATAAATATATTACTATTAAAGTTAAGTGTTGCATTATTGTTGACATAAGGTGGCCATTTACAATATGAAATTTTAGTTTTCTCATTTACACGTACAACAATTTATAAGAGTTCCTAAAGTTGGTCATGTATATGCCAATTTGTGGCACTGTACACAGCATTGAATGACAAAGATTATTTAGATGAAACGAAATTATGAAATAAAAGTGTCAACAAGGAAGGACGACATTTTAAAAAGTACATTACATCTTAGTACAAGCAATTTTAACACAATTAAATCATACTAAAAAAAAGTCATGTAATGCAACATAAAGTGATATCAAATAGTGTTTGGATCTTCCACTCATGGAATAGGATTTCTATGTGTTTGGTGGACTATACCAGCATATGTACATATATACTAACGCCTCAATTTTGTAGAAAGGAGAGATAAAATCATAACAAGATAAGCCGGGACGTCTCCTAATAGCAGCCACCGCATGAACGCAAATAAATTGATCTAGTTAGAATTCACAACATGTCCATGTTTTGTCCTTTAAACTCATATGGACATGTTGACTTTAAATGCATAACAAAAAAATAAAAATATTCAATGGTTAATATGCAATTAAAAAAATTCATGATAGTCCAACAAAGTATGTAATGTGGATATTACCAGTGTCATAATCTGTAATGTGGTGATGAATATTACGAACCATTGTAATGTAAAGTGTCACAGTATGTAATGTGTATTACAAAGAGTTGTAATGTAGACGGGGCAGATTGTGAAGTGTGACACGGAAAGGAAAAGGAGGGCAAAATTGGGAGAGAAAGAAAGAATGTGGCGGAAGATGTCCTAGTTGGGGGATAAAAAACATGAACTCCTATTTTAGGGATAAACATAATGTTTTAGTCCTATTAGGGGTGATTTCTATTTAAGCTACTGAGTATAAAACTTGTTTTGGATAACAAATGTGATGGTGAAGGTCGTCACAAATTTTTCGTCACAAGTTATCTGTGACGTCGACCCGCGTGTCACAAACCACAAAAGAGCACCTTGGTTGGCTTTGTGTTGTCATGTCCGGGAGAGTCTGTAGAACCTGGGATGAAGACTAGATCACAACAATGTTTCGGATGCTCAAAATGGCAAGGGCGTCGGCCAAAAAATTACTTTTCAAGTATGCTCGATTTTTTAGTAAAAACTCACAAGTCTCATATTATCTGAAATATTCTTCAGAGTACCTTTGATTTTTTTATAAGAACTCTCAAGTCCTACATTATTCGAAATATACCCCGGGGTACTTAAAATTTGTGATATTATACTCAAATAGTATATTCCCTCAATTTAGGAGTTCGATTAAAAGTTCGTTTACTTTGATAAATTGAAGAACTTTATTTAAATTTAACAAAATAATAACTATCGATCTAAAATTTCCTACTTGCCAAAGTAATGGGACTTTCAATCATAATGGCCAAATAGACGAAATGTACCCTTGGAGTATTACCTTACCAGTGACCTGGCAATCGGGTCAATCGGTTCGGTTCCGGTTTGGGTCTTTTCGGTTCGGGTCTCTTCCGGATATATGTTATAATCGGTTCGGGTCGGTTTTGTTCGGGTCAGTTCGGTTTCGGGTTTATTTTGGTTTGATTGGTTTTTGGTTTTGGTTCGGTTTCGGTTCGGGTTTATATCGGTTCGGGTTTGTATCGGTTCGGGTTTGTATCGGTTCGGGTTTGTATCCGTTCGGGTTTGTATCGGTTTGGGTTTGTATTAGTTCGGGTTTGTATCGATTTGGGTTTATATAGATTTGAGTTTATATCGGTTTAAATT